ATGTTGCATTTGCATGGCAAATGACAGAAACAAATAAGTAATACAAAATAATGCGGATTGCGGCTGCAGCACCCCGCAGCAGCAGCAGCAGCAGCACCAGCTGCTGCTGATGCAGCAGCAGCAGCAGCAGCAACAGCAGAAGTAGCAGCAGAGTACCCCTGTTCAATCGTGGTCCATCAACTTAAACAGCAAATGGGTTTCCTGCATGCACAAGAACAAAAAGTATTTATCTCTCAGAGACACAGCACAGCTGCTGCTGTGAAAAGGTAAAAAGGCAAAAGGGCCGCAGCAGCAAAAACAGCCTTTTGTGCTTCTCAAATTTGTTTGTCAGAAGCTGGACACAGACTCGCATTGAGACTATTAATATAAATTAAATCAAATTCATAAATCTAAATGTTCTCGAAAGGATTTATTTAGAAGTGCAAATGGGCTTTTGAATGTACACATGAGGTGTAAGCACACCATGGCCAGACGCAGTGCCAGCCCACGCGTGGAGCGACAAGCACACTGTGGCAGCCGCAGCAGCAGCAGATGCATCGAGAAAATCAATTTCCGTATCTGGGAACTTGGTTTTTACGCGAGCAAATAAAAGTACAAGTGCCAACTTACGAGGATTTAAATCCCCAGTGCTTCTACATCTTTTCTGGATTTACTTTTAATTCTTTTTTGTTTCTTGTCTGCCTCCTTAGCTGCTCCTGCGGCTGTCTGCAGCCTTTGCTTTTGCTGCTGCAGTTTATCCTTTTGTTGATCATTTGTCTTGTCTTCTGAGCTGAGTATCTCTTGAATTGTTCTTGTTTGCAATCTCTATTGCAAGTTCCTTTTTATTGGGTCTGAAGAGCTATTTATTTTATCCTTTTTTAGCATTTGCTGCAGATGCAAATCAGTTCGAGGCGGGCAGGTCTTTGCTGCATGCTGGGTGTTGTGTTGCGGTGTACGTACACCTGGACATCTTTTGATATGGAGTTCTTTGGGAAAATGAATTCGATAAAGTGTTCTAAATTAGTGAAGCAGTTGCAGCTTTTTGGCTCTTCTTTCAGAACCCCAGAAGCTGCACAGCTGCTGCGCTGCAGCTGCTGCTGCATGCATTTGCTGCTGCTGCTGCTGCTGGCATATAGCGGCGTTATGCCAAATAGTTGTTTTCCGTATTTCCCAAAAGCCTGTTTCGTCGAGTGAAGAGAGAAGCACTTTTCTTAAAAACGACAACACCTCGCAAGAGGCTGCAGCCCACAGCCTTCACTGCAGCTCCCCGCACACTTCAACTTAGAAGCTGCATGCAAAGAAAGCTCAAACCCTCGCAGCAGCTGCCAGCCATAGATAAGCTCATCAACTTAAAAAGCTGCACACGAAGAAGCCTGGATCCCCGCAGCAGCTGCAAGCCCTAGATAAGCGAGACTGGCTGCTTCTTGGGAACACTGTGGGGGCACTGCGTTTCTGTCTGTTCAAAAAAACAAACTATGCATTAATTAAAGACCAAAAGTGCGCGTGGCTGGGGAAAGCTGAGCTGCTACTTTTTGGCGCTTTTTGTTGAACTGCTTATGGCGAAACTTCTCGAGCTGCATGCACGAGAAAGCTGCAGCAGAAGATATTAATGCAAACGAGGCCTTGGCTGCGCACTGTGTGGGCCCCGCGCACTCCCGCGCAGCAAATGGTAATCGAGTTATGAAGCTTCAGCAAGCCACTTCGCAAGTGCAGCAAAGGCGTTGTTGGCCCGGGGCCCCCGGCTTCTTTAAATGAAAAGCTTAACTCTAAATCGATGTGGTTTATTTAATTTTATTCTTTTGTTTTTCCCGCATTCACTTTCATAGTGCACATTGAACGAACATGCACTGCTCAATGGACCGGACGCAAGGTGTACGGACAGCGCCGGTGGACAGCCAGTAGGTGTGCGGCCAGTTGGGGCCCAAAGGGATATTTAGTTGAAGTTTCTTCTTTTAATTTTCCTTTTGTTTATTTAATATTTTAAATTTTGAAGCACAAACTCTCGGGGCCCCCAGACGCAGCCCGAGCTGCAACTCGCGAGACAGACACAGACCAGGGGTCTGCCGTCGATGGCGAAAGGCTCGAGGCGCTTCAAACCCTAAACCCTAAACCCTAAACCCTAAACCCGAGTCTGTGTTCATCTTGCTTCTTCTGGACTCGGCGATTCCCTATGCTTCTTTCCTTCCCGAAGCCCCCCGTTTTCTGCCGGGGGGCCTCGGGGGGCCCCTGGCCCGGAGTTGAATGGCCATCTCTTGGGCCTACTTGCTCCAAATTTTTCGCCATTTGACTCTATTTTTTGCTCTTTTCGGCCTCTAAGGAGTCTCGGGAGGCCCCTGAGGACATTCGAGTTCTGTTGCCCTTCTTAAGACTCCAAATTGTCCAAAATCTGTCGCCAAAATGTTCGCGGGACTCAAAGATATGCTGCCGGGGCAGCACAAGAACCCGCCCCCATCGCAGACGCCCGCACCCACGGGGCCCCCGGGGGCCCCTCAGGGGGGCCCCCCTGGGGGCCCCCCCCCGGAGCAGCAGGGCGGCGCCTCAGCTGAAAATGAAATTACTCCTCCAGTTCCCGAGGGAGCAGAGCCTCTGGATGAGGCAGAAGTGGAGAAGATGCTCTTTGATGAATATCTCGGTCAGGCCTCGTGCTGCTGCTGCTGCTGCTGCTGCTGTTTTGGGGGTTGCTGCTAATGCTGCTTTCGGCTCTGTCGCTGCTGGCAGTGCTGCTGCTCCTGCACGCGCTGCTGCTGCTGCGCTTTCTGCACTTGGGCATGGTGCAGCAGCATTTGTGTTCGCTAGCGGGGCAGCTTTTGCTGCTGCTACTGCTGCTCGGCATTGGTTTGTTGCAGCTGCTGCTGCAGCTGCAACAGCAGCTGCTGCTGTTGCTGCTGCAGCTGCTGAGAACACTGTGTTGACTTGTTGCTGGCCTGTCGGCAGAAGTAGAAGCAGCAGCAGCTGCAGCAGCTGCATGAGCCGCCTCAGGGGCAGCAGGAGCTACGGCAGCAGCTGCTGCAGCAGCCGCAACAGCAACAGCAGCGCAGCAGCCACTAAGGCAGCAGCAGCATATGGGGGTCTGCGTGCTTCTCAGGAGCTGCTGAATATACTTATGAAGAGTTTCTCGAAATTGTGAAACAGCCTCCGGAAGAAAAGGGGGAAACAGAAGACGAGAAAAAACACTGGCAGCACCCGAGGAGGTGGGGGGTTTTACTAAAGTGAAAATAAAGAAGTCTGTGGCTGTGCATGCAGCACTAGGTTCTTTTTGAAGTTATTTAGGAGTTCTTTAAATTGAAAAATAAAACAACTGAAGTAAAATAACTCCAGTTAAAACCACTTTAAATCTTCTCGCAGACGCTCAGTGGTAGTGCGCTGCAGTGTATGGACAGCTGCGCAAGCTTGAAGGCCTCATTGTTACTTTTCTCACTTTTAGTTCTTCTTAAAGTTATTTTCATATATGCATGCACATATAAATGAAAATTTGCACAGCATGCATGCCCCAGCAAGCATATGTGCATGCATGTAAGTGCATGCTTGTGTGAATGCACAAAAGATTTGTATATATATATATATATGGAAATCCTCTATCTATAAGAAATTGGCCTAATAAGCTGTACGTGTGTGGGGCCGCGCACACTTGAGGCAGCAGAAATAAAAAGTATGTCCTTCTGTGCAGTTCAGTCCTGCAACGTTGGTGCATACATGGATATGTATGCGTCCATGCATGCATGCATGCATGCGCATATGAATGCGCTTCTGTATGTGTGTGCATGCATGCTTGCTTGCATGCATGCATGCTTGTGTGTATGCATGCATGCTTGCTTGCATGCATGCATGCTTGTGTGTATGCATGCATGCTTGCTGCGTGCATGCATGCACACATGCACATATGTGCATACATTATGCCCTTTCACTTTTTTTTGTTATGCTAGTGCACTAGCATCTCTCATTGTCTTTTGTCTTGAGGCTCTTTTTGGCTTTCTTGGCTTTGCTTTTCAGATGGAAAGTTGTCTTGTGGAACTTGGCCATTACGAATTACATGTCCGATCATCTTTCTGCCTTTGTTGAAATTGAATTCGGGGGCAGCAAAGAAGAATGCAAAGTGCAGGTGACTTGCCGTTTCTGCTGCTGTTGCTGCTGCTGCTGTTGCTGCCGCTGCCGCTGCTGCGGCTACTGTCACAGCTGCATATTCTTGCTGTGAGCTTTGGTCTCGTCGCTGCTGGTTCCTGACGAGCTGCTGCTTCTCTCGCGACCTCTTGCTGCTGCTGCTGCTGCTGCTGTGGCTGCTGCAGCGAGGCGACAGCACCCGTATATATGCCAAGGGGGAAGACAAGAACTACTTGAGAACCTCCGTCGTGAATAATGTAACTAGCAAGGGGTTTGTGGACATGCAGTTCAGACAGTCCTTTGAGTACAGGGGCTCTTACTTGGACTTGGAGAGGGAAAAACTTAAAATTAAGGTTTGTAGCCGAAGTTAACGCGAAAACGTTCTCTTTTCATTTTCTTGTTCTACTTTTCTTATCTTCCTTTTTCCATTTCCTTCTCTGATTGCCATCTCGGATTTTCTTGTTTTCTCCTCTGCATGCGTTTGTCTTGTGGAATTTCTTTTATTTGCCTCTGTTGGCCCCTTTTTAGGCGCACGTTCTCTCGCGTTTTTCATGTTCATGCATATTCAAATTTTTGCATTTTCTTTTGCCTCAACGTGCTTGCCTCCAGCCCCTCTGCTTCGTAAATGCTTTGTGCATCACTTTCGTTTTTCTTCTTGTGTTATCTTTTACTCTTTTGAATAATCATTTGCCCATCGCTCTGCGGGGGCTTCGTTTGTGTTAATCAGCCTCCTTAGCTGCCCAGGTACTCATCTGCTTTCCTGTAGTCGTTTTTGTGTTTGCTTTTACTTATTGCATTCTTTTCACAGCTTTCAGATATCTGTTTTGCGCTATCTGTCCCTTTTTCTTTGCTTTCAATTTTCTGTTTTCAGATACTCTTTTTAAATTATTTGTCTTTTTCTCTTTATTTTCACTTTTAATGGTATGTTTCAGGTCTGGGAATATCGCACTTGGACCCTTAACCTTCTGGAGGCTGTCTTCGAAGAGCCTCTACTGTCTTTTGCCACCGGCGAAACCCACATAGAGAGAGATCTTTACAAATTTGTTAAAGGTAAAAACCAAAATCCCAATTCCCAGACTCTGCAGAGGGCTCTTGCAGCAATGGCAGCTCAAGCTGCAGTTTGTAGGGCTGCGCAGGCAGCTCGGCTGCGCCTTTGGGACTTTTCCGCAGCATGCTCTACAAACATGGGTTTAGGGTTCAGGGTTTGGGGTTTAAGGTCTAGGATTCAGGGTTTAGGGTTTAGTTTTGGGATGTGTGTTCAGGGCGGCGTTCTCGACGGTGTCGAATAACGTTGCAATTGTACTTCCAAGAACTGTACGACTTCGAGTTGGCTTTCATCAAATGGAGATTAACTCGTCTTCACTCTTCTGCAGCTTTGCAGAAACGCGTCTTCAACAGGTTTGCCTCCCGCGTGCTGCGTCAGGAATGCGAAAGCGGCTTTTTGCATTCCTCTCTTTTAGGGTTTCTGCATTTGCCTCCTGCGAAGCTTTCTTCTTCTTGGTTTCTTTACCTTTCTTTGCCTGCTTATCCGACTTTGTCATTTTCGCCTTCTTGTCTTCTCTCTTTTTCTGTTTTTGCTTTTTCGCCTTTTTTGTTTTTGCGCGGCTGCGGCTCTGGGCCGTTGCCGGCTCAGGCCTTTGTACGACTGCTGTTTGTTTTTTCTGTTTCTGTCTGTTTGCATGCTCTTGTCTCTTATTTCATTTTTTCCGGAGATTTCCTCACTATGACTTTTCGACTTCGTTTTCGCACGTTTAGCTTTCTCATTGGTTCTACTAATGCTATTCTGGCTGCTTGTCTTTTCCTGTTGTTTGTCTCTCCTTGCCGGACTCTGTCTATTATTCCTGTTGCAGCTTTCTTATCTTTCTCGTTGCTTTGATTCACTATTCTATTTTCTTTATCCCTTCGCTGTTGTCTCTCGTTTCTCTCTCTGTCCTGCCCGCTGTCTTTTTGCTTTGTGTATTCTTGTCATTTCTCTTCCTACGAATTTTTTGCCGACTTCTTTTCTCTGTTTCATTCATCTTTTCCTTCACGTTGCATGCATTTACTTTTGCACTTTGTTGCGTCAGGAGATTCGTCAGAGTGACTCTTTTGCGCTTCCTTGCTTTTACCTTGTGTTATTTTTGAAATTTTGCATCATTTCACGTCTTCTCCAGTTTATTCTTTCAGCCTGTTGGTGTTTTTTTGCCCCTTTTGCTGTACCGCTTTATGTGTTTTTCCTTCTTGAGAGTTCATTTGGTTTCGCCAACTTCTTTGTCTTCTCTTAGGAAAACAACAAAGGCATCTGATGACATAAGGAAAAAAATTCGTCCCAACCAGTTCTTAGAAAAGGCCAAATACAGGCTCCAACAGAGAAACCTCAAGAAAAGCAACAAAAAAGCGTACAGAACACAAAATTTAAAACCCCACTCCCTTCAAACCCTACACCATAGTGGCTAACAAACCCTAATCGCTAGTGCCGGCAAGCGCAAGACCTCGCTATGGTGCAAAATCTATTCCCGATGATTCTGCAAACCCTGGACACTTTTCAGTGAATATCGATTCTAAATGGGCCTCTGCAGCGAGTCACTTGAACTAAAGCAAGCAGCAAAGAGCGCACATCAGGCAGCAAATCTAAAACCCGGTTCACAACAGTCTGCTTGCTGAAGCCTCTTACACCTGTCCACGCCTGTAAAGGCTTTCATGCATTTGATATGCACGTACATCTGACCCCTTGCTGCTGCTTGCGTTTGGCTGCTGCTGAATACTCCTTTGCAGAGAGAGTTTGGCAGCTTCAGCCGTGCAAAGCCGAAAGCTGACTTCGCGGGGGCTGACAGAGGGGGGCCGGGGGACCTCATTGCAGGGGCCCCCAGGGGCCCCTTCTCGCTTTCTGTCTGCAGTGAAGAGCGCCGCGTCTTTGCGCACTTTGAGGGACATGTCGCAGGCGAGTCGGCAGCTGCTGTTGGGGGGTAGTTCGCTGCAGATGCAGCGCAAGCAGGAGCCCGACGCGTACACGAATTTGCTGCTGCAGCACATGCAGACTTTGGTGGCAGTGGAACAAGATGCAGAGGCAGACAACATTCTGTCGCTGCTTGATGGAATGGAGCCTATATCCAAGTCGGTGGCCTCCAAGGCCTCAGTAGCCCTGATTCGACAGCAGCCGAACCCCCGCCTCAGGATCCACTTGCTGCATTCTTCAACGCTCAATAGCGGAGTCAAAATAACCACCACAGAACAAGAAGAAACCAATGCTCCTACTTGGGACAACTTAGGGGAAGTGTACTTTAGGGGCACCCTCAGGGACCTTGACAGCGCCTACCTAGAGGTATGCAAGCCAACGCATATACAAGCCAAGGGCTTATGAATTAATAGTGGAGCTTACGACAATAGATAGGGAAGTTTAAGCTGCTGAAACTGCACATCGGATTGGCAAAGGGCACACAGATGGCCTTGGGGAGCCTTTCGGACTGCATTTGTTTGTGTTTATTTTGTTTACATCTGCTTCTGTACACTCATTTGTATGCCTGCGAAGGAGGAGGTACCGATTTGCATCTGGCTGTGTGTCAACACCAACTTGTGCCAACAGATACCTCTTTGTTTCCATGAATACCTACCTGCATGCATGCATGCATGCATACATGCGCAGTTATGTGCAAATATAAGTATATGAATAACTGTAGGGGTTTGTGCTCAGGTCATTGTGGAAGACATGAGTGCTGCTTCGGCGTTTCGGCAGATTGGGTACGGACAGCTGCCTCTACGGGGTGTTGTGGGGTACCCTTCAGTGCAGATGGAGTTGGGGGCCCCCAACTGGGTCTCTTTGCAAGCGAAGGTGGAAGGGTGGTCGGAGCAGTTGAGCGACTGGCACTTCGGCTGGCTAGAGGGCAAGGTGATGATAGCGCACACTCCCCGTTACCGGCAAGTAGGAGAGGTTTATGAGGTGGAGGGAGGCCGAGTCTACTTGATAGTCAAGATCGGCAGCATAGACCAGATAATCACCGCAGACAACCGCAGCACTGTAGATGCATATGTGGAGGTCTCGTTTGACGGCACTTCCAGAAGGACCCGCGTCATCCGCAACTCCCTCAACCCTGTCTGGGATGAGGAAGTGGCTGTTCCCCTTCGATTCGCCTCCATCCGAGATATATCTTACACAGAAATACAAAGAAAAGGCAAGATCTACTTTGATGTGTGGGGGGTCGGAACCAACTACGTCGACCATCTGGGGGAATGCACGCTCTACCTTCAGGACATTTTCTACAACGAGAAAAACCAAAAGCGCACACAAGTCACCAAAGAAAGAATCATATTGTAAAATATTAACTGGGACTCGAAGCACAAGCCCTAGCTTTGACTGTTAAACCCAAGTCCAAAGCAAGAACTGATATATGAAGCCCAGACAATCTCCTTAGTAGTGACCTCGAAAGCTCCGCTAACATTTGCACACTTCGACTGCATTCGAAGAAAACTACTACTGCGCTTGCTGCCGTCTTCATTGCGATTTCTTTTGGTGGATATTTTGTTTGTTCTGCATCTCTGTAACTTTGCATTTAATCCCCGCACTTCTCCTTTGTTTACCACTTCTTATGCGTTTGTGTTGCCTGTCCGCTTTTTTTCTCTCATGTTGAGTGAGCGCAGAGTCTTGTTCTGTTTACTGCATTTTGCTGTAATGTTGCATCCATTGATGCATTAACAGTCGAATATTTTTTGTCTTCGCTTGTGGAGTGTCACCTGCGTTTTACCTTTCTCCTTTTTTTGTTCCTTAATGTTATCAGGGAGACAAATATGAAGGCCAAGTACGAAACCCGCGTATTCGCGGGCACCAAGCGCCTCTCCTTTATTCACAAAGACGACAGACCCTCAAATCTCACATTGGAGGCATGGACTTGTCCGGACATTCTTGATGTCTCGGACTTGGACAAGTACGCTTTAGGGTTCAGGATGTGGAACTGAAGGCCCAGGCCTTAAATCTTTGCTATTTACAGGCATAATGAATGCTCGTTAATCGGTAGAAACTTAGGGGATTTCTAAAATGGCGGATGTCTTGGGTTGACTGCGGGTTTGGATTTCGAGTCAGAGGCTCTTGGCTGTCTTTTATGGATCAGGCTTCCCCAAGCTGAGAGATTCGACACCAAGAACAACATGCCCAGGGCTCTTGCATGCAAGTACGACCAGCTCAAGGTGAGTCTGCTTTACCCAGAAACCCTACGTAAGCGTTTCTGGCTACCTATGCCAGAAACCCTAGGCGAGGGAACTCTTGAGGCTTCTTAATTAAGCGGAGTTTGGCCTTGGAGTGTAACGTGGCAGTGGGAAAGTATGAATTGTAGGACGTTTCGTCTCCACTTTCCTTTTGTACCTGTTCAGTTCAGAGCCTTGCGACCGAGGCTCTGTTGAATAGGGTCTGTGGGTATTTTCTCTGTAGGCTCTGTTCAATTTGGTGATTGAATCCAAAAAGCTGCTCGACGCGGATGCCCCCGTGGGCCCTCCTCGATGTTTTGAACTCGAGAGACTAGACCAACGCAAAGAGTCACAATTTTTACCAACTCTTGTAGCCCGTGAGTGGCCCCACCTCTTGAAAGCCCTTCACTCTGGCTGCTGCTGATTTGACGCTTATGCGTCTAGACGTTGTCCTCCATTTCCTCGTGTTTTCTGTTGGCTTGTGTTTACATCTGTTGGTTTTTATCACCCTCTTCCACAGCTTGTCTTCTTCTGCCAGTCGCTCCTTTTTTGTATCTCCGCGTCTCTGGGGTTTTCGCTTTCCTCCTTTGTTTTTATTGCTTCCATTTATAACACTTGTGGCGCGTGTGTCTTATTATCTTCATCCTTGTTTTTGTGCGCTTTCGTAAGCGCATGCTAAGCATGCCTGTTTCCCTGTAGGTCCCCTATAATTTTCTTCACTTTTCTCGTTGTGCGTTTTTCAGCAATAAAGCCACCATTAGGTGTGGACTCCCAAGCTGCTGTATTTCACTACACGCGATGTGTTCCCTTTGTGATAAAGAGACAGGCTCTTACCTTCTCTCCGGACTTTACCATGCAACTTAAGGCGGGAGACCCCCTGGACCATTCTCTGCTGATGACCAGTCTGCTTCTCGGCCTGCCCACGCATGCATTCGTCTGCATCGGTAATTGCTGAAGCCGCAGCTGCTGCTGCTTGTGCTGCTGCAGTTTCAGAGAAGGCAGTTGAAGCTGTAAAGAGACTTGCAGAGGCATAAATATTAACAGTGGCAAGCAGCAGCTGCAGTAGCAAGACCCGCAGCAGCGGCAGCAGCAGCAGCAGCAGAAAGTGCAGCAGCGCGTGCATTATGCACTTCTTCTGATTGTGTGTCATCTTCACAAGGAACTCTGCACGACAAGCACATGCATGCATGGGTCACTACATTTCACTGGGACGAAGAAAGAGAGACGGGGAATGTAAAAATGTGGGAGACGGCCAGCGGTCTGGTGTACGTACTCAAGAGTCGATTTCAGGACCTTGAGCTAGCACAGACGTGAGACTTAACGAAAAAAGCTGCGCATATAAACGTGCATGCAAACAAGTACAGTGGCAAACACAAAAATGAACGGGCAAGATCGAGCAAAAATGCTCAAAAGAGAACAAAACAAATGATTGCATTTTTAGTCGTGCTGGATTCTAGGTCTATCTTCCGCTTTAGCCACTGTATACGTATGCGCGCTAACTGTTTGTGTATGTGTCAGTGAAATCTTCTCTTTGTGAGCTTTTTGGCTCTCTTTTCTCAAAGTGCTGCCTACATTAGCAACAGTGTTTGTACTTTTGTTGATTATGATTATTAATGCGCCTTGAAGCCCCATACAGACGTTAAGATGTGAAAAAGAAAGTCTCAAAAATGGCCGAATTTGCGGCTTGTATCAACGCAGGGTCATTAAGGATCCAGAAGGAGGGGCCACGGAGATTATCCTAAACCAGCGGGTAACCGGATATTTACAAATATATATGCATGTGTACGGAGAGAACTTCAGCATATGTGTTTAGCGTTTGTGGTTTCGCTACACTCGGCCTATTTTTTTGGCTTTTACGTTTGCCTCAAGCTGCATTCATGCTGCCTCCTGAAGAAGTTGTGTAGTTCTGTTTGCTGGATTTGTCTTGCTTGTGTTTTATTCGTTCATCTGCACTTTCCCGTCGTTTTGTCCTCTCTTTCATGTCGGACCCTGCCGACTGTCTTTCTCTTTATCCCCCGCGTCTTTCGTTTTCTTTAGCCTCTGGTTGTTTGCGTCTTTTCTTTGCGTATTTTTGCCTCGTCGGTCCAGGTAAATGTTGGGCCTTCATTTTTGCCTCTCAGGCTTTGATCCTGTGCGTTATTAAATCTTTCCTTGAATGTGTCATATCAGTTTTACATGTGTGAATACTATTTTGTACCTGTACCACATGTTTGCTATGTGCTTTGTTGGCGCGGTTGACGTAGAGGGATCGTTTACTACTGGTCAATCCTGACTTAGCCGGTGAAGAAGCCGGGAGCACTGAAAACGGCTCCCTGTAAGCTTTCGGTTAATCTGAAGAGTTTAATTTTATCGCGCAAGCAACGTAGTATACACAGATAGCAGGTAGAGGTAAAGGCTGTCGAGCAAATGGCGAAAAATGAGAAAGGCTGGGGGCTAGTGCTGGGAAGAAAGAAACGGACAGGTGAGATGAATTAAATGAATTAACAACGTATGGTCCTGCTCGTGCATGCTGTCGTACTTCCGCAGTCGCCTGTCGCAGTTTTGGGGAAACAAACAGCAGCAAGAGGCCCCTGTTGGGGGCCCTAAGCTTCCATATCGTTCCCTTGATCTCATGTTCAACCACAACAACGTATGGCTAAACATACAAGATCCTAACCCGTCAAAGATTTGGTTTGACATTTGGAACTTCGTAAGCTCGGGCCTAAGGTTGAGGGTTAGGGGCTTGGGCTTAATAGGCAGTGGGTGCATGCCTTGCAGTTTGGTGAAGGACTTTTGCGCCGTTATTCATATATTTACTAGGGCTTTGGACTTTATCACGCTTGCCCGTGCTTTGGTTTGTGCTGAAGCTGTAAGATTTAGGTTTCTGGCTTTAGAGATTGAGATGTAGCCCGTGTTAAGTGTTAATGAATGGAAGAGCATTCACGCTTGGCTTGGCAAAGCCCGCAGCTCTATAGGACCAACTTTCTCATTCTGCATGCATGAAAAAGTGCATGGGCGTATTGGCAGATGGATGTATATTTGCTGCCTGTACGCATTTCGCGTGTCATCCTTTATGTCTACGCATTTGTACTGAGTCTATTTACTTCCTTTTGCGGCCGTGCTTCTTTGCTTTGTGATTGACTTTTCTCAGCGTCACTGGTATCAGTTTTATCCGGGCTCCTTTACGTTAACTCCTTGCTTTATTCCGAAAGGGTTAGGGTCAAAGGTATCCGAATTGCAGTTTGAAAAGATGTCAAACGAGCTCCTAGACAAAGTCACAGCTGATTTAACGGCATTTAGAGCCAGTCGAAACCTAAACACCAAGTGGAACAGAGACGAAGTTCTGGAAGCCTTCTTACAAACGTAAGAAAACCTGCATGTGATGACGCATGCAGATGCACTTTCATGAAGCTATGCATGCATATTTGCAAGGAGGCTCACGCTCTCTTATGAGCCTATGCATACATGTATATGCATTTGCCTACCTGTAGACAGAGTTCTCCAACTGTTTTGGAGGCTTTATGTGCCTTATTCAAATCCTTTCACCCTTCACCGATAGCCTGTTTTCACCGCTGCGTAGTTTTGGAAAGCTCTTTTCTGCTGCCTTTCCTTTAAAATGAGTGTCTATTTCTCAGTTTTTTCGTTTCTTGATGTGCTTTTTTGATTCCCACTTCTGCCTCGTTGCGCCTTTGTCATGCACGGTCAGCTTCCCTATCTTCCTCGTCACTTTTCTCCCGTCGTTGCTCATGCATCTACCTCTGTGTTAATGGGCTTTATTCATTTGTCGTTGCTGACATTGATTTCATCGCTGCTCTTTTTCTTGCCCTGGCTCTTCGTGTCTTGACAGATATCTCGTTTCCTCCCTTTTTGAGTGCATATCTATTTTTCCTCTCGTTTCCACTATTCTTCCCCTCGTTGTTGCCGTTATTTCTCTGGTTAGGAATTCCGTTTTTTTGCCCCCGCCCTCAAATCGTCTGTATTTGTCTTCTTTCTTTACACGTCTTTTTCTTTTTTCGTTAGCCTTTTCCTGGTGCCTATGCTGTTCATGCCGGCACTTTCATTATCAGTTGTAGCCGCTCTATATTGTGTTTATCTCCTGACTACAGGGGTCTCGAATTGCTTCATCAAGTGAACACAGCACGAGAAGAGGATTTTCAACTAGCCAAGCTGAAACTAGAAGATTGGCGCAAGGCCCTTTATTCTAAAGTACCCAACAGCTACAGGTAACGTCTCTTGCACGTTTTATCGATTAATGGCCATTCGTCCTGTTTTTCTCCTGTTGCTTGCCTTCCGCTTTTCATATCTGGATTTACGTTGCTTCTTAGATTTATTTGCTGCTATTTTGCAGCTGCTGTTTTCGCTTTTCTGTCCTTTGTTCGTTTATTTTTTGTTTTGTCTTACCTGGTACATCTCCTTTCCCTACTATTGAGTTTTTCTCATTTTTTGTTATCTTTGTGGATCTGCATATGTCCTCCAAATCCTGTAGTTCCGTATTTCTCGTTTATCTCATCTTCCTATGCCATTCTCTTATCACTTTGGCTCTTCATGTATTTGTGCATCTTTGTGTTTCCCTTTCTTCATCCATTCCTCCCTTCTTGTTACAGCGCGTCCGTGACTTGGCCAGTATCAAGTTCCCGAAGCCCCTGGCCGTTGATAGCATAGCGCCTCCTTTTGTTGTGCATATCTTTCTTCACTGTGCAGAGTGCGCGGGGTACCGCTTCAGTACAACACTTTGGACTGCAAGTGGATATCGGACTCAATAATTCGTCAAGTTGAATTCTTGGAGTCAAGAGATCGGAGCGCTGCATTCGCCATTTCAGCGTGCATGTACAACCTTCCTGGCGAGCTCTGCAGCACTTACATTTATCTTCTGCTCTGTCAAAAAGTGACAGAACGAGAAAGGAGGAGACTGCTTCTAGCGAAAGAGCAGGTATTCCACATGGCAACCCTCACACTCACAACAAAGGCAGAGACAAAAAATTCTTGCAGTCAAAGCCCACAGTTCTAGGTGTATAACTTGACGCAAAAGAAAATTATTTCAAGATCGCTTCACTATGAGCCGATGCTTCGTTGCCTGACCACAGCAAAAACAGCGTGTTTTGTATAGATCACAGCAATTCACATCTCGCGCTTGTTCGGATGTGTCTGCCAGTTCTTTCGTACTTTGGTTCCGTGGTTTCCACTCACTTTCTGGAGCACCTTGGACTGCTGTCCTTTCACTCTCTGTTATTCGTCACCATATTCCAATATGTTGTCCTTCGCTCCTTGTCTGATCCTTGCTTGCGATCCTTTCGCGCGCCTCTGTCTCTCTGTATTCCTATCGAACATCGCTTCTGTTCCGCTGCTGTCTTCTTCATTCTTCAGGAAGGCCGGGAAAAGGGCCAACGCCGGGCTCGAGCCAAGAGACTGCACTACAACAAACAAAGAAGACATCCCAGTAAGCAGTTCCGAGGATTTAGGGTTCAGGGTTTAGCGTTTGATGATAACGAAAGTGCCTGTGCAGTTCTTCGATAGCAGCTTTTACTCACGTCTCAGGTTTAACGACTTAACTCGAATTGATTACTCTTCCTACTGAAAGAATAGAAATTATGGCGGAAGGTGCAATAAGCAGCATCTAGATTTCCGGGTGCCACAGGTCGCCTGCAGTAGTGTTCCTTTTCTTTCCAGTTTCGGGTCTGAGGTGTGGGCCTTACCATGTTTGCGCTAAGAGTCACGGTGTGGGTTCTACGCAGAGAAAGTATCTTCTGAAGAAGGGGAAGGTCAGGATGACTTTGAAAGCCGTGAAGGGGGCATGTCGAGAACCATGCGCGAAGACGACGCTTCTGGGGGCCACCCAGGGGATCCCGAAAACCCACTTGAGGGCGGCGAAGGTGCCGAGGGATTACCGCCTCTGGGGAGTCCAAAAAGTAAAAAGCACAAGAAGAAACACAAGCAAAAAAAAGTACCTAAAGTCAAGAAGAGAGCTCCCAATTTGGTAGAAGGAAGCGAAATAGGATGGTTCAGTATACGCCGCAATTATTACGAAGAGGACGAGGCTCCCGATTTCAAGTCTCTAATGCAGGATCTCGAAGATTCTGTTGCTGAGATACTTCAGTGCGTCTCTCTTCTTTGCTTTAAAACTATTCTCCATCGCTTCTTTTGGCATTTCGCTGCATTCCTTCAGTCTTCTTGCGCCTTGCCGGGCCTCAATTTTGTTGGATTTTGTCGCCTTTCGCTATTGTAGCCGTTTTTATCCAGCTGGCGGGAATTTCGATCCTATTCTTTGACAGTTTTGTTATGAATTTCTACTTGTTTTGCCTTTTCCGGGCTATCTGCCCTCTGCTTACTGCTGCTTGAAACCACGGCTTTCGCCGTGCCTATGATTAGAAGGCTCAAACGGTTACTTTCATTTTTGTTTCACTAGTTTTAGGCGATGAGGCCGCCAGATCCTTTGGCCCAAGCCTTGGGTGCTTGATGGCTGTGATTGTGTGTTTTTCCTTCAGCATTAATCCAAACAGAGTCCGGGCATTTCAGGGTCGTTACTATGAGAAACGTCTTGTCTTTGCCATACACCCCGACTCTCTTTCTCCTCCTCCTCCTGTAGAGGGAGACAAGCAGAAAGAGGACCAGCAAGATGAAGACGAGAGTCCAGCCCAAGTTGCTGGGGCTCTTAGCCCAGCGGTTCTCATGGAAGCCTTAAGCCAGCTTACCGATCAGATGCTCGAGAAGAACGAAGTCTTCGCAGAGATCACAGGTTACACGCATTTACTGCTGGACCCTAACCCCTGAGAGCATTGAGCCTGAAGTGCTCTAATCTGAGGAAATCTGGGCTGTGAGAGCTCGCAAGTGCACACCTTTCTAATCTCCATATTCTTCGCTCGACAGATGTTTTGTTTACATGCGTGAACAGGTGGGGAAGCGCAATTTGGTTGGGATGGCCAAGGCAGCCGCCCTTACTGTGCAGAGAAGGAGGCGGAGGAGAGAGCTTCTCAGGAAGACAACATTGACGGTCCTGTGGCCGAAGCTGGGGAAGAACCAGAGGAGGCAGGCAAGTCAAAGAAGAAGAAAAAGAAGGAGAAAAAAGCAAAAAAAGAAAAGAAAGAAAAGAAAAGGAAGGAAGGAGACACCCAAGATGACGCGATACCGCCGCAGTCCGACTCGCCAGAAACTGAAGCCACAGAAGAACGGATTACACCAAAGCCCGTTGATGCTGATGAAGGGGCTGTTTCTGCTGACGCAATTCCTGCTGCAGCTGCGGCTGCAGCCGCCCCAGCAGCGGTTGCAGCAGGAATACCAGTTGTTGCCGCTGCCGCGGCCATGGACAAGGTCACTAAGAAGAAAAAGAAAAAGGAAAAAAAGAAAAAGGAAAAAAAGTCTGAGCCAGAGTCCGATGTTAGTACACCTCGAGATGAGAAGCCGACAAAGATAATCAGGCAGCCCTCTCCCCCGCGTAAAGAGCCCACACCTCCACCGAGCAGCAGCAGCAGCAGCAGCAGCAGCAGCGTCGAGGAGAAGGCGCCTCCACCCCCACCACCTAAGCCCAAGGGACTCGGCTTGACCGCTGCTGGCACCGTTGTAGCCGCCGTTAAGCGTCTGCGGCGCCGCCGTGCCCCAGCGGCATCCAGCAGCAGCAGCAGCAGTAGTAGTAGTAGTAGTAGTAGCAGCAGTATCAGCGAGACGGACTCGGAAATACGGGAGCAGGAGCGTTTGCTGCGAGCTCGTTTGTCAGATTTGCGCAGGCAGCATGAGCAGCTTCTTCGGCAGCAGCTACAGCAGCTGCCAAGCGCAACAGATAGCGATTCCCTGTCTCTATCTGCAGTATCAAGGGACAGAGAAATCCCCCCCAAAAATAGCGCAGAGCTGCGTTTCGTCAGCTCTGGGGACGACAGTGAAGAAGAGGAGGACTCTCAGGAGGCGGAAGAGACAGAGAGACAACTTAGAGAAAGGTTATTGAGGCTCGAGAAGGCTCAGAAAGACCTCAAGGGAATGGCCTCAAATCTACACGAGGCGGAACAACAGCTCACCTTTGCACGCATCCCAGCTCATGGTGAGCCACCACTCCCTGTCTACTGTTTTGTCCCTCTGTTTTCGTTGTTGGCCTTTCCTCCTAAAACTAACAGATAGGTGGAAATTTGGTTCGCTGAGTCTATTGCTGTAGATATGGCGGTTGCGGAGGCGTTAGAGAATCTGCAGCTGCTGCCGCTGCTAGAATGCGGGTTCATTCCTCATCGGTTTCTTCGTCATGTGGTCATTAGTCAGTCTGTTTACTCGGGCGTTTCACTTTCTGTTTTCAGCCAGGTGTTTTCTCCTTTCGACAAAGCATCAGCTTGTAGTAGCTAGTGATGCGTGCTCGTTTTCTTTGTGTCTGCCTTTTGCATCTTCTGCTGCAGAGGCAGGCCTAGATGAAAGGTACCTTTCCTACGGAAGCAGCACGATGGAGAACCCTTGTCCGCTCATTCCGTCTCCCCCTTCCCTGTGCTCAATGAAAATCTTGTCAAAATTGCCGCAGTCCTGCGCAGTGGTAGATGAAGCTGTTTTTTCTGGGTCTGAGGCAACTGGTAGCATCAATGGCGCAGCATCAGAGAGAAACAATACAACACTGGGTTTCGTATCACTAAACACTCCTTTGTTGGAGCATCAACTGCATCAGAATGCTCAGCAGCAGCACTTTATTCCGTGGTGGTTGGGCCGAAAGGCGCGAAGGAGGCGCCCTTCGCCGTCACCTGAGAGAGACCAGAATGAGACAAAGGCACCCAACGGTAGCATCGCAGTATCAGCAGGTTCTTCGGGGTTGCGTGAGGACGCCACTAGAGAGTGGTCTCAGCAGGATTCATTTCAGTCAACTGCTGCTGCTGCAATGGTGCTACAGACACAGCAGGAAGCATTGCGGCGGCAGCTTGAGCAGTTAAAACAGAAACAGTTGCGGGAGCGACAGAAGTCGCGGAAATGGGGAGCTGTGGCAAAGGGTTACGCACCAAGGAAGACTGCTTTTGCTTACAAACGCATTCCAGATAGACAGGTGGTGGGGGAGGCAGGCGACACGACTGGCACTCCTGACATAATGCGCGGCTTCCTTCTAAGCAGCAGCAGCAGCACATACAGCAGCAGCAGTGACTCTGGAGAGTCAGAGTATTGAGAAGATGTGTTCATTTGGCTTCCATTCACCGAATATGTTAAGGAAGAGCGTGAACATTAACAGCCAACTTCGCACAGAAAGGAGCACAAGCATGTGCTTTGAACAAACGCTTGAGAGCTGATAGGTATCTGCACGTATGTTCTCAAGTATGCTTGTATGCATACGCAAACGTACACGTGTGCACGCTTGTTCAAGTATGTTTATATTTGTGTATGCACGTCTGTTTTATGCATGTATATGCATGCGTTTACACCTAGTTGGATGCACCATCTAAGTGTGTATACCGCTGTTTACCAGCAAACATGGCAATGTACAGAAGGTTTCGTAGTTTGTAGCTTCCTTATCGCCCTTGCGCATCAGCAGTGCACTTGCTGATCTCTGTAGATCTGCACCCAGTAGGGCCAGTTTGTTTGCTGTTGGGGTGAATACACATTTTTTTCTGACATTTGCCTCATGTTCTTCTTGTCCATGTAGATCAGTGGACGTGTATGTTCACCCAGGAGCGTTTGGTACTGCTTTTCTACTTATCTTCTTTTATCTACACTCAAGGAGTGTGAATCGGTGTGGAACGGCACAAGAAAAGGAGAAACAGGGCAGCATAGAACGAACCGCAGTTTTTCAACTGTCAAATTATGCTTTCTCCATAAGCCGGATAGAAGCAGCGCCAGTAACAGCCCCAGAAATAGCTGCAGTGTGGACAGTAGCTTCAGAGAGCTTCAATTTCTTTCAGTTCTTGAATAGCTGAAGTGCAAATGCGCAACCGCAGCTGCTAAGCTGAAGTAGGCATTTACATTTTCAAGCTAGCTCGCTCGTTGAAAATCCTGCCAGCTAGATAAATTTTGGAGAGGTCGCGCACCATGCGGAGTCTTCCAGTGGGAATATTTTCAGCTTAATATGAGCCATTAGATGCACTTCGAGGCGAACGTACATCTCGAGGATGCAACAGGAATTTTCAGAAGTTCCTTGATTTCCTCAAGAGCCGATGGGATAATGTGCATCCGCGGCAAGTGGCAGTGAAGGCTCTTGGGAGTGTTGTGCGCTTATCGGGACCTAATTTTGCCGGGAGCGTCAGTACGTCCGCTTTTGTTTGGGTCGGTATGCTGGTGTCTACTTGTGCTCGGACTAAAGTTCGCTAGCTGAGAGCCACTACAAGCTTGACGCTGCTTCTGAAGTGCTCGTGGTGGCCATACATTTTACGCTTATATATTGGGCTCGAGAAATAAACGGGATCCTATTAGTCATGCTGCCACCCTGCATTGCAGGAGCGCCAGCAAATGCTTCTGCACATGATATGCGTTCGATTTGCTTCTTGAGCCGCATTGAATGCTTTCTGAACTGTGTACCCGCATGCCATCCCCATGTACAAATTAAAGGAACTCTCTACACCATTGCAGCAGCTGGCGCCAGGGCCTACAAAAGTAACATACAGCTACCGCTGCGTGGTAAAGGAGCACAGAGGAGGTTCCTCATTTAAAACGCTAGACAGGGGGCCTCTTGGAAACTCATTCGAGGGCATATCGTATCTGAGGAGGCACCGGTTCCGAAAGGCTGTTGTTGCACTCTTCTTCGTCTTAGCTATGTGCATTGAAGGCAGAGTAGTGCTTTTTCCGATACCGTCTTCTTTATTGCCGAACCACGCAGAAGTCACGTCTGGCACATGGCGAAGGCTAATGCTTTCGTACCCATCTTTACGTCTAAGCCGCTGCATCTATATGAATACAAGCTGCACCCTAAGCTCGTTTCAAATTTCCAAAGGCGTTTTACCTGCCAAACAGTACAGCCAACTAGCTGCAGCCCACCCTTTCCTCTGGAGCAGTCCCTTGCAGCACAGCTCCTCCTCCTCGCAGCAGATAATTTCTATTCACCAACGCACGAGGCTATGCAATCGTGGGCAGACAGCAGCAAAGGCGGGGCCTGAGAAGTTCCCGCAATTGTCCCAGAGTGCAGCAGGGATACTGGAATGTTCTCCTGGGGCTTTGAGTTCTGGTAAGCAGGCCGGGTGCCCTAATCATGAAGAACAAGCACAGGAAGTCTTTGTCACTGGGGATAAGTAGGTCTGCGGGTTCTCGGTGAGAGCGTTTCTGGAGGCGCTGTAGGCGGGGCCGTAGGCGAATCCCTGTAGCTGCTTGCACAGCGCTCCGACGAGATCTGTGTTGAATAGTCCTTACTGAGATCTAATGTAGGCTACTTGAGTTACGTGATTAGTATCTTCTGCTGCTGTCAATTTTGCACTTTTACTATGTAGCTGTAATACAGGCATTCGGAGCCGTTTACACCAGGTGGCACTCATCCTAACTTTGTGCAGCCTTTGTTCCGTGGGCGTAGAAGAACAAGTATAGTATCATTTTAAGATGCATTTTAATTTAGGTTATACCCGACACGAAGCTCAACTATGGGCCCGAGGGTATCGGTCACCTTCTAAAGGGCCCCCCCGCGGCGACCAGTGTCGGCAGCGGCAGTGCCTTGAAAGATATCCCCAGAAACTTAGGGTCACAACAAGCCCACGGGTACCTTAGAACGCTTGTTTGCAAAATAACATTGTTTCTAAGGCATCCCTTTCACAGCGCCTTTGGCCATATCTGCTTTATGCATCTCAGGGCTCGAAACACCGTATCTCCCATGGGCTCCTAATCATGAGTACCAATCACTACCTGTTAACCCCATTTCAGTGAATGCATCCTTGTAACACACATTAAAGCTGTATCCCGACTCCTTCACGTCATTGATCAAGCCCCTCCGGGACCTGCAACGAGTCAAAGGGGCCCCGCTGGGGCCCCTCATTACTGTATTGGAGTCCAGAACTTCCGTTTTATTATGCATCTTCGGTGGAATGGGAGGCTCTGTACGAGCCCCCGGACATTGCGTCTGTACCTCGGCCTTGTTTGCCTGCTCTACTTGTCGACTATTGCCGCTGCGCTCAACGTCAAGATCAAGGACAGCAGCCCCAAAACAATAACAGCAAGAGCAGCACTATCAGCAGCAGCAGCAAGGACTGCTGCAGCAACAGTGAAAACGGCAAATGAGTCTCTGGGACCCTCCTGCAGTGTTGGGTGCAAGACTTTCAACTTTTTAAAAACTCCCACGCGTTGGGGGACTCTCGCAAGTCCACCAGGCTGGCGCTCGATGGCTCAAAGAGCTTTTCGTTCTTTGGGTATGTCTACTAGCATAAGCAGATGTTGTAATGGAAACTCATATTCTGTTGGAGGCACACTGGTGCTGCTCTGCCAGAAATAGCAGCACCAGTATGCCTCCAACAAAATATGACTTGACGAGTTGGTGGCAGAAGCAGCAAGTGCAGTGACACCAACAAGGTGTGAACAGCAGCATCAGCAGCGATAAGCTGGGAACCAGTCGCACCAGCATCAAGAGGAGCAGCGCCTGAATCATTTGCTCTTCATGTCACATTTATGTTGCAGGTGTTCCCAGTGTTTTGTCCCCGGGGCCTTCTGCAGACACCCGACAGTGGATCAATTTATACGAGAAGTCTGCCTTCTAGCGCTAAACCCCAAAGCCTATCCCATAGACCCAAGCGTTGTTTCCCTTTAATATCACTCAGCTTCAAGGATTTGCTTTTGTTTGTGAACCAGCTTAGTGGAGCCAGTTCACAGTGATTTCTTTTCGGTTTCACGGGTTTATACAACCTAAGCCGCTCAAGGTTTGGGAGTGTGGGTTTATTCACAGGCAGCGGTCTGAGCGAGTGCTGTTTTTGTTCTCGGAGTTGACTGCCCAGACAACTGAGGAGTTACTTTCGTCTTTGCTGCTGCTTGAGGAGGCAGCCGACACTTCAGGAAATAGGCACAGTCCTGTGTATCTACACATACACTCGAATGGGGGGCCTATCACCCACGCCCTGGCCATCCTAGACCTCATGCAGGTAACGCTTTGTTGCTGCTGCAGCTTCTGCTGTTGTAATTATTGCACTTGTGTGCTGGGCCTCTATGCCCCCACTGCAGCCGGCGCTGCAGTGGCAGCAGCTCGCTTCAGCTGTCGCCGCTGCAAAGTGAGCTTGGTTCTTCCCCCCTCTGTTTGCAGCTAATGTCAAGTCCAGTCTACACTATAAACTGTGGGCTGTGCGCATCTTCGGCTTCTCTTTTGTTGGCTGGAGGAACACCAGGGCGCCGCTATGCATTACAAGGCAGCAGAGTCCTCCTGCATCTTCCAATGGGGTCTCTGGGGGGCCCTCTGACAGACCTTTTAGTGGAAACTGATGGCGTCAAGCGAGTTAAAACTCAAATTCACAGCCTCTACGGGTAAGGAACATAGGACTCTCATTACCAAGACCACAACTGAGGGTCTTTCATAGGGGCACTCTGAGGAGGCCGCTTCCTGGGTCCTGACGCTCTTCAAAGAAATATTGTGTAGCTTTTTGAAATGTGGTTCATTACTAAGCGAGTAGTCCTGCACTTGGTGAAGTGTTAAAAACCGAAGAAAGTGGAAGTGGACGGACCGGGGTTTGATCCCGGGACCTCCTGAATGCAAATCAGGCGTGATACCACTACACCATCCGCCCTCGACGCCACCTTTCAACTGCAGGGGCCCTTTCTTGTATGGTTGACTTGAAATAGACCTTCTCCATGAGGGCTCCCATAGAATTGTGCCAATCTGTGCCTATAGATGCCCGTCTGTTTCCATTTTCTCTGTGCTGCAGTGGCGGGATATGCAGTGATTTCTAAATTTTGTTCTGGGTGCAGATCCCCTGAAGAATGGCACCAGTGTCTGTAGTGGCCTGCAATTTACCTCCATAAGAATTTTTTCGGTTCGACATTAGCAGTTGATAAGTTCATTTTTTTACGGTCTTACGTCTCAGGTGCCTAACAGGCCTTTCTCCCCCTTCAGTGGCCTCCTTACTATCAGAGGAAAGATATTTGAATGCAGAGGGAGCGCTTAAACACGGGATCATCGATACCGTGATGCCGCTTGCGGAGGGAACTCCACAAGACGGAAGAATTCATCGAAATGGTTCCTGAGGGAGTTCTTGCGCTCAGCAGTAGGGGGGCCATACGGGAGGAAAGAAGGCGATTAATCAAAAGAGTGCCCCCCAGCAGTAGACAAGCCCTCAAGACAAAAATGGAAAGCCCAACTAACAAATGGTGGTGTAAAGCCCTTTTACACGCCCTATGAGCGGCTTTTAAAAGGGCTCTTAGCTAAAACATCCTATCGTAAAAGCTTCCCAAGGCAAGTGAACGTCTCAAAGTTCTTTCGTTTGATTTGGACCTCGTAGATGCTTGGACAGGCCGGACGCAGTTGGCGGTATGGTTGGTGTTGTGTGGCTCAACTGTAAAGAAAATGTGAGAAATCGAGGTGAATGAATAGCTCAGCAATTCCCATTGGCCTCATTAACGGTGGGGTCGGAGTCTGTTCGCTTCGCCTTATCTTGCTTTTGGTTTGGAGGGGAGGTAGGCGATGTAGGTGCTGGTCCCCTGTTAAGCTGCAGGGTCTGAGTGTCAACTGTGAGGGTGACAGGCCCGTCGTTGTGTATCTCTACTCCTGTGGTCGAACACAGAATGAAAAGAGACAGAGGCAGGAGAAAGGCACACAGTTAAAGCACCAATGAAGAAGTGAGAGAGACATGCGGCTGACAAATGCGTGCAGACGCAAATAGGCAACGGCAGAAGCAAACAGAGTAGTTCAGTTGAGATACTGACGACAGAAAAAGAATTACAGGGACAGATACGCAAGCGACCAAAACAGGCACAGGAGCAAACAAACTATGAACGCAGGCGCCAGTGGGTTCTTTAGCTGCAGCTTCCCCCTTAAGAGCTTATTTCTGGGCCTTCGGCTCACGCATGCGAGTCTGGAATTGTCCGCACTGAATTTTACTTGGTTCGTAGCCCTTGCGAAGACTTTCTAAAAAAGACTCATACACTGGGCGCGCTTTATCCGGAGGCATTGCTGCACCAACAACCATGAGCCCTCATCTACTCAGCTTTACATAGAAGTACTAGTAGTTGTGGATGTGGCGGCAACATTTTAAGGCAGCCACTATTACTTCCAAGCCCCGAAACTCACGATGATGGAGGCGTGGGGAGGCATGCAAAGGCACTTTCTTGTGAACAGCAGCCCTATAACTCACCAGCGGAGAAATCCGGCTGGAACCCTTTTTTCGTTTGGGCCTGAAGAGTGAAGTTGGAAACTAACAGCAATTCTGGAGAACACCAAGAACACAAAATGGCTCGGACTTAAGGCATTGCAGCTGCTGTAAAGCTGCAGTAAGCCAACGAACTGAACAACTGGTTGGTGCGTTGCTTCGATGCCTAGGGTCGAGGAATAAGGGTTTACGGTTTACCGTAGCCCATATCAACAACACTCTTCTGCCAAGGCTTGCCAGATGAATCCTCTGAAGGCAACAATGGCAGAGGTTGGGACTGCCCGGCACATGGTTCTGAGCCTTGGTGCTTGTAACCGGGCTGCGCACGCTTATTATGTGCGTGTGTGTGTTGTGATTGCAAGAGAGTATTGAGTGCGGGAGTTGGATGCACGGTGTTGGCGAGCATTTGAGAGAAACAAACATATAAGCCACATGACAGGCGAGCTGAAGTAATTTAAAAAAAGCACGGAAACTCGGGATAGGTGAAACTGAAACCGTACCCCACAACCTCGTTCCTAGGCACTTCTTCACGCCATAGTCCACGTCGGCCCTATACCAGATCCACACCCTACAGATGCCTCAAATGCGGTCCCAGTGCTTAGGACTTTTGCACAGACAATATTGCAGCTCTTCAGGAGCTGACCAGTTTATGGGGGTCAGTTGGTACATGCGTGGGTCTACGGCGTACTTGTGGTCGTGTTTGCCAATGCCGAGGAGACATATGAGGCCCTTGCCAATCCTTGCAACTTCTTCTCCAGTCTCTGCCACCTTCACTGCTGCTCCTTCGACTCGTTGGAGAACTAATTTCATTTTCGTAGAGTGGCTTAGAGCAAGACTTCTGTTGGTTCATATCTTCGGCCCCCCAGTTGATAGCTTCTCAATGCACTCTCCTCCGGAGCCACATGACGCAGAGGAGCCAAGAAGGTTGAAGAAAAGAGTCAATATGAACCTGTAGAGTGGATAATTCCAGTGAGCAGGGTCTGGATATTAGGGCTTGGAACCTGCTGCCCTTGGGGGGCCCCGGTAGGCGGCCACTATTAACCTTCAATGAAACTGTACAATTAACAACGTAGGTGAAAACATTTAATTTTTGCAAGAGCCTCAAATCACTATGATTCAGGATTCAAGGCAAGTCTTAGAACAGGACTGCATGTCAAGTGTTTCCACAATCGATTTCGCAGCACTTGCCAGGACAGCGCCCAGTGTTTCAAACCCTCCAACATTTCGAGCGTAGGACCCGAAACCCCCAGTGCGTTGATCCCAATACTGAAAGTATACAACACTTTCAACTCTAAAGCTCGTGATAGGGACTGGTTTCTCACACGAGCATACCTTTATGCCTCATGGCGAAGCTCCTGCCGTGACAAAGTACCGAAGGTGAGCCAGTAAGAGAAGTTCAAAGATAGTATGCACCTGCATTTTCCCGTATATGACATGTCGAGCTACGCGGCGCTGCTAGTATCGTTCGTCTCCCCTTCAGGAATTTTCGTAGCCAGTGTCTCTGTTCTTGCCCAAGTGTTTGTCAAAGCTACTTAAAGTCCTGTAGCTTCTGCATTTGTACTTCAGAGGCGCCTGTTTCTGCCACATGAAATCGACGCCGCGTCCACGGGCACCACCTGTGTAATACGTTGCCGCCTCTGCGGGCAATCCTGTTTTAGTGGAGGTTTTTTGTTAGCTTGTAAGCGTTCCCATTTAACTAGTAAGCTTATTCCAAACGTGGCTTATCTTCTTTAAGGCTGGGATCTCTTTTAGGTTACATGCTCTGGGTGTGGCGTTCTTGCTCTGTCGACTTGCTAGCCGGTCCTCCCTGATAGCGTGGCCTCAACTAATCCTGGAAACTTCAATAGTTCCTGACTGAAGATTAAGCTTGAGCCACTCCCAAACCAAATAAGGACTAGACTCAGTCATCACAGTGAAACCTCGTCGATTCTTAACTCATAAGTATGCAAAAACCGCAAATTGTAGCGACTCCATTAGGCCCCAAATTAGGCACCCACTTAAAAGTTCAGGGTACGAAGATTCTAACATGGGATTCAAGCACGGCAGCTAGAGTGGAGTTTTCCACCCGTAAGCCAATGCCTTATGGCTGCTGCCAGTTGAAGCATCGCCTGCGTATGCCCACCCTGAAACTTAAAAACACACATGGAAGTCGGGGTGTAGAGACACGCCGAGGTGTGCACACACAAATAAACTTGAAATTTCATTAGATGAGGTGTCCCTCGAGCTCCACGAGTCTCTTGACAAGGGCTGTGAGGTCCAGTCTCCTTTGCTGAGCAGCACGAGCCCCAAAGAATGCAAATTTGGCTTTATTTGGCGCTGCTGCTTCTTGTTCAATAGCAATCGCGTCATAGTCCAGGGCCTCTTGCTGCACTTGCTGATTTGCCACCTGGGGGCTTTTCCGTGTCAGTCCAAAGGCTGACAGGGAGTAAAACTCATTGAGAAAAGCGTGAAAAAGGCCCTTTAGATGCTTCACGTAGCTGCATATCAAACCTGGGCAGCGCAGCTGCAGCCACCCGTCCAGCCACAGAGCGCCTTCACCTTGAGCGGGGACCAGCTCGCAGCCTGCGCCCACAGAAAATTAGGGCCCGAATGCCAGTCCTAAAGCCAAAGCCAGGAAGAGCATATTCCATGCGACGACACACATGAAACTGTTCACACGTCAGATCAGAAACTGTCAAGAGGCACAACGCGCACGTCCAAGATGAAAAACAGAACATTACTAGCAAAAGCGGTAGCAGCGATAGCCGCTGCAGAAGAGGGCCTTACAGGAAAGAAGCAAAAGCGCGAAGACGGAAACAGTAGATACGTCCTTGATAAATACTTTGGTGGTTTGCAACTTCTCACTAAACGCCACCCACTGGGTGTCGAAGTCGCAGGACTTAAAGTTCACCGAAGTCGGGTGTATGAATACCCTAAGAGACAAAGCACCTACGCGCATCCACAGACTTGAGTGCCATCGCAAGCGACCAAGCATTGAAAGCCACAGGATGCAGTGGTTTCAAGTCTAACCGTGAATGGCTACACAGGCAGGGTAAACTCAAAATGTCAGGTTGCATCGTTAAGGCATTGACACCCAGAAGGAGAAATGCTAATTTTGAGCCGCGGGCCCTACCGTTGGAGTTTCTGCCTTGGGGATTTTTTGTCTTCTTGCGGAGAGTTCGTATCCGCATCAACGCGAGTGAAAAACTTCATTTGCCACGCTTCAGGTGCCTTCTCAAGTGTACCTGAGCCCACTGTCTGCAGCAGCAACAGCAGCAGCAACAGTAGTCGAAACTGTCGCAACGCCGACAGCCGGTGGTAAGGGCTTTGACTGCGTGTGTAACATAAAGCAGCATTCACACAAGGAGAGCGATTTTTTAACACATATATTTTAAAAGCAGATTCCGGGTTTTGGTGTTCGAGGCCTACTGTGTACGTCCGTGGGGCTTGGATGGTGGCAACTTGGGGGTATAGACCCGCTACGACGCAAGCCTTTATGTACCAGTAGATGCTCCTCACGCTGTCTTTGGTCTTGTTCTTAGAGTCGACGCTTACAGGCCCTCGAGATGCAACAGGAGAAACTTCCTCCACCCGCAACGTCACGTCCTCCTCGCCGCTGTCGCTTGCGCAATCACCTGCATTGCTGCTGCTGCCGCTGCGACTGGGGCTCGCTGTTGTTGCAGGAGAACCCCTTTTGCCGGATCGGGCTGCGAAAATACACAAAGTGTGTGTGAAGTATTCACAAGCTCATGTACAGCTGGTCCTGTCAGGTGTGTCACAAAAGCGCGCGAAGAAATAAGTGGGCGAGCCTCCTAGCGTACACGTACAGAAATGAGCGCCTGTACACAGTGCCTGTTGCATGTCTCACCGGACATACCGTTGGGCTGTGCTTGGCTGTCTGTCTCTGGTGGCATCATCACCATGAGTCCTGCTTCTCTGGCAACTCTCCTGAACCTTTTTCTTAAGGCCTCTGCTGCTCTGCAAGTGCTCGCATTTACCCCGAAACGGAGACAAAAGGAGTCCTCGGCCGATCGGCCAGAAGAGACGGCTGACTCCCAGCCAGCAAACACCCGTAGGCTGCTCACGAAGTCCGACTGACTGCGTGCGAAGTACTAAGCCCACAAAGCACAACCCGCAAACAATCGTGACACGCGTGCATTACCACATGATCCAAAAATGAACAGAAATACTGATACGGTCAAAGGGAGCGAGGCATGAAATGTACACAGCGTTGTACGTGGACAGAAGGCAACAGAAACAGCCAGGCGCACAGAGAGACAGGCAAGAATGCAGGCTACATCAGAGAGCATGATATGCCAAAGGAAAAATTAACGATGGAGACAAGCACAGCAACAACCAAGATCAGCCCTTTCTTCTTTCATGGGACTTGTAGTGGCCAACAGCAGCACAAGTATCTGAAGTGTGCCCATGCACGCGTGCATACACAGCACTGCACGCAATCTATTCAGTGGCAACCCAACCTTTTGTCTCTCAGCTGCTGCTTCCGCTCCGGGAAGATACAACTCAGAGTCGGCAGCCATAAGAGAACAGAGCGCAAGAGTTTCTTCGAGACAACCCAAAGGCGCAGCAAAGATTAACATTTTCGCAAACGATATGCTCATGGGGAAGCGCGAGAGGTAGAGACCCAAAGGGGTCAAAGACTCTCCAAGATCATGCCCGACACACTCGAGCGCACCCAAGTGTTCCAGATGTCTGCAGCGCCAAAAGCATTAGCAGAAACAGTAGCACTAAGGGAGCCAGATCCTGCTATTGGGCAAAAAGATGAATTCCTTTGACACAAATTGTACCTCTGCTGCTGCTACTGAGACTGCTGCGGACCTGATTGAGGCATCAATGTGCTCCTGCGCTGGAGGGTCGAGGCACTGACTGAACAAGCTGTGCAAAGGCTCTTTAGGGAAGATTGCCTGAGGCGGCCCCAGCCACACGCCAAGCAACAGTAGCAGCCGCAGGAACAGCAGCGGTGACAGCATATGCACCCAGACGGTGTTGAAGGCATGCTTGGGACGGGAGAACAGCCAGTAGGCAAGGCAAGAATCTTTTCCACTTGTGCAAATGCTTTAATGACTTCGTAATGAAGCGTGTATAGATTGCAATGCAAATCGAGGAAAATATGGACTAAACAGCGCAGGGAGACATCGGATCGGTATATAATCAGAATGCCACAAATACGTTTATTTGTACTATGTTGCTGTGTGCTCACCTTCAGCTGTAGACAAACGTTGTCCAGAGCCTGGCGGTGCAACTCCGGGGTTTCCACCCTGCAGCAATAGCAGCACAAGCAGCAACCCAACAAGAAACAGACACATAATGAGTTGTTTTAGTTGATATCTGCGAGCTTTGGCGTAGGGGAGAGCGCTCCCTAGCTAATTCTATTAGCTATCTGTCCTCTTTTGCAGGCCCTTCGGCTCTTCTTCGTGTAGCCTGTCATTTCCTCCAACATCTGCAGGGTTTGTGCTTAAATGGGAATTGAGCTTCAAATTTAGGTTCTGCATTCAAGGGTTGCTGACGTCGCCATGTTTGCAAACTCGTCTTTCTGGTATAGCCGGAGGCAGCAGCCCTCTGAAACTCTCCCGGCTCGTCCTCTTCTCTGCTGTGCATTGGCTTTGGTGATGAGCTCCTCTTGAAGTCTGCTGCTTCTCTTAGACGGGTCATATCGCAGGACTTTGTGTGTTCCGCAGTCAATCACGTATCCTACATCCTGATATGTACATTGCACACTCCACAATCGCATCCCCAGCTACTCCACCAACAAACTGCAGAAGAACTATTTCATACTCGACTGGCAGCACAAAAAGGCGCTTGATCTACTTACGCTGCACCGAGTCTCAGGGAGTAGAGTCTGCCGCTTACACTTATAGTGATGGAGGTTTCGGCAATATTTGTTGCGACCACCACTTTCCTCCAGCCAGATGGGGGAGCAGCAAACACCTAAAATAATCGCCCAGAAAACAGGCTCAATCCTACACTACATGGCTCTGCACAAAAGACTCTTCTCAACAAAAACCGGCTGTACACGGAGTTGGGACATGCTGCGCGTCTAACACCAGCTGCAACAGTGACGGCTACAGCAATTAGACATCACCTTCTGCTGTTGTTTCGGATGCAGCGACGCATGACATGGTAACACCCATAAGTCCATTTGTAACTCCTCAACTGCCCGGCATACAGCAGAAACCTCGCCGACACCGCTGCAGAAAACAATTATAGCTGTTCCTCTCGCTTGTTGCTGGTGTTGCTGCCCGTGTTTACCTCTTCGCGAACCCCTGGTGCCTTCTGTAGATGATTTGGCACACGGAGTCCCCGTCAGGTGTACGTGACGAACAACTGCTGCAACCAACTGAGGCAGTTGAGGAAGCGACCCCACAGGGGTTCCTGCCGCTGTGGCTGCTGCATTTTCAGCCATAGTTGGCGTTGGGGAGAAAGTGTCTTGCTGCTGCTCACGCCACTCAGTCTTTGCCGCGGTGGGTCTCCCTCCTTTGTACCGAGCTTCCACTGCTGCTGCTATTGCTGATGCGCTCTGATACGCAGCAGGGAGCGAAGAAGGATCACACATTCGTAAGACTTCGTCAAGGTAGTGAACAGAAACTGGAAAGGTCTTTCCTGGAACCTTGAGGACGTCCACGCTGCTATCACTTCTGTCCATCTCAGCCCGTGGCCGCCGGTTCTGCCTCTGGCAGTGCTCCTGCGGCTGGGTGATGCCGCCAGTGCTACAAGAGCCTTGGAGCGTCGTGAGTCGCTCAGGGAGAAAGTATGAAGCGAAGTGCTCCACAGCTAGGGAGGCGCTCATCACAACCACCTTTAGCTGCAGATAAACCCAACAGCAATATGGTAGCTTTGCCAGGGGAGATGTGATTCTCGCCAAATCACTTGATTTGTGGTGATACTGAACAGAAAAATGCCTCCTCGTTCCCCTTTCATCTACCCCACTATTTCCGGTCTCTCCTTATTTCCCTGTTGTACTCCGTCAACACAGTTGGTCTCCCCTCCTCTACTATTCCTTTTTTCTTGCCTAGGAGCGTGTCTCCTAAATTTCTTGATGTCTTGGCATATCTACTCTTCAAACTGTCAGATAATGCCCCGGGTGTTGTGTGTGCGGGCTGAACAGACGCCTCCGTGGTGTGATAGTGATGATGTGTGAATGAGTTACATTGTGTTTGTTTGATGCCAATGCCTTAGCGAGGACCAGCAGAAGCATATCCACCTCCGTGCACCGCTCATGCACCTCGTCCACCACCACCACGGAGAATTTATCAAGAGCGCTGCAAAACGAACACAACTATATGTGTATATGCGTGAATGAAGACATTCTGAGCAAAGGGAGACCTGAATATTCAAGTTGTGTCTCTCTGGCTTTGTCTCTGTGTTGGCGGGGCCTTGCCTGTCTCTATGTATGCCTATGTGCATGTGCATCTCTAGAAATATTTTTTTGGAACTGTAGAGTGGCATTCGCTACCGCCATATGGAAACAAGAAAAAGCTGAACCTGAATAAGTGTGAACGCTCTAGTCCAAAAGCACCCAAGCTTGCACGAATGCATAATGTATGCTCACTAACAAATGCGTGCACGTATGCACATATGTGCTATCTGCATCGCCAAAAGACAAAATCTCCATTTAATGACTCGCACACACGTTCAGACACACAGGAAGTACGTAGATGCGTTTTCCAGCGCATTCGCTGGAAAATTCTACATGAATTTTCCAACGAGTATGCTGGAGAACTCATACACTGGCACACCAACTAACGTTGTTCGTATACAGCCACACACGAAAAGGACTGAAATGCTTATGAAACGTTCTCCTGAACCGCTTGGCACTGGTAACACGCTGACGCGTTAAAAGTGAGGAATCGCGCATGCCACAGCTGGGGGGTAGCTTTCAAACAGAAGGCCATAAAGTGTAGACTGACAGCCATTCACGTAGCCAACATTTTGCTTTTCTACATATGTCCACGCACACGTGTGCGGCTATGGAAATGCACATGGATGGTACAAGTATCAGCCACAGCAGTTGCGCATAAACGATTAAACATACCAAAGAATAAATAAGTATACATGCCACTACTACGCTCCACGTACTTGTCTGCGTGAGAACCAAAGCGAATAAGGTATTTACGGCAATGCAGAGGGTGTCTTTCATCTACGACTGCAATCACCACGAGTGGGAAAACACGTTGCTCAGCTCAGGGTCACGCACATTCTCTGTACTTCGCTTCGGCAATGCACAACGAGCTTCATCCTAAGCTGTCCTGAGAGTGTCTAAAACTTTCAAAAAACCTCCTTACTCGCTGCTCAGGAGCTGTCGTAGAAGGACTCCATGAGTGCAGAAAAGCAGCCGTGTATGTTTTGTTACACGGGACTCGAGACGCACTTGGTACCCAACAAGGCCGCCAACAGGAGCTCCCATTTCAGTGGCCACACGGCTAGCTACAGACACCGCAGCAAGACGGCGAGGCTGTGTGCAGACAATGTAAGCAGGAAAATGTTCTTTGTCGTTGCCCATGATGTTGCTCTCATTGCTCTGCTGTTGCAGTGCAAGATGCGCTGCTGCTTCCAGCAGCATCCGAGGCAGCTGAGTTGTTTTTCCGGAGCTGCAGTGACAACCAATAGCAGCAACAAGTGTGCATAGTAGCACTGCGCCACGATTAGCTGCAGTGGGGCAATAGAGCAATCAGAAAATGCAGCAGCTGAACCTAAAGGGGTGAGTCAAACGGGCGAAAAGAAAGATTTTGCGCCTAGGGTCCAGAAGCAGAAAAATAGATGCGTAGGCATAGAAAGACAGAGAAGCGTGGAAAGGTTACACATGTAACGACAGTATTCATGCAAACGTATAACGGAAGCAGTCGACGAGGCCACAGAAAAGATAACAAGGAGGTGCTGGCAGAGACACAATGTTATAACACAGACCCAACAGCCAAAACCCTTCAAATTTTCGCCCAAATGTTTACCCTGTCTCTCCCTGAACAACAAGTACCCTTTTACGTGGGTTTGCCATAAATTCCATGACGGAGTCAAAGTGTTGTCGCACGGGAAGCCCCAGGGCCTCAGCAGACGCTGCTGTCTTCACTCCGTCAATGATGGTCTTGCAGACCTCCGCCTCTCCTCCTGTGAGTCTTCCTCCGGTTCGGCTTAGAGTGGAATGCCTCGAAGAACTCATTAAGGGGCCCGCTGAATGAGCCCCAACATTTCCATCTTCTCTTTTCCCCCTTTCAGTGGGACCCCCGGCAGGAGCACGAGAGGTTCGGCTTTCTGAGCCTGCATCATACTGCTGCATTTTCTGTTGTTCTGCCGCGTTCTTTTCTGCTGTTTTCTCTTCTACAGAGTTCTTTTCTGCTGCTGCATTGGCCCCTCTTCTTGGTGGCCCACTCGGTGCCGGCGATGCAGGAGCTGTTTTTACTGCCCCTGTAGAGATTGCCACCCATCTTGCAAACATTCCACGGGGACCTTCAGGATCCTTGGAAATAAGCTCATCAAGCTGGGCCTCCATCTGCCAGGACGCCAGGAGCAGTCCTGCCACGTCGGAGATTGAAGTCTCGCAAACAGGTGAAGACAGTACACTGAGAAGCTGGGGGGCACAAGAGAACTTGGAAACATTAGAGTCCGCGTTGGAAGCTGCCTGAGATGAGATGTACTCGGACAATTGCTGCAGAGGGCGTGAGAGGCGCAGTGCATTATGTGCGGCGAATGCGCCACATAGGATGGCTCCAACGCCTTCACCAAAGGGTGGCATTTGGTTTTCTATTGTATCAGACCCCATGGCTCCACCCGAGGAGATCCACACAACAGGGGGTTCCAAGGGGTACGGAGATCCTGGAGGACACAAGATGTGCATTGTTAGTGCCTCATCCCTCGATGTTTCTTTCTGTGGGTTTCCTTGTATAGAGTCCGCACCTAAGGATGCTTTAAGGCAGCTCTCAAGTGATGACGCAGCAGAAGCGTCCAGAGGGATCTGCAAATAGAAACCCGTAGCGACCCTTGAAGGGGTCCCACTTGGAGCCGCCCCTTCAATGGGAACGCATAGCCGTACAACCACACAATTTGGCAGCAAGCTCCCTGCAGCCTCCAGCTCTTGCTCTTTTACCTGCAGACAAACCACCAAACCTTGGGCCAAAATTTCATACCTCGGAGCGCATTAAAAACCATAACATCCTAGTGAACGCTAAACTCTTATGCGTTGGCAGCTCAGTCTTTGGTGTCTTAGTAATTCAATGTATACGCAATTCACGGCGTGAAGTGCCTCCCGCTTATGGTATTAGCATAAAATTTACGGCCTCTGTTATTGGCAGCACCGCAACATCGGCTAGAAGTCGGGAGGCTCCCAAGCGCTGAAGCAGCTCTCTCCTATCGCTCTCTTCTGATGAGCCCACGACAGCTGCTGCAGCTGCTGCAACGGCAGCAAATGCATCGGACAGCACTGCCGCCGATCCTGCTGCTGCCTGCTGGGGCCCCTGCTGTTTCTGCTGCTTTTGCTGTTGTTCCAGATGCCCTTCTAACACCCCAGCAGCAATAGCATGCAGCCCAGTGCTGCAACAAAGAGAGTTCAGTGCCCCCTCTAGGTGGGACAGAGTGTCTCGTAAGGGTCCCTCGGAGCCTGCTTCCGTATACTTTTTGAGAGCGGCCGCTAATCGTTCTCTTGCTGCTTGCATCGCTGCTTTCTCCTTTTTGTTATCTAGCTGCTGTTTTTGCTGCTGTTCTTGTTGGTCTTTCTCTTGTCGTTGAGAACTGGCCGTCTGGCAGCGGATTTCGATTTGCTTTCCAGCGGGGGAGAAATGCGGAGGCAGCAAGGACTCATCAGTCGTGTTGAGTGCAATGAAGTCTTCGCAACTCTCAAGCAGCTGCTGCATGGCACTTGATTCCGTTTGCTGCTGTTGCTGCTGAGGTTGCTGAGGCGGGCCACTTAACAAGGCCGCCAAAGCAGCTTCAACTGCAACTGCAGCAGAATTCTTCTCGAACTGCAGGTGCTCAGTGAGCTCTTTTAAAAGTTTCGTCCTGAGGCTCCCCAAAACCCTCTGAGGGCTCAGCTGTCTCCTTAGCGCCCAGGTGACAGCGGCGGTCCACTTTGTATCCGTCCACTGAAGCGGGAGGAGGAAGCTATCCTCGTTGGTTTTTCTTGCAGAAACAGCTCCTGACATTGACGAAGCAGAAGCTGAAACAGCAGCAGCCGCTGCTGCGGCTGCTGAAGCAACAGCGGCGGGTTCACAACGCGTTGCAGCGACGTGCGGCAACAACTCTCGGAGCATTTGCGCAGTCTTTTTGCGGACAAGTTCAGCCATAAAAACAGTGGGCATTTGAGCCTCTTCTTCCAGCCTCTGCATTTCCTTCTCTTTTTCCCGCTTTACCCTTTCAAGTCTCTTCGTCTCGGCAGCTTGCTGTCGCTCAAACTCAGACGCGTACCTGTGAGCGCTAGTTATCTGGATGCACTTGACGGCCCCCATGGTGCCCACGCTCCCTCCAACAGGCGATGCTTCACTGGCAGGAAGAGGTCCTTCAGGCCCGCTACGGGGACCCCTGATTGCGCCTCCTCCTTCATTCTTCACGGAAGCCACCGGAGACCCCGCTTCCGGTCCACTCGTATGTCCGTCTTCTGCTGTTGCCTGTGCTGCTCCTGTCGCTGCTCCTTTGTTGTTGCCACTCTCAGCTGCAGCTTCAGCAGCTGCCCCGATTGCTTTTGCTGCTGTTATTTTTGCGACAGGCTGCGCACTAGCTGTTCCTTTTGCCGGCCTGGCTTTTGCGCTTGGTTTCTTGGACCCCCCTGCTGTTGCTACTGCTGGTTCCTGTTGCTGCTGCTGTGGCATCTCCCCCGAGAGAGACAACCAGGCCTCTCTGAAAGGGGAGGGGAAAAGCTTCTCGTAAGGTCTCGAGGGTTCCAAATGGAAAAGAGCCAGCAAGGCGCTGAAGTTCTCACTGTGACTCTTGAAGGGAAACTCCTCATTCGTCAGAAATCTATTGTACGCATACAAAGGCGACACAACAAATTAAAATGGGGACGCCACCAACAGGACAAACCGCGCAGGTGCAGCGCAGTCACTGCTGCCGCCAGTGCTGCTATTGCTGCTTTTACCGTTGCTACTACTGTCTCAGGTTGCGAGTGTTAAAGAGAAGTGGCTCTTGTTGCAGCAATTTTGATTTATATACGTGGCATATTCTTTCGTAGAAAATCTTTTAAGCTTTCGGAGTATTAGAATTTACCAATATTTATGCTACTTGAGCTGGCACTTTTCTTTGCCATTTGAGCTCCATTTACTCTTCCGGAAAGTGTACATTTAAATCCTTTAATTTTATATATTTAATTAATTAATAATATGATTTGTGCTGTTGTTAGGGTTTATGCTACGAAGCGGGGCTAGCAGCAGTGCAGGCCAACTTCTTCACGTGATGGGTTGTCCTGCTGCTGTCGCCCAAGAAACAAAGCGCAGCAAGCACTATTCCCCACCTCATGGTTTTTGAGCTGTCTTTAGGGTTGCTAAGGATACACTCGGTCTTAAAAAAACCTTTTGGAGCCCGGCGCTGTTCGTACTGCGGCTTCGGCATCTTGTGCTGAGCAGGCACCCCAAACACAAATTATTATACCCTAATCTGTGCAAGCTGCTCAGTGCATACTTATTTTCTGTGCCTATCCCCAAGTACATTTTTAGAATGTTTTCTGTAGCCCTAAGCAATAGGCCATAATCGGCAAAACGTGAACTCTAAATCCCAACCCCTCACTTTCTGACAGTGGTTGTGAAGAATTTCCTTAGGTAGTCTCTGGAATGGCTTCATTTCGATATATCCAGGAGGCCTGTCAGGTGTCTTGACCTAAAATGACAGCGCATCAATAAGCATCGAGATTTCCTCCACGCTGCTACTACTCTCAATAGGCAGTAGTTTCGGCCGTAAGGCAAGCCAAGGCCCCAATACTGTAGCCAATTTGCATGAGAAAACTGGATGATGCTCGATAAGTATCTCTAAAGCATGTCTTTGCTTCTGAGGTTCATGATGAAGGGTTCAGAGTTTCGTGCCAGAAGACCTCTGCAGGAGGTGTCGGTGTCTTTGCCTTATCTTTGCCCTCCTTTTCCTTCCCCGATGGTTCCGGTGCAGACGGCATCCTGAAGAAGTTGTACATTCACAGCGATTAGCCTCTAATGTTAAGCACTCAGCTTCCCAGCATTGATGAGGGACAGTTGCAGGCACCTCACTTCGGCTTCTTGGGAGCCATCTTCTACAGTGGAAAAAGCCTGAACCGTTAGGCCCAGGCTACAGACTGAAATTCCCAAGATCCAATCAATTTTCAGGATTATAGAACAAAAAGAGGGACATCGGCAATTTCTGCGAAGGCTCTTGTCTTTGGCTTGTTGTTGGCGGACACAGAGACTCCTGTCCTAAAGGATGTTCTCCGCAGTGTACAGAAACCCAGAAAAAACGATACAGAATAGGCAAATAACACAATGTTCCTCAACAAATAAGTATTTTGTGGAGATACAATGCTCTTGAAGTAACGCATGCAACTTCCTCCATGAGGCCCCCAAGGTTCAAAAGAGCGCAAGCATGGCCTTCTGTTTCTTCCGTGTAGTGATGCGTGTGTATTATGTTTCATCTCATTCTGAAAAGGAAAACCCGTAGTTGTGGGCCAGTCAATATGCGTGTACTTTGCCGTAACGCGCCTCAGATAGCCAAGTGTACTGCAACGTGCCTGAGGCAGCCCAGGTATTAAGTTGGATTGGAACATCTTTCAAAATGCAACACTTTTGCATGATGTGCGAGGTAAAAGCACCTATAAGCACCGAACTTTCACTTAGGCACTATTCATGCTTGTTTTTCTAAATTGGCCCAGGGCCCCTCAGCAAACATAACTCAACGGAAGGAAGAGATACCGAGTCAAAGTGGCCCCCACGCCACTGAAAACAGGCTGAAGAGGACATTTATACACCACTAACAATATGTAGTGGCTCAACGTGGTAGATCATTGGTGTTCGAAGTTGGCGCGGTTCAATGGACGTTGCACAACTACACAACTGCGTGTCAACCTGGGTAAACGGAGAGCAGCTTCCCACGCTTAAAAGTGTCCTTGTGTTACAGCAGCTGTCTTTCTTCAACAAATAATGCAGCTATTTGCCTTAGAACCCAGGAAAAGACTCATGGCGCTGTAGAAGCAGGTATAGTGCAGTGTATTGCTGTTGAGGGCTAAATGGACGCGAAGTAGACTGTCGGCCTATGATACCTTTGCGTGCAGAGGGAGGCAGCGGGCAATAGAACACCTTCCATTTTATTTCCCTGATGATTTCACGCATTTCCACTAAATGTACTTGCTCATATTGAGTGTTTCGGTAGCGCCTTACGCGATAATCTACGAATAGCAAGAAGCCATCTCCATGGAGTGCGGCGTAGCAATTATAACTAGCACCTACAAGACGACAAGAAAAATAGCCTGATGAAACATGCGCAGGAAAGAAATACAACGACCCTTCAGGCCCCGAGGGGACCAACAACAAAGTAGCTTTTAGCGAGAAAGCTGAAGTGCTTACACGCCGCAACCTGAAGTATAAAGAAGAGCGCGACAGTTTTAGTGCAGTGAATTAGAACTGAGAAAAAGGGTCGACTCTAAGAAATATTGGCCTTAATTTAATAAATTGTGATTACATACAACTTACTCAACTAGTTCAGAAATAGAGGGCTCTTCAAGATTATGGCCCAACAACACACAGTGGCAACGCCCACACTGGATATAGTGCGCAACACTACAACATATCTTGAAAAGGGCCTCACAGGGTCATACAATTTAGAATAAGTTCATTGGCATGGTAACTGGAAGTACTGGCTCCCGGTGGCATTCGAAGATCCGCTGTAAGCTACACTGCCTACAGGAATTCCACGCCCACTGTGGATGCTTCCAACATATGAAGGGCTTAGTTTACACTTGAAATGACACGAATGCATGCAAAGCCAAACTGAACTAGAGCGCAGACGTGTTTGGGATTGTTAAATACTTTACTTTTGATGGGAGGCAGTTGTGACGCAGCCTACATGTAGAGCGCTGTGCAGCAGACGTGTGCCCGACTGTCGTGGTTTCGTAGTGCTGAGGCTTCGTGGAACTCTTTTGAGTATTTTTTGGATATACTCTCTTGAAAAAGAACAATAAGCATAGTAAATGGAGAGCCTAGGCACTGGTGTTGCTCCCCGAAAGGGTGTGAGCGGAGCCTTTGGAATGCAGAAGCGGAGCACGCAGTTGCTACGGGCCTGATGAGTGTGAAAGCCAAAACGTCTTGGGAGTGAAAAAAATGCAGATTCAGAGTGGGAGATTTAGACAAATATTGGACTGATTCCCTTCGCAATGTTTGGCAGGGGATCCTGCTTAGGACACAATTGCACGCGCTATATTTAAGAAGTCCTTCAAATTTCTGAACCGTGGTCACGTCCTTGTCCACACTGTATCCGGAGGTCCCCAAAAAGCAGCTTCTTCTGTCCGCTTCGATTCTGAAGGTAAATGGACAACCAATCGTAATAGATCTTCCACTCTTCTCGAGGTTACTTCCCTCCAACTGTCGTAACAGCCTACATCACTCCCCAGGCCTGCTTATTTTTACTCGTTGCCTGCTGTCAGCTGTGCCAGGATGCAACGGTGATAGTTGCTTATCACCTGCTGCCCTTGTATTCGCTTCCCTAGCATTTTCTGCATTTACAGGCATTCATTGATTTCTGTATACTTCATGCACTATCTTGACTCACGAAGGTAATCTAGGTCCTATCTTTTTTACGTGTACATACGTGCACATGATCTTCTACTAGCCTTCTGCAGCATGACTCTGTGGGAAGGCCTCCTGATAGTCCACGGTGCTTCTGCTGTAACAAGGGCTGAAGATGCTCTAAATCATTTCTTGTAGCGCCATGAGCAACGCGGAGCTTAGAAAATTGCATTGCACATCAAGCTCATTCGGCCTCAATAGAGCGCAGGCTGTGAACTGCTCTGCTACTTCACCTGGGATAAAAGAGGACCAGCACAGGCCAATCGGTGAATTATGAGCAAAGGGCCGAACAGCGCCATTTTTAGCATCTTTGATACTCAACTGGATCCTTCCAACTACAGCGTACCTAAACGTTGCATTTGGTATTCCGCGTGTCTTTTGCGTCCTCAAATTCGCCATCTTACCTAGAGGAACTGCGGACGCACGACTGTTACCGATGTATTGAATGCAACAAGAAGATCAGCCTGATCTGTGCAAAACAATTTATAAGTGTAAGTGCCGTTCTTCTAGCGCACTACACGTGCAATATTTCAAGCACCGTCCGGTGGGGTAGTTAGATTTTGCGCACGAACTGTCTCAGCCCAAAGTAAAGGGGGTGGCAGTATGAGTTTTCGTCGAGCATCTTTCTACTGAATTGTCTTTTCAACTTTCCCACCAAAGCTAACCTAACGGTCTCATCTACTTCCGCCCTAATACCGAGGTCTCCGTCGAATGCGGTAGCCCCCAATCACAACCCTTGCGGTGTTGACGCCTGCACAGCTCCTCAACCATCTCAAAAATGGAAAACACAGCCCACTGCACACGCAGGGAAAAAGCGTACTGCATACTGAGCATGCAGACAAGAGCAACGCTGGCACCATTTGCCATCCTGCCTACGTCCGTCCCTCTTTTGTGCGCTGTTACCCTTTATGAAGTTATGTGCGTTCAGTTTTGCATAGACGGGTAGAGACGGAGGTGGAAAGGATTGCGAACATGATTAAGATGAATGAGCATTTCGCTATTCTTGAGGAGTTCCTTCTGGTCGGGCAGAAGTGCTGCAAACACAGGAGGGAGGCCCCAAGTAGTGCTCCTTACTTGGTTATATGCATCATTATTTTCATTTAAGGAAGTTACAAAGGGTCACTGGAGGACTATGTCTGGCCGTCACCGTTAGGACCAGTACGTTGCTGTGTCGCGCGATAGGAAGCTCTCTCTGGCCACCATGCAGCAGTCCAAGGTCTCGGTTCTTCTCCCATGTGGTTGCACCCTTCCGTTCCAATAATCTCGGGAAGCAGTTTAATTAGTTTATGCGCTGTATTGTGGTCCCCCTTCCATTCTCTTTCTTCGTGTTGAAGGACTCAAGACCCTCCTGGGTCATCGTTCTCGGTGTCGCCGCTGATGTCTTCGCGGCGTAGAGTGTTGCACTGTCAGGTGTTTTAGGAGCTTTAAAGCCACACTGTTAATATCAAACTGCAAGAAGAGATAGAAATGATACTTGTGGACTAACTCGACCGCGTTGTGCGCCTGAAGCTCCTACTGTCGGCTGCGTGGGAGTGGACTGCCTGCTTGCTGCTATTTTTGTGTCAATTTCGTCTTCATCAGTACGACGTGAGATTGCATGCACCTCCGCATTTCCCTTGCTGCGTCCGTGTCGCCTTCTCACACCCGACTCCATCCCCAGGCACACCTACAGCTCTACCACCCGCAATGGCAGACAGTACGCAAGCTCAAGCGCAGGAGTTCGGGCTGAGAAAGGCCCCGACGAGCAACAGTAAAGCCACAGAGGAAGTCTCCTCACCCTCCTGCTTTCGGCACCCTTCACAGGACCCAGCTGGCACAGAGACCCGGGACTCGCCGACAATGGAGGCACTGACCACACAGTTGAATGAAGCAGGCCGAATTTCGGGGACCGATAGTTTAGTTGCGCAGGATAAATCTCGCGTGGACTTGCATCCGACTAAGCAAGGGACCACGGCTTTTGATAGCCGCAGCACAAATGGCGCATCCCTCACATACGAGGCAAAACAGCACGGGACTGAAGATGGCGTTCCTCCTCCAAGAGCTATAGAGCGGACCACCGCGTGCACATCTGGGTACATACCTACGTCTGGTCCCAAAGAACAGCCTTACACAAATATGAATGATGTAGCGAAAGTCGACCATGTGGAAGAGGCGCAGCGCCATGATCAAACTCATTTCATGGCAGTCCCTATTGACGTCCTTCCCCCCAACGCGGACATCCCCGAATATGATATGCATTTGCTGAATCTAGCGAGGCATGCGGATCCCTTTAGGATGCTTGGCTGCCACAAAGTGGAATGTGCAGAAAGTGACAAGAGAATAGTGGTCGTCCGCGTGTGGCTCAAGAACGTTGATCATGTGGAGCTCAGACCGAGAGCAGGAGTTTCGGATTGGCGTCTACCGCCGCCTCTAGAGTCTGTGCAACTTGAGAGGAAGGGGGAATTGCTATTTCACAAGGCAAGCGCGAACGCCAGAGCTGGGAGTGTTGCTGCGGTAGCGTATTTCGGCGCGCTTCTTGCACCGTAAGGTTTCTACTTTTGGTCTATCGCTGACGTCTTTTGTTCTTTTATGCTTACAGGCCTTTGAAATGTACACTACTGACCCATCCGCCTCCTCTCGAGGTTGCCCAGTGAAGAGCTCAGACCCTTATGTCCCTCTGGATTACGAGTTGTTGGTACGAGGGGAGGGGGAAGAGACCCCACGTGTGGTGTACGACACCTACTCATTTGGAATGACTGTTCCTCAGTACAACTTAGAGCTTTTTCAGTCTGGTGGGGCTAGCTTTCTGAAAAGCTCACTGCTCCGTTTGATTGCTTCTGCCGGTTCTTCTTCTCTTGCGTACGCTGCTGTTTGCACTGTTGCTGCCGTTTGTAGCTTCTCCTTTCCACAGCCGCTCTTTTCTGTAGCTGTTCTTTTCGTGTCCTGTGGACTTTGCCTTTTAGGGGTATGAGAATAGATGCTTTTTTCGATAGTTGTGCGAGTTCGAAGCATTTTTGAACTAGCTGAGCGGTTGAGTTTCTGTCACTGTAGATTTCTATCTTGTTTTAGTCCTCCGTATCCCTGTTTATAGCCTTGTGATCGTCGTCTCCCGGTGTTCTTGACGATTATACCTTCAGGCTCCTGCTGGCACGTGGACAATTTGATGGGTTCTCACATCATAACTGTTGACGGCGTCACCGGAGTTAGATTTGCAGTGTGGGCACCAAACTGCATTTGCGTTTCCGTGGTGGGTGACTGGAATGGCTGGGACGGCCGCGCTCACCCGATGCGGAAAAGGGTGGAGTTCGGCTGCTGGGATCTATTTATTCCAGGCATCGGTGCAGGGGAAAAGTACGGTTACAGAATACATGCCAGAAATGGAACAGATTTCATTAAAATCGACCCTTACGCCCAGGAATTTGAGGTGCCTCCGAAAACTGCCAGCATCATTAGCGCCTGCGACGACGCATTCAAACCTGTACGGGAATTCAGAGGCTAGAATAATGCATTCAGTTTGCAGCTTTCAGAATCGAAGGTTAGCCACACGGATGTGCTTTACTGGCTTGTGGGGCTGAGGCTTGAGGGTTCACACACCAGGGTTCGGAATAAATGTGCGGCGATCAGGCTGAGTCCCGCTACCAGTGGCACGACCAGGAATGGATGGCGAGACGTAAAGTACTCGGAGAGACTGATCAGCTCCACAGGGAGCCGATGTCTATCTACGAAGTGCACCTTCCGAGCTGGATGAGGGGACAGGACGGACGTTACCTTAGTGTGTCGCTACGCTGCTCCGTGGGACGTTTCCCTGTAGACTACTGCTGGCTGCTGCTTGCCGGCCACTGGGATGATGCATCGTTTGGCTGTAGGCGAATCTTACTTGTACAGCGACAGCCCGAGTCGCCGCTTTTTTCAGCTTGGAAATTCCGAATTTGTTTTTCGTCACAGGCTACCGGGAACTGGCTGATAGACTAGTACCGCATGTGAAGAACATGAATTTCACGCACGTGGAGTTCCTTCCTCTGGCCCATCACCCGTTTGAGGGGTCCTGGGGTTATCAAGTGCGCACATTGTTTCTCCAGTCTCCAGTGCTGTAGCACGAACAGGCTGCACCCCAACGTACTTCATTAGTCCTTTCACTTGCGTTGCGGCTTGCTTGGATTAACTTGCAAGCTAAGCATGCACTGGCGGTCTTTTTTATCTCACCTATGCTTCATCTCGCAAAGGTCCGTTCATTTTGCGGGCGATTAATCTACAGGTTACAGGCCTCTATGCTCCATACAGCCGCTTGGGAAACCCAGATGACTTCAAGTACTTGGTCGACACTTTGCACCAGGCCAACATTGGGGTATTTATCGACTTTGTGCCGGCGCACTTCTGCAAGGATTCATGGGGCCTTGTCTATTACGACGGAGAGCCTTGCTACGAGTATGCAGACCCGAGAGAGGGGGAGCACAAACTTTGGGGAACCGCAGGTGAGACGCACACTGCCTCCTTTGCCTTGTACCGGGGGTTGCAAGCGAGTAAATCGCATTGGGGGTGAGGTGCATCTGACAAAGCTATATTTGAACTTCTGTGGAATTAGACGGCGGAGAGTTTGAAGTGTCATGACTGCGAGTTTTGCTCCCCAATGAGCACGTGGTTGCTCTTCGCTGTGCTGCGCTCTCTGTTCTGTCCTTCAGTGTTTAATTATCGCCGCAATGAAGTGCGGTCGTTCTTACTGGGCGCCGCCTACCATTGGCTGCGGCGTTACCACATAGATGGGTTGCGAATCGATGCCGTTTCTTCTATGCTGTATAAAAATCATCAGAAGAAGGACGGGGAGTGGCTACCAAATGAACATGGGGGTGACGCAAACTTGCAGGCCATCTCCTTGCTCCAGGAGCTCAACTGGGTCGTCCACAAAGAATTCCCCGGAGTTTTTACCATGGCTGAGGAGAGCACCAGCTGGAGAGGAGTAACTGACAAAGCAGATGGTCAGGCTAGTGCACTAGTGCACCCCACTGCGCCGTCACTAGAAAGCAGCAGACGTGCCAAAGCGGACCTCCTGCGGCAAGGCTTTTTGCAGATGTCATGGCAGCGTTCCTTCCAAGAGGAGCTGAGGGGAGAGAATTGGCGCATGGTGTCGCAAATCTTCATTCTCTTACGACGTTATACACCTCTGTGATTTACTGCAGGTCTCGGTTTCGACGCTAAGTGGGACTTGGGTTGGATGAATGACACGCTTTCCTATTTATGCTGCCCTGTGGAGAATCGCCGAAAGTGCCACAACAAACTCACATTCAGGGGGCTCTATATGGCACATGAAAGGTTTGTCACGCATGTTAAAGATTACACGAGGGTGCCTGTAACTATTGATGTTTTGGAATTCCAGAGTTTAGGGCTCAGATTTGCTGTCATCGGTGTCATCAGATGGATTCTGCCTCTTTCTCATGATGAAGTAGTGAGTGGGAAGGGTAGCTTGCTGGATAAATGTGGCTACTTGGGAACTCCTTTTGAAGATCGTATAAGGACTCTGAAGACGCTTTACGGCTTCCAAATCGGAATGCCAGGCAGACCTCTTATCTTCATGGGAGGAGAGATTGGCCAAGGAAGGGAGTGGAAGGACAACAGGTATGCTATCTCGTGCCTGCATTTCTAATGCCGGTCATTCGCCTACATCGTTCTAATTCTAAGAGTTTCTTGTAATTTTACACAGTTACAGGATTGCAAGTCCTTTTATCCAGTTCAATTTTGAGTATGATCTTTGTAATATATAATAATGTGAGGATGTGGTGAAGTCTGGTTATTTTCAATTCATTAAAATCAAAAATATCATTTTCTAATAAAGAAGTATCTCCGCTATAATTTATTTGGGCAAAAGCAGTCATTTTTTGCTGTTTTCAAACCCAGACTGCTCTACCCCGTTTATTTAAATAAAATTAATAAAGCCAAGGGGGAATTGAACCCACAGTGTAGTGGTCCATAGCACAAAAGCATTGACAAATAGAATTTTTATAATATTTAATAATAAAACATCTACTCGCTGGTTGCACCGTTCTGGTGATTATTGCGCTTAACCGGATCCTAGGTCGGTCGACTGGCACGAGGGGGAGGAAGAGCTGCGTAAAAAGTTGTGTATATGGGTATCTGACCTCTTGGGGCTCTACAAAAGTCAGCCAGCTCTACACGCAGGAGACGACGAAACATGGAACTTCAAGTGGACAGACTGTGATAACAACAACGACTGCATTGTGGCATTCCTTCGCTCATACGAGTTCTGGTTCAATGATATTCTAGTTGTCTGCAACTTCTCGCCACAGGCGTACTACAGGTTTGTAGGCTAGTCTTTACGCACATTTCTCACCTGCAACTAAAGTGTGCAAATAGATGTATGTAAATGGATGCACATTTTTGTGGTACCTGGCGAAGGCACATAAATCAATGTTCACGGTAGGTTATGCAAGTGCACATTTCATGGCAAGCTTACCGACGCTGAAGAACTCCCTGGAATGTACTGTTAGCATTTGGGTTCGAAGTCCGAATGTGACTTGCGGGCTTCTGTCAGATATCCTGTGGGAGTTCCACACGGCGGTGAGTGGCAGTTGTTGCTTAATTCAGACGACTGGAAGTATGCGGGGGGAATGTGCGGAAGGGGAAACGGCTCGTATATCCATACAACGCAGGGAGGCAGGTGAGTCTCATTGTCCCTAGACTGCTCCGTGTATTGGCCACCATGGATATGCATAGCCGCAATAGGACTGCGTATCGCTCGGGCACAGAGAATTTGAAACATTTGTTTTATTAGGTGTATCATAGCTGCAAAGTCAACTTCTTTTCAGGGTAATATCTGGAGGTCCTGCTCCGCGTTCGTACCTGCGAGGGGCTTTTTATTTTGGGCTGTTGCTTGCAGGCTGGGCTGGCCGTACTGCTTATGGTTAGACGTTCCCGGCAACGGTTGCTTGTATTTGAAAGCGCCGCAGCCTTCAGCTGAGGAGAAGAAGAGGATGATCAGTGAATCTCAGCGTGCTAAGGAGCCGGCTGATCGAGAAGGGAAAACGGGAGATGCAGGCCCCAAAGACCAGCCGGAGGGGTCAAGTTAGGGTATGCCAGTGCAATACGTGAACAAGTAGTCCATTCAGCTACGATTTCAAATCTAGACCTTACACTAAAAGCGCATTGCAATGAGCACTGACAGGTAGCTGCATGATTTTTTCCGTAGGCTGAAGGAAGGGGAAGTGCCGTGAAGGAAGAGCCACATAAGCGAAACAGTACCCATATGCGGCAATAAACGCTAGTTGTTCCGTAGTTGAGGCGTGATTGCATGGTTTTCCGGATGAAAATTCGAGTTATGTTTTTCTCGCTGCTGTGTTTGCTTTGGTTCGTGATAGATGTGGAATACTCAAGTGAAAGCAGCCGAATGCAAGGGTTGCTCCCGTATGTCGCAATAACGGTGCACGAGTACAACCTCAAGTAAGACCTTCGGCACATCATTGTGTGCATCTTCTCAACGGAGAACAGAGCAGGTTCCAGCACTATGGATTCTCAGAAAACCGGCAAGAAATGCGAAGCGAATGCTGTGCGGGTGCCCCCCGTGCAGGTAACCCGTGACCTATATCAATGAGCTGCACAATTCTTCCACTGAACAGCGATAGCTACCTGGTATTGCCAGTATTTGAAGTATTTGCCTCAATACGACAAGCGGAACACTTAAAGGGAACAGTTTGAATGATTTCGCGAGAGCGAAGAACACCGTACCAGCTACTGCATATTAATGTGTACGAGTTAGGGCACATTGATGTGTACTATCTAAGGCTCATTGGCGGGCGTCTATTTGGTTGAACAGAGGAACTGTGCAGTATTTTTTGAGTGAGCCGAAATTTGCTAAGGGAGAGGTAGGGACATTTACATTCATCGGCTAAAGCACGGAACTAAAGGGGCCAAGCGCTACAAGCAATGAGTATTGACAACCGTAAACCAATAAATACATAAAAGTCCTACAGTCTCACCGTACTAAAATGCAGTGTACGCAGCGGAAGCAAAAGGCCTATAAGCAGTTAATTTTGAGTGGGTGCATACAAGTGGGCTGCAGCGCGTAACTTGTTTCACTTAGCTCCACCTAACTCACCTGCCGCAACGATCCACTACTACTCGTCACAAGCAGACACGGTGGAAGCAACATGTGAGGCGCTCCAGCCTCACTTCGTCGACTGTACGCCGGAAATTCTGAGAAGTCTAGTAGTCTATTGACGCCTATTTCGAGGCATACAAGTGACAGAAATATACATCCAGTTGCATTAATTAAACCTTTCCCGAGCCGAAAGCAACGCAGTGTACGTAGCCGCTGCTTCGACTTTGCATGGCAGGCCTCGTGCCGAACTGAAGCGGGGTAGCTGGCTGTGCCGACGAGGGTGCCAACAACGCGCTGCGCAATCCTTCCCTCTTCGACGTCTTCAGGCGCCGCAGCCGACGAGACGCCAATTCCAAGCAATCGAAATGTCGCTTAGTAGCCACCGATCCGAAGCGCCGTACTCGCCATCGGTAGCCTTGTAAAGGCCTTGCGGTGGCTCCGCACCACGCAGCACCTTCCCACTGGCTGGAGAGGCTCAGCGAAGGGCGCGCGCGTAAGCGGCTCAGCGAAGAAAGCACGCGCGTCAAAGTATAAAAGCCTCGAATACTTCCGGCCCAAGGCCGTGAGATGGTAGCACGTGGCATGTGACCCGCAAAATACAACAGTGTAAGGAATCAAGTGCATCGACCCCACGCGAGGACACATCGAATATAGTAAGTCAAATGTAGAAGCTTCTCAATGCCAGCTCGTCAGCTAGTTTAATTAGTAGTAGATCGACGTCTGGGCGCAATTCCTATGTTTCCCCCACCCTCGCACCGGCATCACTGTTCAGCGATAGGAAGAACAGCCAATGTGTACAAGGTGATTTACTGGTCATGTGTAACACCGTGCTAGCGCTCTGCAACGAGTCCAGCTGTTCGAAATAGCGACAGCTCCTCTCCTCCGCTGGGGCCTAGCAAGAGCGCATTGCTATACCAGTCAGAATATCCTGAAGTTCTAACAAAAATCTTCGTCAATCACTCTAATCAAGCTCTGTACGTAGAAACGCCGAGCTCGCGAGGGAGCTGTGTTCAGGTATCCAAACTTTGAGGTCTCCAATCGTCTGGTTTGTCGCTGCACGCAAATTTAAGCCCCGCAAGTGAAGTCTAGCACATTGCCGCTCCTTTGAAATCTGTCAAAAATGCTCGAAGCCGGTGCAGGAAGCAGAGACTCTGGAGACGACACGTTACCTGCGTAGGCGCCCAAAACACTTTGGCCCGTTCATTCCTATAAAGCCCAAATTTTTGAGACGGAATGTGAAATTCCGTGGGAGCTCGAGAGATGAGACACTTTCTCCCGACCTACAAGAGGCAAGCCAAAGAAAGGATGGTGTAAAGCAAATGCAATGGAGTGTAAAATCCAACAACAAGAGCAATCCGGATATGAAGTCAGCGAGGAAAACAGTACAGAATGGGCTGAAATTACGTGACATTGCTCACGCATCCCTGCGCTCAGCCTCCCGTAAAATATCCATTGCCGCTTGCCAGTCTTCCAAATTTTTCTCGCCTTGAACAACTAATTCTTCGGCGCCTGGGACCAAGTCTGAAAGAGCGCGAAATTGATCGAGAACTACGAATGACAGGAAGCCTATTTGAGATTGCGTCCTGCACAGGCAAAACAAAGGAACGCTTATGGAACGAAAGATGCCTTCCTTCGATCGAATTGGCGGCGCTTTCCGTGCACTGTACCTTATAATAACTCTCTTCACCTACAGAAATTTCACAAGTGCATAGTATTTACACGGATCAGTACCTTAGCAGCTCTGTCCGAGCATCCATGAAAACCGTCACCGGAAGGCCCTTGTGCCTCTCCATTTCAACCTAATACGATCCAAGCAGACACAACAAAAACGCAAGACGGTGCTATGTGAAATGTTCAATATATATATATATATATACTGAAAATGATGAAGCAATGCAACCGAAAAACAGCATGATGCTAACTTCATACAAGTCATGAAATACAGCCTTGGCTCAGATCCCAACTCTAATCAGTAGCTTCGGGACGCTTCCAAAAAACTCAGCACAGAGTATTCTTAAATCGGGGCCCTGACCTGTGCATTGAACTCCTGAATAATAAGCGAAGCCCACTGCATATTACGCCGTTCAGGCAGTAGTGGGTTGCTTATGTCTGCGCAGTGGATCAGACACGTGGCAAGTAGCGTGTGATCTTCATCACTGTTTAAAAACGCCCCCGTCGCTGAGCGAGCGTAAACACACAAGCACAAATCTGCATAGGCCCAGCCTTCCCAAAAAAGCATCTTAAAAAGTTGTGAGGACTGCAAACTCCTTGCAGGTTGAAAATGTATATCTGCAACAATGCGCAGCTGCTGAGGCGAATCTTCCAAAGCATAGAGCAAAATTCTAGGCGCACTTCGTTTCATCTGAGCTCTTTTCCTCATCGCCTCGTGATGATATCTGAAGAGCTCCATGTCAGTAGCAAGAATGCAGGTGGTGACAACTCTGCGAATTTCTGCGAAAGAAGGGTGAAAAGAATGATCCTCCTCATCATCTATACCGTCGATGGCACCCTCCTGGGGCTGAGGCGCAGTCTCAAATGCGGGGGATGTCCGGACGTGCTGTTTCGCATTCCCCAATAAAGCACCAGTTGACGGCGACAGACTTTTCGCGAGAGAAGACGACCCGGCGTTCTGCGTTTTGCGCGAAAAGAGCCCAAGTTTCAGCATGCTGAAATCAGATCCACACAGGTTCAAAGCTCACGTATCAGTCAATCGAGGTGAAGTGTGAGCGAAGCACCAAAAGCCGCTGCTACAACATTGACAAAACCACTAATGAAGTCTTGCTATCCACAGGTGTCCACAGTTTTAGAGATGCTAAAAAAGATACACGGAAAGCGGCAGTAGTTTCTCACGCGCGAGATGCGAAGGCCGCATGATGGTTCTCCAGAACTGCTTTATCATTGTAAATAATTGCGAGAGGATGCTGTTCCTCACACAAGCTGCTGTTGTTGACTCCTGGATGATCCACGTCATGCGCCAAAGCTGAGGCAATAGCAGCAACCACTCACTTGGCGAATTCAAAGCATCTGAAAGTCAATAGTTCGAAGAAATGCGTATGATGGCTTGTGATGTCAAAAGAAAGATGAGAACAAAGAACTTTTCAATTTGGCAACAGTTTTAGTCGCTTTAACGCCATGTTAAGCGTGCAGCTCTGCACTAATGAATGGCTGATAGAAACCGACTAGAACGTACGCACCTGCAAGCATAAGCCCAAGCTGCTCCGTGAGCGTAAGCAAATCGTTGCAGGAGTATTTCGTCAAGAAGAGCCAACACATCTGCAAGGATTGTAAAAGTAACAGTTCCGCACTTGAGAGATGCCAGTCGACTAAGTGAGCCGCTGAGTAGCTTAAATGCCGAACAGGGTATAGAACTGCGCCATGGAAAGCAAATTTTGCCTCAGCACCGCGTGTAAACGCCACGCCAAAAGGTGATGCCACGTACCTGCACTACGTGCATTGCGTGGTAGAAGTTGTGGTACGGGTTGTCAGTGTGGTACGCGTCTCGTATGAGGGCGAAAAACGCCTGCAGTCCAGATTTTTCGCTTTTTACCATGACTCCAAGTTCCTCGAGAGCCAGGAAAAAAAACAGTTGCAATTCGTCTGCTGTGCGCCGCCAAACATCTAGGTCTAGACGGCGATAAGGTTCCAAGGATAGCTTCACAGAAACCAGGAAATACATGCACTAAAGCAGATTAAACCAGTTCTACAATACGAGGCTATGGATGTAAAACCTTGATCGAACCCAAACAAGTAGCCTTGTTCATAAATGTTGCAGAATACAAACACAGCGCAGCAGCAAGCCTAGCCCCTTATAGCTACTGAGGGTTGACCCATGCAATCACCTCTTTACGAATTGCGTCAAAGGGTCTCGTGCACTTTTGGAGGGTAGCAGAAAAGAGAAGAGCTGGAAGGGATGCGCTTCTTCTACGTCGGACAGCTAGCTTTTGATCCAGTACCCTGTCCTGTGGAAGGTCTCGTGCAGATGTCAACTCCTCTATTCCAGTGGAGAAGTGACGTAGCTCGGAACATAGTACTGATGACGCACTGCTGGAATGCAACAACCTCACCTCCTGCTCTGCAAAACGAGAGCAACACGCACATGGGACATGTAAATGTAGCAACGGACCTCAAAGAAATTACCGGCGCCTTCGCTAGCACTCCGTAGAAGGTTCCTGTACGAATCACAGCTAAGTATTTGCGAGTTTTGAGAATCGCGAATGGTGCGTGGCAGCTAAATACTAACCTAATAAGCTCTCATCTTTCGCGGGGATTCCCGTGGTCGCCGCCAGAGGATTACTGGCAAAAAAGCTTCGGCTACGAGAGTCAAGGCGCTTCTCCTCTTCTCCAGGCATTCCAACAGTTTGTCCCTTTTCCAGCTTTTCTTTGTCCAAAGAAGGAAAATCGTGAAGCGTGGCTGGAATCCTTGAAATACTTCTTTGACGCGAGTTCGACGAGCAAAACGCCTTGTTGATATGGTCACCAGATACGGAACTCCGCAACCTTTGTGTTACAACTACCTCTGCCACGCCGTGCAGAGATTGCAGTTCGGCCACCGCCACAGAAGCGGACCGACGAAGGCTCAGCAACTTCATGCGTCTGTCACGCGAAACGAAATTCTGAGCGAGAAACATAGGTAATCCGCCCCGGTAAGCAAATACGCTGTATTGGCAACATAAAGGTCTGAAAGGCAGATAGTATCAACGTCGCAGATTACACCTTGCAGTGGAACCGCACGATTATGCCACTGTGAAGGCAGAAAACGCAGTGCATGACCGACTTCATAAATGTTGCTAATGAACAGCATGAGCAGCTAGGGGTTGAGAACGACGCTAGCTTTGACACAGCAATAGATATGCCGAACACTTAATAGATAGGCTGTTACATGCATAGTTGGCCACGGTATTCTACGGCCTTGCTGTTTGGCTTGTAAGCCCAACTCCCTCTTGCATGGGAATGTAGCGGCTCTCTCACTTCAATCTGTTCCAGGACTGCGCCAAGAGGCTTTGCGCTGCCCCGGCTTCCTCGCTGCTGCCCACCCATGACGTAGGAGACCATTGTCTCCATGGGCTGCAAAAGGCTCATGCCTGCCATGCAAACGCTTGTCAGCTGCCCGCCTAGCCAGTGCTGCATCTCATACTGCACCGCTCGCATTAACGTTTCGTGAATCCTGCAGCTCAGCAATGCAGTGTACCACCTATACGCATTCTGCAACCTCTTTTGGGCCAGTTAATCGGCAATGCAACACACACAGCGACAGGTGAAAGTGACGAGCAGAGCGCAACCCATCGCACTGGAATGTCCAAGAGCTAAAAGCTCTGATACCACTTATAGTTCGAGTGCCTGGCTGAAGAGCTATATTTGACTAACGCTTGCCTGATGAAGTGCCTTGAGTAGTCAATGTCTAGAGAGGCCGGCGGTCTTGTAAGGAACTCCCCATAGGAGAGCTCGTTCACATTCCTTCTCATGCATTTTTCACAAGGAGCCGTAACAGAGCTCCAGGCGTTACCCGCTAGTGCCAATGGCTCGAGCCTTTGTACACTCTCTTTGCAGGCACACTGCTCTTCCGCTTCCTTTGCCCACCGGTTCAAACGCTCGCAGGAGCACTCCGATCGATTCAGCAGCACCACGACTGCCTTCACGTGGCCTTGCGTGTTTAACAACGGGACAAGCATGGCGTGTCTGGGCATTAAAACAGTTACAACACCGCCATAATGTCATCTACAACACTCTAAAGGCTTTGCGTGGCACTGTGCTACTGTATTCATCCCGACAACTGCTCTAACCCTGTCCTGACGAAACCTACTTGGTCTCGAATCGAGCACGGATGTCGTATTCCTTGTTGAACCCATGTGGAAGGAAATTGAAAATAGCTGTCCTCCCGCGTTGGCGAGTGGCCTCGCCTAAGAGGCAGTGGTCTCCACTAAGACTCAGGCCTGTGGCTCTGCGTACACACACGGTACTCGCACGAGCGAAGCTGTTCCGACGTGTCTTATCTGGAAAGGGATAGAAAATACACCATCAGCATCAGTCAAAGATGGCTTCACGACGTGCGGCATACGTTAATGACCAAGCCGTTGCATTCACGTCTACTATGTACGTCAAGCAAATTTATTCCATACCCGGCAAAAGATGACCCTGGAAAAAATGTTTACGCCGCCTTAGAGTGTAATAATCAAAAATGGAATATGCTAAGTATTCACTGCCCTCCTTACCTCTTGTGGCCTCCAAGACAAATGAAGTTCCTGTTTTGTGCATCCGCAATGAAAAAGGCGGCAGCCTCAGCTCCAACAGCCGCATGCAGCAGAGCAAGTAAACGCTGCATCATTCTAATGGGTATGGAGGTTTCCTGAGAAGGCATCGCAAGGTGAAACCATTACGTCCCACTACGAAGCGAAATCTGTCGAGATTGAACAGCACAGTTGATCAGCAAAAGCAGCTGGAGGTCTTCCACAAACAACTCAGAATATAGGAAAGACAAGGTAGTAACGTCCGTCAAGATCTTCGCAGAAGCACACTAAGTGGGAACTTAGCTCGAATCCTACGGAAATGCCGATTTCGAGCCATGCCTACCTGGAATACTGTGCGGTGAAGCTCCAGCTGAAGCAAGCGCTTAAATCTGTCTCTGCGAAGCCACTGCTGCTGAAGCAAGAGTGCCATTGTCGGCGCGCACACTTCAGCTACTGCCTCCAACAACAGCTGTGCATCAACCCTTTTGACGTCGACGGAAAAGACAATTCCAAGGGTCGTGTTCGAGTGAAACGAATGCAATGTCCGCGCTGACAGTGAAGTTTCACCTGCACTTTCATCCACAGAAGGTAGCTCACTTAGCGGTGTGTGCGCCAGAGGGGCTAAGACTGACCTCGCAGAAGGTATAGATTGACGGAGTTCTGGTTGAGCTATCAGGCGCATCTGCACAAACCAAATGAGCCACACCTACTCCGTTCCTGAAGTTAATTCACTTCTAAGGCAACTATTTAACAGAACAACGTGTAACGGGAATTCTTGAGCCACTGATTTATAGTGTACTGCACACGCAGCCCTGTGAATATAAAAGCATCCTTGAGCCGGAAGCTCTTTTCGTTGTGCAGTCAAATTTAGTCATGATTCCTACAATGTCAGTGCTTAGGGCTCTGCGTGGGCTTGACGGGACAGGTGAGTGATCATGTTCCGCCGCAAGGCTGCTGGCTGGAGTTGCTTGGCATCGTGGTGCCGCGTCCTCGTCCATCCCTGCAGTTGGTCGTTCCAGGGTAGCAGAATACAGCACAGGGATAACATCCTGTATGCCACTAGGCCTGCGACTGGTATGAGTCTTCTTCGTTACGCCAGGTGGCTGTGAAGGAGGCGAGGTAGTCTTTGAAACGCCGACCGCGTTTTCTACCGACTCGGAGGATGCCCGCCGAGCTGCAAGCACCGGCCCCTCTGACCACGCATCTTGATGAGACAATACAGTGGGTGGAGAAGGATTTCTTTTACAGGACGGCCCCACATAAGCTACACGGGCTTCCGCCATGGTTCTGCATGCATTGCGTGTTCCTTCATCTTCAATACGGCAAGCAACAAGAAATCTCTCCGCCTCCCTCAGAGATAATGACTCCCTGCAGAGACAATGCAAACTAGGCAACGCATCCAGCAGTGGGTTTGACAGCCTGTTTTCAAGTGCAATACTGTATGCCCGCTAATGAAGGAAAGTGAAGCAAAAGTGCAACATTAACTGTATGCTCGGCACGCCACGGGAGATCCGTGCTCAGTGGAGACTCACTGATGCCCTCCAGTCAGGTTTGTCTCAGGCTGTTCTTTCCCTGGAAAAGGAAACAGTTGCTGCGTTGTTGGCTCGTAGCAGTACGCCTGAAAGTGGGTTATGCACATACGGCAAGTTCAGTATATGCCTCAACCACATTCCCGTTTAGCTGCAGCAGAATCCCCCTATGCTCCGATATAAATGCAAGGACAACCTAATCGTTCACTGCGTTCAACTACTCCATGGTTTAAAAAAATTGCACAAAAAAGTGGAAATTGCAGCAAACTGGCAGCGCACAGTACAGTACAGAGCTCCCCCTTTGTACTGTACTAAAACTGCGTCGAACTCACCCGGCAGCCCTTCCTGAGATCGTTAATCAGATACTGCACGAAGCTTTCAGCAGAAACCACAATTAACTCTGGCGTCGATGAAGCCGTTACAGCTCCAGCAACTTCACCACCTTGTTCCCGCAACGTGTCGGTTAAACTGTTCTCCTGATGCTTGTTCTGCCCCGCACTGAAAGGACTCTCAGAGGCCTCCTTAATGGTCTGTTGCTGGTGCAACATACTGCACGCTGAATTTGAACGCAAGTCTCGTGATGCTGCACCTTGATCTTGTTGCTGCTCTTCATGAGACAAACAAGAGTTACTTGCTCTGGCATCTTGGGCAAGGAGAGCAGAAAAGAAGGATAATGCATGTGGGCTCAGGCCCCACAAGGTAGGTCCTCCACTATGAACAGTTCCGCTGCCCAAATGACACTTCCCTGCGTCACGCCAACAGAATCCACAAACAGAGTTAACAAAATGTTCCAAGCTCATACGAAAGTGATAAAGGCAAGACTGTTAGGTATAGTCGAGTCTCTCCAGGCGTCACATGCAGATGAATACCAACAGTGACTGCCACAAAGTTGTGTTCACTACTGAGGTGCTCTTACAAAGGTACCCTCAGTGAACCTTCTATGCTTGTGTTGACTGTTTGCAGCTGCATGGTAGGTAGGCAGCTTGGGGACAACCGGAGCCTCACCGGGCTCTCTGGTGAGGAAACTGCAGCAGTTTCGCAGGTGTGCGGTATCTTCAGGAGAAGCGCACATCGATGACCTTTGCACACATGATGCCATCCTGGACTGAGAGGTAGCATGTGAGCATTCGCAGCTGCTATTTTGCGTTTCAGATGGAGGACAATCCGGATGTGGAAAGCAGCAATGACGTGACGCATAAGCCCCCAAGAGCTGCTCCGTCTCAACATCTTTCACAAAGCAAAACGCCATTGAAGAATCCACGGCAACGCAGACATTCGCTGCCAGAGCAGACGCGAAGGCCGTCACGTTGCTCATGTGTACTGGGCAGGCTGTGCGCACACCACCGCAGAAGTCGTGATTCAAGAAATCTGTCACACGTACACCATGGACTGCCCTTAAATAGTCTGACCAGCTATTCCAATTCCCCTAAGCCTACACATCTTTGGATACATAAACGCATGACCACAGCTGCATGATGAAACCGCGGCTTGCCTTCAATTCGCGCCCGAATTTCGTTAGCTTCCTGCCAGAATGACCTTGTTATGGGGGCGGCATAAAGCTCCCCAGAGCGCGTTTTTCCCTTCTCTCGTGGTTGTACCTGATCCGCTTGCTGGCTCTGTCCGTCAAAAACCTTTCGTCCCCCCAGTGCCTCCATCTTTGTGGAGACCCAAGATCTTCTCTAACGGGTCAGAATCCTATCCAAGCAATAAGGGGAGCAAGCAGCTGAGAAACTGTGCCTTAAAAACGACAGCTGTCCGACAAAAACAGAGCCAGCCGCGTAAGGTGCAGCTGAGGGGCTAACAAAGTACTGTTCGCCTCCCTTCTTCGTCAAAAAACGTCCAGAGATTGAGTGGTAGGAGGACAGGCGCTGCTCTAGACAGTCACCTCACCTTAGCCCTAGTCACACTTTATCATTTGCTGTTTTTAACCGGGCGATATCACACGCTGCTTGTACGTCGAAAATAATTGACTTCACGGTGGACCGCTATGGCGGAGGAGTCGAGAATCACCAATCGGTTGTGCTAGGCTTTGAGGCAGTGTAGGCCTACAGATTCCCTTACTGGAATCAAATAATATCCGATATAACGTGTGAAAGATTATACGACCTTTACAGCTGCAGTCGGATTCCGGTGGTCTAGCCCGCCAAAGAAAACGTGGGAAACTGTGAGTGCGATGACACCGCTAGATAAAACATCACACGGTGTGTATACAAGCACTGCATGTACATTTCTTCAGGAAAATCCAAAGAAGAAGCCGAGAAGTCGCAGGGATACTACACTTAGAGACTGCCAAGACTCAACACGAAGGACTCGACCGCCCAGACAAAGGGCCAAGGTTACGGTCCTTGAGGCTCCGCTTCCAGTGCCTTCGAGCCATCTACAAGCAAAAGGGTTAATTTCATAGCGCAGAGAAGCAAGAAACTATACCACAAGATTCACAAAATACTCATTTCTGAACAGCCCGTTTCTGAGTCTAGCCAAAGAGGGCCCCGGCCGCTGCTTCCGTGGACGTTCTGTGTAGGCCTCCGCCTTCCTGTGCATTCCTCTCTTCTCTTCTTTGGCGTTTTCTTCTTCGGAAAACAACTTTAAACAACTACACAGGGGTATGCATTCCAGTACCCTTCGTGTGAGTCATCGCACCCTCTCGTGACCCCGTGGTGTTCAATCAATGGAGAAATGCCGTTCTTTGGATGCTGCCGGCAGACATTGCTCTAACTACTACTTCCTATTCCATTACAGCTTCTTTGGATTTGCCGGGTAGATCGCTGGGTGTAGGTACTCTCTCCTTTCTTGACAGACAAGCTTCGTGTCTCCACAAGGCCTCCCATGTCTCTTCTGTATGGACATCTGTAACGCTGCGTTCCATTCTTCCACGTGTGAGTCTTGGCAAGAACTTTGATCAAGGCCTATCGTAGGGCTGAGAAGAGATTTACAATACTCGATGATGTGTTCAATGGTGAGGGTACAGGGGTGCTGTACACATTAGTGGTTTGCGTTCCCCACCACAACACTGCGGCGGTGAGGCATGCGCAGCTAAAGAAGATGTTCTCTTTGGAGCTACTGCCATTCACACAGAGTACTTTGGAGCGCCGTCTCTGGGGAGCTAGCTGCGTACGGCCTGTGAGATCATCCGTGCACACTGCTCTAAGCCGTTTTGGCAGAGTCAGCGAACGAGGCTCACTGAGGCTTTGTTCGACCGCTCACGAGCTTCCTTCTCATCTAGCTTTTTCCAGCATATCTTCGAAGTCAAAATACCTACTTAGTCACAACTGGCAGAGAAAATCATACGATACGGCGCCGCACCAGCGTTGCCTCAGACGTGTTTTCCAGGAGCTTCCCAAGGGCTCTCCTGCAAACTCATCAGTATGCAACAGGCCATCAGCATGTTGGAGTGGACCAAATATACTTTTGGTCAACAAATCTGATCGTCTCTCTGAAAAGCTGGGCCGTCACCCTCGTTGGTTCACCACCACCCACACTTCATCATCACGCCTGTGGCTTGCAAGGTTCCCAGAAAGCCCTACAATTTGGACGAGACTATTTAAGGGAGGTGCACATGGAACGGGCGGCTCATTGCAGGAGGTAGTGCTACCTTGCCGCCCAGGGACAGTGAGTTTGGCCCTTGGGACCGCAGATGTGCTGGCGCTGTCGGATGGCAGCCTCTTCGGGGCCCCACTGAGTTTAGCAAGGGTTCAAGAGGATCGGCCAGAGCCCTTGGCGCTACGTGATATTACACCAGAGCCCGTAGAAGCGGGAGGCATTTCGGTTAACGACTTTAATCGGCATTGTAGTATGGGCGAGGAACTGGGCATTAATTTGGCGCTGACAAATGCGGCAGCTGATGGCTTCCCCATGCATTTCGAGACAGACACACATGTCCGATTTGTCAAAGTGGCTGCCGGGAAGCACCATTTTGCTGCATTATCGTCACACGGGATCTTATACACATGGGGAAAGGGTGGCACGTGGGGTGCTGGGAGTCCATTAGGGCAAGGAGATAGAAAGAACCGGTCTCGGCCAACACCAGTAGGCCAGGTTCGTTGCTGTAATGCCTTGAGAGCTTTTTCAACTATTGCTGTCCGTGTAGAGAAAATGCATCTGCTAGGCTCGTCAGCGGCCCTGGTAGGAGCAGTTTTGCCTGTATCTTGCTTTCCCTGTGCCGCTCAGTTTGTTAGGGCTGGAGAGTTTGTGGTGGATGTGGCGTGTGGGGCTACAAGCACATGCGTAGCCACAAGTAAGCGCCTTTGCTTACCTGGTGTTTTGCTGTACAGTCCGTCTTTTGAGTCTGTATGAAACTTACTCTATTTTGTTGACATAGCCACTGAGAGGTTCGAGCAGAGTTTGCATCAAGAAGGCAAGCAACTGCCTCTGTTGTAGGTCAGCTGTCGTAAATTACTGCTGCGATATTCAGGTTCAGGCCGAGTGTTTAGTTCCGGGGCGGCAGACTACGGAGTAAATGGCAGTGGAATGCTCATCAGCAGCAGAGTCTTTCGGGAACTGGAGTTCTTTAGGGGGCTACTCTCCCCAAAGCTTCTTGAGGCCCAGCGTCTCATGGAAGAGGGGCAGCTGAAGGAACTTGAAGCGCTCAGGGAACGTTTCGATCAGGAGGGAGTCAACCTGTCTCACCTCCCGATGAGGCCTTTCGATGCTTTTCAGGAAGCACCGGAGGACTCTACTTGCAAAAACACTACACGCTGTCGGGGTTACTCGGTGACTGGCCACTTGGGGCTCCCAAAGGTGATGTGTGGTGCTGACCACTGCGGTTTGTTGACCCCTGAGGGAGTTCTCTGGATGTGGGGACGAAACGACTGTCTACAGCTTAGCAAGGAGAAGTCAGTATGTCTTTGTCTCTGTACTCGCCTTTGAGGCCCAGTATGCATGGAACGTGAAACAGCATCCGTGCGCCGCTGGAGAGGCTTCAGAAGAGCGACCATATTGCACGTTTGCTCTCCTTTCCTTCCTTCTGTGTGCTGCAGGTGATGGCGTCTGGCGGGGAGTCTAACTACCCGCTGTTAGTGGATTTCTTTACGCGCTCAGATGTGCCGCTAGGTAGCTGTGCTTTAGGCCCTAACCATACCGTTGCTCTTGCGAGTAAGCTTCTGCACCGAAGACCCTTCTGTAGCGGACGAGAAGATGCTATGAAGTATCAAATGCGTACTGTGTGCATAACATTGAATTCATTGTGAGTTACTTTAGAAAGCGGGATGGTATACGAGTGGGGAGGTCGTAGTGCGGAGTCCCCTCACCCTGTTGACTTGCACTGGAGTTACCCAGAGGTAAGTATAGTGAAGTCAATCAATTACAGTGCAGTCGATCAAGAGGGTTGGGAGAGCTTTCAAGTGTTCTGGGCCATGGCTCCATGTTACTGATAGTTGGCAGAGCTATCAGTAACATGCTGAACTGCAGAGCTGTTATTTATGGTCTTTCAATCTCTTGCATAAACACGTTGAAAGCAAAGTCAGAGGTACCAGTATGTAACGTCTTTTGAGTCCCTGTAATGTTTCTCTGCTACGTTGCGCTCTTTCCGTGTGGGGGTCAGAGCATTTTCAAAGACTGCGTGATGAAAGTTGCTGCTGGGGGCTTTTCAAGCTCAACCGCTTTCTCTGTTGCCCTTACAGGTGAGCAAAAGATGGACCCTTTGCGTGTTCGCCGTGGTTTTACAAATAAAGCAACGCACAATAGCAAGCGGCGGTCAAGCGTTACAGGCTCTTCGTCGTGGGGCGCTAGGCTTATATCAAAATACGCTGCGCGTACCTGCTGCTGCTCTCTTGATGTATTCTTACAGTTCGCATTGCAGTAGAAGTGCACTTTGGACCCTTGTGCGGGCAGGAAAAGGAGAGGCATTCTTTTGGGGACCAGGGGCTTCGATGCTGCCCCTTGGTGTCAGCCCAGCGTATGACCATATACCACAGCTGATCAATGCAGCCTTGCCTACCCAGGAATCAGAGCGTGAAGATGACACGGGAAGGGTCCGGATACGTGACATTGTTGCTGGGCCCTGCGGCTGCCTCCTGATGACCACAGATTCACTGTCGCCATGCTTTGTTAGGTAGATAAGACAGGAGGTAGGCCAACCTTCTGCCGACAGCGCTGTTGCAGCTTCATCCAGTATAGCGCAGAGACGACAGCACCGATGTCTTGATGTTTGAAGACAGCTGCAAGCACTCTTTGAAAGGACGAGCTTTGGCAGTTGGGATATCCCGTTTCTCTGACTCCAGAGAAGAGATCTTGACCAGAAGATAAAATGCTTTGCGGAAATATTTATACATGGGACATTTGAGGCCAGTGGTGATTCACGGTATTTGCGGCACTGGAGGGCCATCATAATATCGGTTCGAGACTGACCTGGCGCCCCCCGCGAGCGTAATGGCCCTAACAGGAGGCGCTAAGTCAGTCTCGAGCACATACTGTGGCGAAAAGAGCCAAAATTCGTCTAGTTGAATGTGCTCTTCCGTACTGGTGCCAACGGAGAAGGCCTTCAAGCTAGGTCACTGCAACTAGAGCTCACGGTCTTTAAAAAATTAGTGGCTGCCTGAGCTATGCTACGGCCCAACACAAAGACTGGGGCGACGAGGCATACCGGCGTTGTCTAGAGAGCAGGCAACGAGAGGCTCCGGCTGTTCTCCCTTCGTTCATTGAATGGCATGGCGAACGCTTGAGTTTTAAGCTGTGCACAGTCTGTAACTTGGGACGTTGTTTGGTGAGCTGCTTGGGTCGGTACGCGGGAAAGCCATAGCGTCCCTGCCACTGTGCCACTTGAGTACAGTGGATTAGCCTTTCTGTGTCTCCTGTTAGTTCCCGTTTGTGTTTACTCAGCGTATTTCCGCTTTCTCAGCAGATTGAATATACATTGGCATCTTAAGGCAATGTCCCCTGTTGACCAAATGCTGCGTGTAAGCTTGTGCAGTTGAGAGCAACTGTTGACAATATTTTCCTCCTGAGATGTCCTGTAATCATTTCTGTTTCTGCTAGCCTCACCAGTTAAACTTTTGTAGGACGTTGGTACCAGAACCAAAATCTTCAAACTGGAGAACTGCTCCTTTAGGCTAAGAGCCTGTAGATCTAGTCGGCCAACAACCTGTAGGTTTAGTAGGCATCCTGACTTAAGCTTAAGAACTCGGCAGGCTCTCGGCATGCGTTGCCATTATTCCCTGACAAATGCACGCAGCGGCGTTGCATTCACGCTGTACATTTTCTTGGTTAACTTCCCCGACTCGTTGCAGCCTCATTCATACTATGGTGCATCTTGAACTCATCTCGACTTCATGGCTTTGCTGTTAACGTGGTCGTCGATGCAGGATACTGCCTGCCTGGCGTCATTCCTGCATTAACTGTGACACAGTGCGCCCTTAAGCTGGACAGGCAACTGCCTCCTGGAGACGAAAGCAAGGGGAGAAGACTTTCAGTTGCTGAATTTTCCACGGATGGTGAAGAGCTTTCTTCGGTGAAGAGCTTTCTTCACCATCCGTGAAAAATTCAGCAACTGAAAGTCTTCTCCCCTTGCTTTCGTCTCCTGGAGGCAGCTGCCTGTCCAGCTTAAGGGCGCACAGTGTCCGTCGGCACGCTGATGCTATGAACTGTGTCCGTAGTGTTCCCTACCTTAAATCACGCAATTAATGCAACTGCAAACTCAAAAACAATGTATGCTACCGTGTCCGTAATACACAGAACACAGCTTGCCAGCGACAACTCAAAAGGGTCGCCAGAATTGCTCCTAAACGTGGCGACGCCTGCACAACGGAAGAATATGCCTTGCAATGCTTCCACCTTGTGTGCCTCTCCCTCATGTCTTATCTCTTTGCTCTTTCTTGATGAACCTAATTGCACAGCTTTCTTCTGCAGCGCAGAGGAAGCTATTTTTTCATGAGCCCAGTCGAACAGCTTTGCTTTGCTGCTCTAAACTATAGAGAAGCGCAAACACTCCACTACGTACTCGTCTACGCCGTGAAGTTAATTTGCCGCTCCAATCTTTTCGTGAAGGGCTTGTTCTTTACAGTAACCCATCGCAAAACCGCATTACTGGTAATCCGCAACGAGCTGTTCCCCTGAACGGCCACTCCGGCAATTTCAACGCGATAATCGATAGTTTAGACTGTCCAGCGCACTAATTTTAAAACGCTCACCAGTTTGCTGCTAAAATACAGAGCAACTGCGCGTGCCAAAGTGAACTGCTGTACTGTACAGGATCCCATTCAAAGAAGACGCCGATCAGGCCTAACTTCTAGAAAGGCCACTAGTATGGAGCTGCGATACCAAATCCTGTTTGACATGGTTGCTGCAAAACCGTTGATGAAAAACGCGTGATCAAACGGCAAATTTCAGACAGCCAATCTTACTGAATATGGAAAAGTGCCAAACCATGCGCTCTTCACCACAGTTGTGACTGGATAGTTTTAAGCACCAATCCAAACTGCCCTGGTGCATGAGAACCAACGCGCGTCCGGATAGCCAATTATGAACGCATACACAGTCAGAGAGACTGGCAAGCCATATTAGCCAAGCGTGCTTTTCATAAATGACTCTACCCTAGAGGGCCGAATGAAATAATCAACGCATATTACACTATGTGCGGGCCTCACTTCACACAATTTAAAGCAGTCATTCAGCAGGACGCACAGCACTTCTAACAGCAGGTCTACGCTACAAAAAAGGGGCCCCGATTTTAAGTTGTCCCACAACCACAAAACGTCCCACGTTCGAACGGGCAAGATGTTGCCGCGGCTGGCGGCATCAGTCCTTCGACGGACTGACGGTGTCAGCCCTGGCGTGTCTTGTTCGTTTTAAAGCCGAAGCCTCCACATTCAGTGACGCAGCTTCCGGCCAGTTTTGGAAGTTGCAAACAATTATACTTGGCCACTGTTGGCTCTACTTCTCAGATCGCAGACCTCAGGACTTGGGGCGCACATCTTCTTCCCTTACGGCGCGCACGATTATCTGCGGCTTCGGCTGCCCCGGCTGAGGGCCCCGTTCAAACATGTACGAGACCGCCATTGCGAGAAGAGTGCCGCTGGAATTAAAAGCCAAACTCGAAACGCTGCAGAGCAACCGTGACAGCCGGCAACATGAAAAGGAACTTACGCCGTGAAGATGTTGAATGCAAACATCTGGTTTATAGTCCTGGTGTACTCCTACGCCTAAACGGGCACAACTTACCTTGTAGGCAGCGGGGGAACCCTGCACAGCCTCTTTTTGCTCAACCCATCCCATATTGACACGCCGCCATCTGAACCTCCTGTGGCAAAAGTTCCATAGCTGAAATGCGCAAAGCCACCGAAAAAAAGAATTAAACTCCCGAATAAGTGTGAAGAGCCATTCACCATGCAACTATGCAACCGTGGGGCTGGTGTGCTGAGGATGAGGCATTACTGTCCTTCGCAGCATGTGCCTAGCACAAGTGCACCCACAGCCATCCTCCTGGCAACACAACAGAAGCTCTAATAGCACTTATAGCACGTTCTCATCAACAGCATTGCTCCCACAGAGAATTCAAATTTGCACGTAAGCTCCGGCTCGCAGCGCTCCAGCTATTGAACCTGGAATGCGTGGCTCTCACCGTGGGTGGAAGACGATCGCGTTTACGGGACAGGCTGTTTCCGAGCCGTCTGCTTCTGCACAATACACAATGGCCACTCGCAATACGCTATTTTCCGCTAGCTGCCAAAGTAGGCAGAAGCAGAACGCACACTTGCAGGGATGCGGAAAGACGCTGAAGCGTCTCATTGTAAGGGAAGCGGGACTAATTGGGAGAGCTGCATTGTTGTTCTTTAAGCAAAACGCTTTCCAGCTTATGAAGTTTTGACACAAATGTGCTAAAGCTACAGGGTCACATTCCATCGGAAACAAACACATTATCTTGCAATCAGAAAGCATGCAACGTTCGTTGTGCGAAACATCCATCAGCTCATAAAGTCCGAACACAGCAATGCAAAGCCTGCAGGACCACGTTTCATCGCAAACACGCACAGTTCCTCTGCTGGTGTTTCCAGCCACCGCCTCTGAATATCTTGCTTAGAAGCCTTACCTTTGATTCTGTGGCACTTGAAGGCATACTTCCGAGACTGCACCTCAGGGTTCTGAAAAGCAAGTGGCACGCGTCAGATGGAGAACAGCAATACGCTAGTTTGCACGGGAACTTCATGCAAGAAACAATGTAAAATTTTCATGTAATCAAGTCTGGTGGACACGAATGAAATTAAAACTTCTAACCAACGAAGTGTTCTGTTGCAATTCTTCGAGTGACAACAGAGAAAAGCACAAAAAATGAAACGAAGGACAAGAATAAATCTGTCGAAGTCGTGGCAGAACATTCGTCAAAAGATGCAAAGTCCGAGCTGAAAGAAGCTACTCTTACGGAGGTGGATGCATACACCACGGTGTGTAACATCTCTGTGTGGCGTGTAAGTTCCTTACAGGGTCGAAGTACTCCCAAGAAACGCGGCCTTCAATTGATGAGGCAGCAAACCCCTGGCCGTTGGGGAAACACCGCACTACCCTTATTTGGTACTTCAAAATTTGACTGCGAAATATATTAGACAAGCTCTCAAAGACAGGGGCCGTTTCAATGTACAGGTTGAGCTGTGCAAGTAAGCTACGAATCATCGTCTCTGCTGGTGGCACGTGTGGATAAGCCCATCTATAAGAACGTAATTTCAGGACAGCTTTCCAAACCCATGGGTAAAAACCCATTAAGTGCTGCTGCACCTGCCTACGTGGCCTGCATCTTCAACAAGCCACTCAGCTGAATCAGTCAGCATATGCCGCACACACAATTATTTGTTCAATGCGAAGGTGATGCCACCGTTCTTCTAAACAAACTCACTCCCGATACTCCGCGTTGACCAAATTCGCACCGTTGCGAATATCATAGATGTAGGTCTGCAGACATCAAACACAACATGCGCCCACTTACAAGGGAACAATGTGAGCATGCTTTCCTTGTAAAAGATTCATCCTGTAACTAAGGGCCTCCTCATGATGGGAAGTACAACTGAAAAAGTCAACTAAACACAAGAATGATTTTCAGCTTCCGGGAAATTAAGCAAAGGATATATAATACTGTTCTGTGGCAATAGAGGCAATCAGCAATATGCAGAAATTGCACGAGTACAGCTCCCTCAGGCACTTGAAGCGTTCCATGGTGGCATCGTTCATCTCACCCGTTTCTTGGAATCACAAACAACAAGTTTATCGTCGTTCAAATCCATGGCGTAGACTTTGCCGTGGAGTGCTGCCATGCCAACTTCGCGCGGAGAGCGTAAATCCCACGCCCTAACAGTGTTGTCCCACCCACCAGAGTAGATCAGATCTGCGAGAAACATATGGAAAAGACAAATCAAACAAACGTTTTTTTGAAGAAGTGGGGCCGGATCTATTTAGGCGGGGGGTTCACAATTGGAAGCGAGTTTACGAGCAAGGGCTACTCACTCGTTGGTCTGTGAAACCGTACACAGCGAACTGCGGCGTCGTGCCGGCCAACTTGAGATATTTTTGCTCCGTGAACATCAAAGACGTGTACGCCTCCTGTCAATCCCCCTGCTGCAACACGATTGAAATCTGAGAGGAAGCAGCAATCTAGCGGTGCGGCCTGGAACTCGTGTTGAGATATAAGGTCAGAATTGTCCACATCGTACACTCGCAGCATCTGCACGCAAGCGGTAGCAAACACAAGCATTTTTAGTGGGAAGATAGTATGAGACACCACGTCATCTCGAGCAAAGATACGTGGGAGAGCACGGCTGGAGCGGCGGTGCGGGACAAGTGTTCGAGCTCCTTCAAGTCTCGCCGACGCGTTCATGTTATGCAGATCACCATCCCTGATATTGTATCAAAGCGCTGTGAAGCAGCGTGGACTAGGCTTTGAACCTCACGTTGTCCCAAGATGACGCCGCGAGCACATTCTTTGCGTGGTTTGGTGAGAAACAGATGGAAGAAATAGTGTCGCGCGGCTCTGGCCGCAGCTCCGCAAGCATTTCGTCCAGTCCTTCTAAGAGTTACGGCTGTCTGGAGTCCTCAAACAATTTCGAGTTTTGGGGCCCGGCAATGAGACCGAGCTGCTGACTGCGAGAGACCCCAGTGCTGGATCTATGTGAGCAATTCTAACTGAAGTTCAAAAACATTCGGAATTACCTTGCTCACTGTCGTTATTTAAGAGAAACTGTTGCACTATAGACTCCCCAATGTACCATTCAAAGTTGACTGGGAGGAACAATTCGGCGGGGCTTTTGTTCGGGCTGGATGACAATTTTCTGCATGTTGGCTGAACAAAACGGCGATTTCATGCGCTTGAAAATCTAAGTTCAAAGTTCTCAATTTTTGAATGACAATTAAGTGTAAAACTGCAGATGTCCTTTCAGAAATGCCAGCTTTGTCCTTAAATAGAAACCACAATGGGACTGCAACTGTGTAGGAGCTTCAGCATCGCAAGGGCAGTAATCTAGAGAACTACGAGCTATCTAATCAGGACTGTCATGGTTAGTCCATGCCTAACGTCACAGCTTGCTACTGGACTACTATACACAATCCTCGCCATGAGAGAGCTGGCCCAAACCTGAGCGGCGCCACAGGAACCAGCCCGTCCAGAGCGATCTCCACAGCTCCCCACTCAAAATAAGCACGGTTATTTTGGAGGCTTCGTTGCTAGGTGGCCAACTTAAGTCTAAATAGGCGGTTCAAACTGCCGACTTAATACGCCTTAGGGTTGACTGCTCCCTGTGTATGAGCAACGTCAGCTAAGCGCGATATGCCAGCTCGTCGCACAACGCTCATGTGCGTAATCCAATCAGGCCAGGGGCAATTATCCCCAGTTCGCCGCCGCCTATGTCCCGGTCAAGGGAAACCCTTCACTCAGCAGCTATCTACGGAGCTGACTGCCATTGCTCGCTACGATGACGCGCTGCATCCTGACCTCTTTACCGTCCACTTCTTTACCCTGAATACAAGGCGACAGCCGACTACTGCTTTTGTTGAACTATCGTTCCGCTGATGCAGAAAGGGTTCTGCCACCCCTTTGTTTTCGTTTGAACATGATGCCACCACTATTGTTAGCCAGTCGTACATTCAGGGCTAAAAACGAGTACCACGCTCTCAGAAAACTCTAGGCCCAATTCCACACTCTGGACAAAAGGCACTTCTAACTGAAAATATGCTTTTATGCGCCAGATGATTTCCACCTGTCTTCCTCAAAACAGCCGCGGCCCGCCTGCCGTGCTCCGAGTTGGCTCCACAGCGAACTTGCAGGGAGCCACCATCAAAAATTGAAAGAATGAAAGAGTAGCCGAGAAAAACAACAAAAGCTCCCGACCTCTGCAACGCCTATAAAAGCGGGCATAACTCCCCCACAGTCAGCCAATGACACATAAACGCGCACACGTACACCTTAAACCTGCTATGGTCATCCTTCCAGAGTAAATTAGGTCAATCGTCACACTTGATGCTGCGTGGCTAACGCGGCTACTGCATTAGCTGGTAGTGGCCGCTCGTGATGATGTCGCAGAGGCTCAGCTGCTGAGAGTTGGCGACGGATGCAGTAGAGACAATCGCGGAGGCTGCAGCAGTAGGTCCCCCAATAGCAATAGTGACGCCAACAGCAGCAGCAAGAGCATCAGGTCAGCCCACGCAATTAGAAATTCCGTTCTGTTCGATGGCAAGTCAAATAAATGGCTCAAAAAGGGTATGCGCTGTAGAGGACGACCAGGTCTCCTGCTGCTTGGCGATTCCTGGGCAGCTCGTGCAGTTGAAGGCGTGCTGCTTCTATGGCTGCCGCTGCTTGCGTTGCTGTCAATATTTCTATTCTCGCTGATGTTCGGCGTTGGAGCCGCTGGAGCGGCAACCACAGCAGGATTCCCGACCTGCAACACGAATTGTACACGATGAAAACAGGCAGCAGCTGGACGCTGCTTTATCTTGTTCCATACCAATGTTTCACGAAGGGCGGATGCATATATAACGGGCACCGGAATATACTTATGGCTATTGTAAGCTCCTCTGCAGGCGCTTCCTGGGTAAGCTTCATGCGCCAAAGGATTTCATGCAGTACCTGAGAAGCTGGCTCTTTTCTTTCCACAGCACTAGTCACCTGCTTCTGGCTGTCTCCTTTCTTTGCCAGCATCGCCTGGGCCTTGAGCTGCTCAGGCAACTCCTACAAAAAAGCCGCAGCTTCCAGAGCAAGTGGGTTCTAATGTGCCTCTCCTATAAGGTAATGGAGAAGAACACGTTTGTCAGTGCCTCCTAATCTTCGCCTTCTCTCTGCCTAGACAGAACCACTAGGGAGACAATGTCTGTCGACAGTAACGAAGTGCTTTGTCCTTTCTCAGACAATCCCGAAAATGCGCTCAACTTACTGGCAAGGTATCTGTCGGAGCTGCACAGCCCTCTTCCACAAGCTGCCGATTGGGTCTTTTGCATACCGGACAAACCCATGAGGCGCTCTCCAATGCCATCTGTCTCCGATCCTGAACAATATAACGCAAGCATCAAAACACACCCTTTCAGTTTCAGCAGACCAAAACTTGCGCTGGGAGACGCATCTTAATGCAGGGCTGCCCTCAAACAACAATCTACTGGTGCAGCTCGATGCACAGCAACAAGCGTTGTGGAAACACCCGTGACAGCACGTGTGTGGGATAACAGCACAGCTGCCAACAGCGTCTATAGCAATCACAGCACAAGCAAAGGACTGTTCTACTTATGTGGTGGCAAGCAAGTTAACAGCACCACCATCAACTTTAATGATAGGACGAGTGAGCATATCTCATGTAGAGACGGTAGTGGCAGCAGCTTTGCAACAGTAGTAACAGAGGCCGCAAAAGCTCCACTAGATCAAAAACATCCCTAATGGTGTACCTTCTCTGAGGCCTCTAACGCATGAAGGGCCCCCTGAGCCGGAGTGGGGAAGAAAGCGCACAGTGCATCAAGTAGCGTGCGGATGCCCCATGCCGGCTGCCAAAGCTCAGGATGGTGGCTGCTTGCACTAAGACAGATCTGCAGAGAGACACAAGTTAGCGACACATGTGCCTCAACGCGATAGCGGCACGTGAAGTAAAGCGACACACTGGCGAGAACGCCAACAGCAGCTGTTGCACAAAAAATTAAAAAAGCAGCACCATACAGTTACCGACGCAAAAAAAAAAAAACTTAGCAGCAGGGAATGCTTCAGAAGACAGATGCGAAGACGCAAAAAAATTGGGCACGTAAGGTGTGTGGCTCCTCCCGTAAGCCACCCCAAGGCGCAGTGACTTCTGGCCCGCGAAAATCACCATGCAAATGATTAAAAAATAAGCTAATGCCCTGCCTTCTTGTTAACGTCAAATCGCCCGTTCCTCGTGAGAAGCATCAGCGACGGTGGTGCAAAGGGATAATTCTTTGGCAAAACAATGCGCCCGTGATACAGACCCCCCTCGAACGGCGAGTCAGGGGGGCCTCTTAATGTGAAGTGCCATTCTCTCGGCTCCTCCAGCTGAACACGCGCAGATCTCACACTCGCTTACACTCCGGAACTTGAAATGTTTCGATGCAGGACTCCGACTACCCAAGAGAGTGAGATCCTGGTTCCTGACGCTTTTCATGCCTCCCCGTAATGTAGGCTTCTGTGACTTTGAAATTGTGCTCAGTTCTAGGACACTGTTGTGGGATGTTCTGCTAGCGGAAATATTTTGGGTACCAATCTACCCACTGCAGAAGGTGCCCGGACCCACTGAAAGAGGAGCAGCTGTCCAGTGAGGAGATGCATTGCGTTGAATATCTCTGTGTTCCCTCAGAATCCTCGCAAGACTTTGAGCTGCCGAAGCGTGCTGTGCAGCCCCAGCACGGCTAGAATCGTGTGCAGCTTCCATGGCGAGTGCACCAACCAAGCAGACAAAGCTGCTAGCACTGGGACAGCAGACGCTGAGCCTTTTTACTCCGTTGCTTCGGCCGTTTCTAGGCTGCTGAACATCGCACCACACACGAAAAGTTACACCCCTTCCCTCGAAACGAAACACGTTGGCTCAGGCCCGCATTCTGTTCGTCTGCAGCTGTGCGTTCCCTCCATACACCACAAAGTAGCGAGTGTAGTAGGTGCTGTTAGTATTCGTCCGCTGCATAGCTCTGCGTTTGCTAGGAAGTTGAGAAGTTGGTAGCCGTCACAAATGCCACTGAATCAATAGCTGGGACTCTCAGACAGATAAGCTGCCTAGAGGGGCAGCCTACCTCCTGTGTATTGATGAGTAACGCCCAATTGTTTCCTCTTCTATACAGCTGAAAATGTTAAAAATTAGAGCACGAAAGCAGGCGTTGTGCCAACAAGGAACTCCAAATTACTCTGCTGAGTGGCTGCTGGTCCAAACTTGCCAAATGTGTCCCTTGCTTCATCCAGCAAAACCTAAACACGTTCTTTTAACCTTATTGCCATCATAAACTTCGCCGCTGAAGAATAAGGAGACGGACGCGACACGCTACTGCATCTATAATAGTACTATGAGCAGCAGCAGGGGCAGCTAATCATCTGCTCCAGGCCACTAGTTGCCAGGTTCGGATCTGCGCTGCTTCCACTACGGCCGTTTGGCTCAGCTGCACAAAATTTGTTGGAGTGAATTCCTCTTCAAAATGTGTATGACGCCTTGCAGGAGAGAACTCGTGGAGGGTTCAGTGCCTTCGCATGCCTCAACAAGATGCGTCACATCAGTGCAAGCAACAAAGCCAGGACAGACTAGGTAGAAACTGCTCCAGGTAGGATTTACCTTGAAACTTGTGGAACCCTACTTGTAAGCAAGAATTGTCGCAATGAAATACAAATGACTACGATATTAGAATCACAACACCCCATCCTAGATCAACTGCTGGCTGTGTCGTGGTGAAACCTATCTAAAGGACTCTGCTACGCTCCCTGCTACAGGAAAGGACTTCCTGTGAACGTGCACTAAAGTCTGGCGAAGTACAAAGCCAGACAAAAAAAGAGGTGCTTACTCTGAAACACTCTAGACTAGCTGTAGACACGCTGTAGTGACTGTGCATGGTCGCGCCGCACGCCCGACTACTGCAGCGTGAAATTTGCTGCACTTTTTGCTTGGAAATTCCAAGGTTTCGAAGCCAGAACTGTACATTAGCTTATCTGAGCAACGCTGTGCTTCGAAGCCAGAACTTTACATTAGCATGTCTGAGCAACGCTGTATGAAACTTGCATCTGGGGAAAGTTCTTTCAAAGCGACGATTACGCCACGTATCTACCCAATCAGAGGCAAGAACAAGGGGATTGGGTAGATCACAAATGTCGCCTTCTTAATACTCCTAATTCTCCATCTCACTCGAACCATCAGCCACCAACAGCTCGGCGTGTTCTAAGCTCTTACCTTTGCTCACACGTACACTTGTCTTCCCCTTGGGATGCGTACCGATTGACGTACTTGCCGAAAAAGGCTTCTGCAATATTAACTGTTGAAGCTCAACGAGGGCGAGTTATGAAAACGCTATGCTCGTTAATCACCATTATATAAGGGACGGCGCCGAAGCCCTTTTCCAGCACTGTTAACCCCATCTTCGCATTCTGAGTTACTTTCGAAACTTCAGTTTCGCTAAGCCACGTAAAGCAAGCAAATTGTAGTTGTAGGCACTACTGTAAAGCACTGGCATCCTCCTGGGAGCGGAATAGCGTGCAACTCTATAGAAAAGCAATTATACCGTGGAAGTAGCAATGCTTTTTGCGGTCTGCCTCTCTGCAGACAGGCCGCGGCATGTTGAGCGTTTTCGCAGATTCCGGCTTCTTTACATAAAACATTTTCGGTCTTCACATGCGGGTTTGGATATTAATCTGTCATGGCTCCAACGGACGCTGGAGCATGCAAGTTAGAGAGGGCATAGCTGCTGCATCAGCAACTCTAGGAACGAAAGCGCCATGGGAATATTTCTGTCCCTTGCGGAAGTCTATTGCGCTACTGTGGGGTTACGCCCTGGACGATAGGAGGCGAAGAGTGGTAGGGTACCTGCCTGGCACGCTGTACCACGGGCTGTGCACAACTACAACGGATTAACTCCAGCGACACCGCAAACCTGGGATACTTGGAAAGGCGAAGAGGCTGCTTCACAGGAGGTCCCGCGTCCTATCTAGAGCTAAAACTTGAAGCAGAATGGCAGGTTCGAGCGGAACGGTGTTTACGAGGCGTTTGCCCCTCAGCTAGAAGGCCTACTGAAGCACAGTTTAGCTATGGGAACGGATGCTGTGCCATACCTGTACTGTACCGAACCACCTAGGGACTTCTGTATGGCAGTGCGAACAGAAGTAACAGCAACGCAGAGAAGCAACTTATGCGGCGGTGAAAAGAACGGAAGTTGGGAAGAGTGCCAGGCTGTTATGAATGTGGAGCGATGCTCACGAGCACCCCATCTCTGCAGCAGAGCTGATCAGGGCATTGGGGAAGATTCACCGGACGTGCGGCTGAAGTGGAGCACTACGTTGTCGAACGCCTGGCAGGCCTACAAGGAAGCGTGAGGCCGCACTAAATGCCCGCAGTGGTAATGCAACAGTTTAGCGATAAACTAAGGCGAAAATGCTAGGCGTGGGAGTCATGAGAAAGCACTGCGGTGCGTAGTCGCGGCATGACCCAACGACCCGGAAAACTCTGCTATCTGAAAGCCGCACGTCCAGATATCAACGAATGGAGAAAAGTGCATATCTGGATAGGAAAATGGCCCTTTCAATCCGATTGCATAGGAACGTAATCATGCGCCAAAAAAGAAACAAAAAGTTCCGAAAGACAGATAATTAAAGGGCTGGGGCGAAATCTGCTCTAGTGTGAATCCGAGGGCGTGCTCGTCCATAAGTAATTGATTGTTTGCAAGAGTGGCTAGGGCAGTTGATGGCAACGCGTGCGCGAGAGACGGATAATCTTCCGCTGAAGATGGTTAGTCCCTACCAATTCGGGACACGTAAAATGTCTGCAGAAGATGCGCAATGCAACCGCGTACAGCGCCGGCTCTATACGCTACAGCGCATCCAGAAGGAAGCAAACCCGCAGGTCGCTGACGTTGTAATGAAAGCAACAGCCTGTAAACGGTGGCTAATACATATGCGCAGCTATTTGAAAAAAAAACCGAGCGCTGCCCCTTATCCCTCCTACCGAAGCCAGTACACACAAGTAAAGCTAGCTTTTGGACCCAAGCAGCAACCTACATAAGCCAGCTACGTCCGAACAATGCAGTACCAAAGCACTCCAGAGACTCGGTGGAACTCCTTTAAAAGACCAAGTTTACAATTTGGGCCGTTTTACCTCGATGGTTTATGTTCGAAAGTTGCAGATCCACCAAACGGCGCGTCATGATGGCCAACATGCTGTTTAGGACATGCGACTGTCACGGCAATTTCAAACACTCACCAACGGAACAAAAGTCCAACTAATAAGGTTAATAACACTTTTTGAGCTGCTCTCAGCAATTTTGGCTGTTGTATCTTCTTTTCGCACGACTAGACAGGCGTAAGGGGCCCCTAACAGCAGCCACCGCTGCATGCGCCTCACGATTATTTCAAGCCCGCTATATGCTAGATCTTATTTCTCCCTCTTACTGTTATCCAGCAGAATGTATGTGCTTCTGCACTGTTGAATTCCTGGGGGCTGTAGCTTGAGGCTACCAAGTTGCTTTCCGTCCACTGCCGGACCCATAGTGTTTCGGTTGCACGCTTCGTCTCTACTGAACTTCCACAGCATTTCAAGGCTTTGCCACAGAACGCACGTAGAGAAATGAGTACATCTGCATCTCAGGCAACTGAGGCGGTGGCATCCCCCACAGGATCCTCCGGTGGTGGAGGTGCAAATGTCAGAGACAATGAAGCAGCAACTGTTGCACAGAGGAAACCCGCACAGGATACACAAAATGGGGCCATGGCCAATTCTACTCCTCCAGCAGCAGCCTCATCGGCATCTTCAGCTGCGTGTAGCGGCTCAATTGCTCGCAAAAGATTGGCGCAGGAAAGAGCAGCTTGGCGAAGAGACCATCCAGCAGGCTTTTCCGCGAAGTACGCTCCTATGGCTGATGGGAGTGTTGGCCAGGACATCATGAAGTGGATATGCAAGGTTCCTGGAAAGAAGGTTAGCACCTGATGCCCCGTTGCTTCAGGCGCAAATGGTGCTGGGAGGTCGATTCCGCCCGTGGATGGACGAGGAATTTCAGAGAAAACAGTTTCTGCTTCGGTATATTCAGGGCATTCAATTGTGTACTGTTGGTATTTTCTGTGAAAATATGAACTTAAGACAATAGCGAGCCATCTGTGTGACCTTGCTTTTGTGGGACTGCAGGGTAGTATTTGGGAAGGGGGTGAATACTGCCTGACAATGGAGTTCTCAGAAGAGTACCCAAGCAAGCCTCCCAAGTGCAAGTTTGCGCCGGTCTTGTTCCACCCAAATGTATATCCTTCAGGAACTGTTTGTTTGTCGATTCTTAATGAAGATGAAGACTGGAAGCCGTCTATCACCATCAAACAAATCCTTCTCGGTATACAGGTACAATTCCCCTCCACTCGCCACAGAGTTCCGCTGTCTTAGTTCCTTTTATTTCTTTCATCGGTGTTATTTGTGGCTTCACGGTATGGCTGTAGCAGCTAGGCCTCACTCCGTTGCATGAGTTTTAAAACGCTTTGGTTTTCAGGATTTACTGGACAATCCAAATCCTCAGTCGCCTGCGCAAGCCGAACCGTATATGCTCTACTGCCAAAATCGAGATGAATACAACAGAAGGGTGAAGAATCAGGCAATACAAATGCGCCCCAAGGACTAGCTCAAGATGCTTGTGCTTTTTGGCACGGCAGAGTGGGTAACGCACACTTTGCCACTCGGGCCAGTTGATGAGACGACAGTTGCAGGGATGATTTTGCCCCACTCTCCCTGTTAAACTTGTTCATAGGGCATGGAGATGTCAGACTGGCGCTTCAATAACGGACGAGCCTCATGCATTGACTGCAATGCAGCATTGCACATCAGTAGCTAGAAACATATCCGATCACGAAGAAAGAGGGATTGAGGGATTTTAGAAGGCTTGCAGCTGTATCCCGATCAGAAAAATTTTCTCGGTAACGGATGGGGATTTGGGGATTGAGGGTTGTGATTGTTGGCGTCTAGCGTTCTCTTTGGACCCAGGGCAAAACGCAACCGGTTCTGGTTAGGCGCTTTAGTAAGTGCGTTCATTGCTGCAGTTGGGTCCACGCGTGATTCCCGGCGAAAAAGGTTGTTCTGAGCCTAAAGATGGTGTTGAGCTAGCTCCTCCAGCCAAGCCGGGTTTCGACCCTAGTGGGCGTACAGTGGAGTTTACAAACACGAACAATAGCTCAACACTTTGGGTGTCTCAGCTGCATTAGGGAGCGCACACCGGCATAAACGGCATCAGTTCGAGCTTTGTGCTGGTGTAGGCTTTAGGATCAGCTGCTAGTTCAAGCGGCGCCGAGGCGCCATGAAAGTTGCTCAAGCAACATAAGAAGCGTAGGAGAGGAGGAGGCAGCCTTTTGGAATCCTGTTAGGAAGCCCAGTAAAGCATGAACTGGTGGCCACTTACCGTAGTAGCCATGCTTCTCGTGACATGCAGTACGTTTCACGATATCTTTTCTTGGATGCTGGCACCGTTCGCATGAACATTCACACCACGCTCCTTGATGGTGAAGTTCGCGTCATTTATGCACTCTACCACTCTACTTTTCACCATTCTGCGCCGTATGTGTACGCACAAAGACAGCCAAAATGCATGCTAGCAAAAGATGGCGTGAAGTTGGCAGGTTGGGTGTTTGGCGCCGCACGGTCCCACACTGTGTTGGCCGCTTTGGGCGTGTATGCGTAGCAGATGTAGACAGATGCCTAGTCGCTTTATGCCATCTTTTGCTACCCTGATGCAACATTTTGAAGTGAGCTCAAACGGTTTCCACTAGCAGCGATACTGGTGAGACGAAACACTGATTCAGCCTGCGGCATTGCAATGAGTCTTGGGCAAATATGGCAAAGGGACAAAAACCAGGTGACCTGTGGAAGTAGCAACCTAAAAATTGAAAGTAGGCCCATATTCGCAGCCAATGTACACGCGCAAACTTCGAGACAAGTGTGGGCCCCACACCGAATCGGACGTGAGAAAAAAGGGGCAAACATGTTTCGATCCACCGAAGAGATTCGTCTTCACAGCTTCTTTTAAAGGCGATCCCTTAAGCAGACAGGACACGAGAGCGTCACAGTAAGGCTGACCTCCATACGTCGTGCACACAACGCGGCTGCACCTCCATGCATTTGCGCACACAATATGGCGGAGTGAACTGATGTACATGTACACTGCTACATGTGCAAAGACAGTGTGATATTCCTAATCCAACACGAAACAGATGTGCAAAATGCGCTGCGAAGAACTTTGACAATTAACTTTGACAACCACACACGAACGCACAGCCGGAGGAAAGCCCAGTGAAGCCTTCCGTTGCACGAATCGTATGAGACAACCTGGCACAGTAACCCTGTGCCCTGCAAGATCCACAGTCTTTTTCTTTACGACTGAAAGAGAAAACGGAGATCCTCCTGAGTCAGTTTGTGCATTGCCTGGTTCGAGGCCCCCACTGTGCCGTCGAAGACAAGCTGTTTCTTTTCTTGGAGTTGAAGAATCCTCTCTTCAATTGTGTCGGTACAAATAAATCTCACGCCCTTCACTGGCCTAGTTTGGCCTATTCTATGGGCTCTTTGGATGGCCTGCATCTCAGCTGCAGGGTTCCACCAAGGATCCATCAGGTATATCCTACTGGCAACTTGAAGATTTAGGCCCTCACCCCCAGCCTTTAAACTTATTAGAATCACCTTCAGGTTGGAGTCGTTGTTAAATGCGTACAGCACATTGCTCCTGCAACCATAAAAGGCGCCCGCATTCATCAGAAACCAGGCTTATGGCAGAAGTGGTGCGGTCCTTGTGCCTCGAGACGTCAAGCTACTGTCAAACTCATAAGGGCAACAGAAAAGACTGATACAGATTGCCCGTGAGAAAGTATAAACACTAAATGGCAGGCCTGAAGCAAGAGGCGGAACCGCTTGTACAAAAGAACAGCAGCACTCACCTCGCAACAGCAGTCATAGACCCTGTCAGCTGGGCGCAGTGGATCCCTTCTCTCTTTAATCGGAACTCTATGAGGTCCAGCATCGCACAAAACTGGGAAAATACGATGCTTTTAACTGTTGCGTCTTGCTTGAGTTCCGTTTGTAGCTCCTGCAGCGAGTAAGCAATTGTCTCCCCAAAACCCTTTGACATCCCCACCGCCACACGAGAGTTCTCTGATAACAACAGAAGAAGGAAATCACTGGCAAGTGCCCACGAAAGCTGCCGCAGCGTGTACAGAGCCCAACACGCAGAAGATTCAACCGGGTAAAGGCTTCTTTCTCACTTGCACAAGGGCCTCGATTTTAGTGCTGCTTGTGAAGTTGCTGGCGCTGATCTTCTTCATAATCCCACCGCGCCTGCTTGCGGTCCTTCCCGGCGTCAAAGATGCACCAGTCTGCCTTTCAGCAGCGACGCTTGGATCATCTGTGCCATTCTGCAAAGTATAGCCCACAAGCTATTTCTCAATGGATTGAGTAATTGGCTGCATTGGCATGGATTTCCGAGACGTCTGTGGAGCAGCCCGATTGATGCCATTATATGACTTAGGCTGAGCTCTATGATACGCGTACAACTGAAAGATATCAATTTTAAGTGAAAGAACCGCAAGCCTGCGATAGCAGCTATTCAATACCTCGAGGACGGTGTCCAGCTCAGAAACCTCTTCTTCATCCTCGGCAAGTCCATTCTCTCCCCGACCGTTGCGACAGCTCTTTCGCTTTTTCGAGTTGTCTGGTCTGTCCTTCATTTTCCTTCCCGTTGCATCTTCTTCCGAGTGTTCCCATCCCCCTGGCTTCGACAGGTCGATTGTCAGGGGGACGAAACAAGCAGGACAGCCCAGCGCTGCAGTTGCTGGCACTTGCTGCTGCTCTGCTTCTGCTGCAGCTGGAGCAGATTCGATATACTCTTGAATGCAGAGATGATGAAATGCATGTCCACACTTGGCCTCGGCAACGTCCTGATCATGAACGCAACCACAGGAAGGATGCAGCAAACTACAGTCATGTGACGATCACTGTCTGCACGATATCACGACTCTGCTGAGCTAGCAATCGTTTTCTGACAAGAGGCACTCAAGGACACAAAGCAGAAGGGCTGACGAAAAAAACAGACGTTACTCCAGTTGGAGGCACTGCAACACTGCAACCGGGGGCTGCACTGTACAATTAGGAAGAAGCGAGGCAATGTACTTCATGAAAGGATACAGCCGCCACAGCTTCCCACGCAACAAGATCAAACACTCCCGCAACAAAACTACGAACATCAGGAAGCACAGCTGCGTCAGCATCAGCAAGCACATACTGCGGCATCCATATCTTCCTGACAAATGGCACAGACGCCGGTTTGTTCTGGGTTCCGTGAGTCAGTCGGCAAGGGCATACAACCCTCTTTGGACTGCAGGGAACCATGAATGAGCAAGTAAGGATGATCCACTGCTTGACGCAACCGTGACAATAAGTCAAAGATGTGCGCGAAGTTGTGCAGGACAGTGCCGCTTTTTACATAAGAGTCCTGCATAGAAACCGAGATGGAAAAAGACATTCCCGTAGCAAGAATTGCACCACATTCAAAGATGCATGGGCAGTAGCGGGCAAAGCATGACAACCAACGACATGCTTGCGTAGATTAATACCAAGAAACAGGCCCAATGTGAAGAACTAAAATCAGCATGATGCAGCCTTCCAGCAGCAGTAAAACACATTTTTACCCAATCAGTCATTCCCTAGCGTCATGCACAACGGCAACTGCAAGGGCGACGTCGTACGAATTGGGTTGCCGTCTGTTTAAAAAGAGCCTCGTAGAAATCTCTTTCTTGGGGACTCAGTGCATCCCTTCTTATGGAAACAACGAGAGGAGGCAGTTTAACGTCAGCTGCTCTCTCAATCTTTGTGCGTCGAAGCAAGCAGACATCCAGCACCTGCATGCCAAACAACCAAAACAGGAGCAGCTCCATCAGCAATAATCTTGCGAACCGCAGCTGCAGAACGGGGTACAAGAAACTAATGGAGCTCTCACCAATCCAAGACTAACGAGACTGTTGAGAAGTCCGCAAGCGTGAAGAGGAAACTTACTTCCTTCTTTAAAGTCTCGAGGGCAACAATTCCCTCTCCCTGGTACCCAAATTCCTTGATTGGCTTCACAACGCGGCGACAGAAAAAAGAATAATGCGTCATTCGCGTGTGAGAACATTTTTCGCAATACCTGACAGTATGGGCAAAAGCACCACAGACGAACCCTAAACACGTCAAAAGATGTAAAGCAGATGTAACACATAGTCGTGTACCACCACGACTATCTAACTTATGTACTTGCTTTATGCGAAATAGCCGTGACTTCTAAAATGATTCCCTCGGCTGCGGCAGCAGCGAGGGAATCATTTCCCTCGCTGCTGCCGCAGCCAAGGTAGTGGACGCGTGGGTTACATCAACCCATGCATCTACTACCGTGCGTCTGAGTCCTTACTTTCCATCGGCAAATCGGTAATGCATGGACCTGCAGGAGCAACCCTTTTTCGAACAAAAGTAATACGCATAGGGATAAAAGCGCAAAAAGCGCACAAGACTGTATAGCTCCCCAACTCTGTTCTGTAGAGGTGTGCCCGTGAGACACCATCTACAGCCTCCCACAACGATTGAAAAGTCGTCTGAATTCGTTTTATTGTCGGCAGGCGCAGAAACAACTGTATTTCCCGCGTTGTTCCCTCTACAGCTGTCGCCATTGCCACCGAATGCAACTCCCGCATGTTCGCAAGATGCAGCGTTCTCGGTTGTCCCTTCCTGTTGCTCAGGAGCTGAATCACCATTATCGTCTTCCCGAGAATGCCCCTGCAACCGTTTCTTCTGTTGCATACGTTTCTGCTTTCCACCACTCTGGATTTCAAGACAGGCACTGTCAGTCCTATCCTGATCGTCAGTTTCAGCACCTTCCCTTTGCGACGCAGCAGCCTCCCTGCTGTAGCTCTTTGCGCCATCCTCTTCTACCTGAGGCTGCAGCTGTTCCTTTCTTTGCTCAAGGCGACTACATCCACCAACAACCTTCACCGTTGCGCTGCGTAGGGCAAATATAGCTTGGGCTGTGCTGCTGTTCCGGGATTTGATCCTGTGAGCTTCATCCAACACGATTCTCTGCCACACAACTCCATGCAGAGGAGACTGCCTAAGCGCTTCTACCAACTGAGGGTCCTCCTCAAGTCTCTCCTTAACATGCCCACCTTCCTCTCCATCTTCAGATTCAGTCTCGCCCAATGCTTTTCCCCACAGCAACTCATCTATTGGCGTGAGCGCTGTGCTTCTCGGCTGCTCCTTGCTGTTGTTACTGGAGTTGCGGGATGTTTTAGCGCGCCTCCTTTTCGTGGTTTCAGATGAACGAACAGATACGACCGACGAAACGTCGGACTCTGAATCAACCGATGGGTCATCTGAAGGTGTCTCAACAAACGAATCTGAGGACCCACTTTCGGATGACGAGCTTGAGGGCTCATAAGCCGTGCTGCTGCTCTCCCACTCGCTTTCGCTGCTGGAAACGTTTCGTTCTGCGGGCTTTTGTTTCCTCGAGGACCTTCGAACCTCTTTCTTCACGTGCTTCTTCGGTTTTGTATACTTCTGGACAGTTTTGCTGCTGTTCTTGCAACTGCGTGTTTTGTTTTTTGCCTCCGTTTTCGTCTTTTTATTGATAAGTGAAGTCTTTTTGCCCGTGACAGCAGAAGCATGCTGACTATCGGCTTGTTGCCTGTCTGGTTTTACTGGCTTCACATACTTGAAGGGCGGCTTACTTCTGCTGCTACTACTGCTGTCTGGTGACACAGCGTTTTGCGGCTCGCCGTCCTCGTCGCCAGCAGATTTGCCCACCCCCTGTTTCGCAGGAACAGCTCTTTTGCTCCGTTGGCATTGTTGACTCTGGCTGCTTGCTTTGGCATTTTTCACCCCTGAGTTGCCTTCTCCGCTGCTGCTGGTAGCTGATGTTTCTTTACTTTCTTCTTCACAGTTGCACTGTTCGCGTATGGGTCTTTCCACCTGCTGCCCAGCTGGCACACTCTTGTTGCTCGCAGCTGTACCAGTTTTGTCGTTACTGCTTTGACACTCATCCGCTGCAGCTTGCCCCTGCCGCTCGCTGTGCTCCTGCATCCCCGGATCTGTCTCTTGAGGCTTAGCCGAGCATATCTGGAGGTTTGCAATTTCCGAGCCGCTGTCTCTAGGCTCCGGATTTGATAACTCCTTAATCAAGCTCTTTTTCAGCAGCGGCTCCACTTGTTCCAGTAGTTGCGCTTTCTGTGCACGGGCGATTGGGGTGCCTCCAAGAGCTTTAATAAGCTCCTTTAATTCCGCTACTTTTAAACAAGCGACTTCAGCCATGCCGAGTTTTCCACACTCGTCGGTGCACGCGTCAAGCTTGGCATCTGCGCTGTCTTCCCTGCTGCTGCTAATGGTGTCATTATTCGAGTCCACCTTGCGTTTCTTGCCTTGAGGAAGCCCAGCTGTCTCTGCTGTGGCTTTTGCGTTACGGTAGCCATGCGGACCTAGCCAGGGCATCGGTCTCAGCTCATCAGGATCAATGTTTGCTTGCTGAAGCAGCTCTTTTAGGCAATTGCCAGGTGTAGGAACAAAGGTTGCCGGTTCAGCACGCCCTCCTGGTGGTGCATTCTTTCTCTTCTTGCTGGTCTGCTTCCTACCTGCTGCGGTCGGCGTTCCGTTTGGCTCATTCCGTTCTCTGCCCTCGGCGTTGATAATATTGAGCGTCACCATCGCCCGTTCTGTGGCTTCGTCCACCTTACGTTCCGTCAGCCGTTGCTTTGCCGTACGCTGGGCATCAGGACCGCAGAAGTACTTCTGGTGTATGAGTAATTTGTCCCTCATGAAGAGACGATGGCAGTACTGCACAGAGGCCAAACAGAAACAAATATTGACGGGAAGGTGAAGTTCAGAGGCATTTCCAGGATTTCCAGATGCAAAGGCAAAAGCAGCCACGGAGACGCAAATAATGTCCTGCATTAAGAGCAAGCCCTGAGTCAGACATCAGCTACATGAGAGAGTTCACAGAAAGATGACTTCCATCCCATGCGCATCGAGAAATTTTGAATACGCCGTACACGGCAAATAGCCATGTACACGAGTGCTGCACATCTGTATGCATACGCATATATGGAGCAACATATTCACTTGAGCGGCATCTGTAGGAGACACAAGTGCGGCTTTATAGGCCCACACCAGCGCTAGTGGATCCTCGTCAATACCTCGCAAGGGACTTTGTGTTTATTTGTTTGCTTGCGAAAGTCCTGCTCCACAGTTTGGTAGGTAGTTAGAACAACGTCATACTGATGGAGTGCTGAGTGGAGGGCCCGCCTCTGCGATCCGTGGTAGATAAGCACAGAGAGGCGTCCCGGAACAACAAACCTGTCGAGCTCACTTTTCCACTGTAGCAGTGCAGCTAGCGGGGTCACTATCAGCGTCGAGCACACGCTTGACCGTACCAACGAAGGTACAGATTGTGGGAGCGGGGGAAACGGGCGGCATAGAAGAAGAGATATGATTTGGATTGTCTTACCCATCCCTTTGCCGTAAAATGCCCACAAGCGTGCATGCCGACACAAAACAACACACAAACACATAAGAGGCAAAAATGTGAATCAAGGCTACGCATCTCAAATGCACAGGCAGAACGCATAGGCAAGTAAAAACCAATAAAGCATTAGCTTCACACGTATGCAGGTCGACCTGTCCACCGTGGGCGTAATGTGCAATGTGCACGCAATAAGGTGTAGGTTCTTTCAAACAGCAGACACGTTTCAATCCAAAACTCGAAACATCTGTTCCAGATATATAAAAGCTAATAGGTCCGCTGACACGTCAAACTGTTAGCAGCCTGAGTTATGTAAAGAACGGAGATGGAGACTACAAGGAATAAAGCAGAAGTGCAAAGGGTCTGAAAGCGAGCAAGAGAGGCTCACATTCCCACTAAAGTAAGGCGCCGAACCAAGGCAATTTGGTTGCTGCCAAATTCAAGATAAGAATATCCAAATACGGATTATGCGGCTTGTTCCTCACCCATTTCATCAGCCAAGATGCCTCCCTTAATATGAGACGTCTCCTGCTGTGTCAGCCACCACAATCCCTCCTCCTGGAAAGGCAATAGCGGCAAAAGCAACCCTTCAGGCGAAGCTACGCGTCCCTTGATTTCTCTCTTGACGAGTTTTTCTATCACTTCTTCAGCTGCGACATTGTTGGTCAGTGCCTCCGCTTGCACCTCAGTTGGGAAAAAGAGCCGACGAGCAGCTTCGGCCAGAGCTTCCTGGACCCTGTGCTGTTCACATGAGGAGAGATCATCAGCCATCAGACACAAACGTTCTGTCGAAATAATGCAGCTCGACCTTTCTAGCAGCAGACGATCCCGCGTAGACAGAGCTTCCTCCTTCTTATCCTCATTATCCACTTTATGTCCCCCAGAGTTCGTGGGGCCCCCAGAATCGCTAGAAGCATCGTCGGCATTGGAAGATGCGGACGCGGAGGAGCCAGTGCTTCTAGGGGCCGCGGTTGATGCGACACTGGGCGCCTCCTTGTTTTCGTCTGTTTTGTCTTGTTCTTCCGCTTTGTTCGGAATGCTGCATCTTGAAGAAACTCGTGTCCTGCGAATTTGTGGGTCCTCCTTCTTTACAGGTGGGGGATCTTCAACGGGTGGCGCCTTAACCCCTCCGTTCTCTACTTCAGCCTTGGCTGTTCTCTCTGCTGCTGCTCCCGCAGATGATTCTAAGCAGGTCAAGGAAACAATCAAATCTTCCCTCAATTGATCGACGAGATTTCCCTCTGCTTCACGTTGTAAAAACATGGAAAAAAGCTCGCTGCTGCAGCCCACATGCAACCAGCAGCAGAGCACTTCGTACGCCCCGCGGGGGTCTGAGGTGGGGTAGCCCACACGTAGCGTGCCCTTGGCAATGGCACCCCCACATTTGCGGCACTTGCTCTGGCCTGTAACAACAAAATGACAGAAGCCTGCTTCATAAGGAACCAGCTGAGGCACATAAGTGGGAAATAGACGTCTACCATCAAAGCAGTCATCCTATGTCTGTGTGTCTACAAATATTGAAATACGATGGCATCCACTGCGCATTTTGAGAAGCAACCCGTGTAAAGATGCATGTACATGGTGAAAAGAGAGAAGAAACCGCGAGACGGGCTATGCAGCAAAAGACGAATTCCACCTAAGTGAACCAACTGCCGAAAATCGGCATGTGAGGAAGACGAGATTACGATTACTCACCAAAAGTTATAAAAGGTCAGCACTGCGCTTGCAATGAGGGGAAACGGCCCACCTGAGGCAGCCTTCTGTACAATGGCTTTTACACCCTGTAACTGCTTCTTCTCCGCGGCTTTGAGCTTCCTCACAAGCCGTTCTGGTACCCACTGCCTCTCCTGAGGCCAGTAAAAACATTCTTCTGTAGAGGGGGTTGGCAAAGAGGACTTGACAGCAACGATATCGGACAGTTCGTTCGGGATCATCCACGCCATGGCGGCTAGGACGATGTGGACAGCACCCGCAGTGGTAAAAATCCAAATGATACGTAAACAACGGAAAACACTCCTATTAAGCCAGATAAGAGCAACAAAGGCGACTGGTCAGGAGGGGACCCTAAAGTACTCGGACAAAAGGCGCAACAGGCGGGTGTTACGACGACTAGAGGAGACCCCCAGTCAAAAGCTATTAATCCCAGTCAGCGAGGCCTACAGAAGAGCCTGCAAGTATCTAAGGGGTAAAAAACAAAGTAGAGGAGCCGTACACCAAATAATAATTCGGCAAACGCGAAGAAGAAAACGATTACGGAGCAGCTCTACAGGGTAGCTTTGGTGCTTCAGTGTGTGCTCGCTGCAAACACTCCTTCCAAATCTACCGAGGCAGGAAGTAAAAATATGTATACCTATACATAAAACAAGAAATGCGATCCGCTCCACAAAAGGGATGAAACCGCTATTTAGTAGTGAAGCTTTGGGGCTGTTTCCTTCTACACTGACGGCGCATAGCATGCATTATGGGAGGCACCAGCGGGTACATCAACAATTCCGTCTTTTCTCAAAGAAAAAAAGATTCTGCGTAAATGCCATTGTGAAGGCATCCTGTTTTGAACGGAGCTTCAAGCGCGAACCTCTTGTATGCCTCCCTCTGGCAACAGGAGGATCACCAAGATCTTTCTCTGACGTATTGAGGACCCCTTTCCCGAACACTGCGGGAAATGTCGTTCCCTTTCTACGCTGAGTTTGGGGTGCATTACCCAAAATATATCCCGCCCAAGGACCCAAGCGAGCGCCTTGTGGACCCGAAGAAGAAACTGGCTCCTGCTTGCACAACCAAGTGCAGCAGATGGGTACATGAATACTCAGTACGTACACGAGGGATTTGTTATGGCACGTGTCTTTGCAGTGGGCTGCAGCCAGCTGCTGGGGTGCTACCTAGTGCAGACTCCCCTCTGCGTGGGCTCCTGTATTGTTTGGGGCAGAGTGCATAACCCTTCGTTTCTTTTATGCATAGGCTTGCGCTAACTTCCTGCGTATCTCGCCACCTCTACTACGGGCATGCGCGTGCTGCTGTATGCCCTCTCTGTGTTTCTTTTTGGCTGAACTGCCCCCTGTTGTTGGCCCTCCTGAGCGGTCCCCGGTTTCTTGCCATGCGTTCCTGGGACACAGGAAATGTATGTGTAGCTATCTGTGGTGCGACTTGGTTCTTCCGTAGTTTGTGTCGACTACATTGTCCCCCTCCACCTACGTAGATTTGCCCGTGCCAAATCTGCGTTGCGCTTCATGGCTCCTTACCTGTCACTCTATGCGGTCCTCTCTTTCCGTCGAGCTACTTTCTCTCCATGTGTTCATACTGCTGCGTATTGCCTTGAGGCCGTGTAGGCTTGCTGCGAGCGCCTCAAGGCTCGTACTGACGGACGGGGGAACTGTTCAGGGCAGTTTGAGGAGCTGCAGACGTGTGTGGACAGATGTGTAAGCAATTCTTGCCCGAATGCGCAAACTCAGATGTGCCGGTCTTGCTGATCCATGCCCAAAACAAGCCAGCACACTGGCGCGCTTGTCACTTTTGGCTGCCTTAAACACTGTAGAGTCATATCCAGTGGTGTCAAACCCAGCGTATTTTGCTTTTTCGATGCTGAGGTGAAGGATGATAAGTGAACAGCGACTCTGCTGGCGCACCGAAGTTAGGCTGCCGCGGGTGTTGTATTCCTCAGGTTGCGAAGGACCTCTTCAACTATTTGAAGTGAACGGAAAGAGTGTCCCAGTCTTCCTCCTTTCTCCAAGCGTTCCGTGTCCCGCCTCCCCCACGACTTAGTATCCCTCGCGTGGCGGCAGACGCGTGGGGTGCATCTAACAATAGAGGGCATGCACCTCAGCTGCAGTCCCCGTTGTATATGAAGTAGTTCCGCCATTTCGTGGCGGGTGCGCCGCACGAAGGACTTGGAGAGTGGCAACGCCCCGGTGTGCCAACTCACTCCGGTTTACAAACTCAGCGTGGCTGCGCGTGCTGTGCCTCCGGGTGCCGTAGTGCCTGCTCTTTGGATAGCTCGTAGCATCCGGTGAAAGATTGGAAACTCTGCCGTGTGTGCGAAAAGTCTGTGTCTCAGCGTCTGCGCAGTTAGCTGCCTAGGTCGCAAGTACCCTGAAGTGTGCTCCACTGTAAAGCGGCTAGACAATAGGGGGCGATAGACTGACCGAAAGCGCACCAGCCAGCCGCCGAGCCAACTGCGGCGGCAATAAGAACAAAACAGGGCCCCTTGCCCTGCCTCCATGTTGTGTGGCGGCAGGCCTCATGTGCTTCTGAAGAAATCTGAGACGCCCACCTTAAACTAAACTGTAGCTCAATGCACTGCAGTGGCGACGACGGTTGTGGAATACCTACAGATAACTAGCAACAAAGCTCCGGCGAAAGCCGCCGAAAGAGCGCTGGTTACAGCAGCAAAGAGCACAGGCGGCTGCTAAGTAAATTCGCCCCAACGAAGGGCAACAGCGATGGCGCTGTGAAGTGACTGAGGCTAAGCTGGCGTCCAACGCACTGAATTAGAAATAGCCTCATGCGAGACGAAAATAGTCCCCCAAACTTGCCCTGCCCCTGGTGCGTCCAACACACTAAATTAGAAACAGCCTCGTGCGAGACGGGACTAGTCCTGCCACCGCCGGCCATGCGGGCTTGCATAGGCCGCTGCTGTACGGTATGGGAGTCTGTCTCTAGCACAGCTCCCCTGAAGCCGCGAATTATAGCTCCCCTTTACATTGACGTAATTACAGATAGGCGAGCAAAGGTTACGGAGGGACCTCTTCGGTCCCACGAGCACCTACTAGCCCCACTAGTGCTTTTTATCACTCGCTTCCATCTTTGGAATAGACTGGAATACTTTGTGGAATGCCTGGTTTGCTAACTTGATGTAGGGGGAGACGACCGGGTATATAGTCTCGTGGAAGAGCGAAGAACAGCTGCTGTACAAAAACCAGCTCCAAGTCGAGACGAACACGAGGCTGGCAAATGACAAGAATGAAGAAACATAACCGAGCGTCAGCAGCGCGCAGCACACCTTCGTCGTGAAGAACACGTTCTTCCACAAGCAAACGTCCCGGCAAAACTCCAGGAACTGGTTAGTCCGATCGTAGAGCCACTCCACCTTGGACTCTATGCCGGACCGGCTGACAATTTCCCAGGGCCCCTCCTGTGTCGGAGTGAGATGCAGTGCCTTTAGTAACAGCCCAAGCATGACTGGAGCAAGGCACAGGTAGCAAAGGAGAGAGACCATGCTCTTTCCCATTGCAAAGACGAGGAAGTAGAACAGGTTCACCGACACGAAGAGGGCCAGGCTGTTTGTTCGAGACTCGAGGCCAAGTAGGCGGGCCACAGTGCAGCCGCCGCATTCTTGTGAGCTCCCCATTCTGCAAATTTGCCGAGGGACAAAGGCACCAGCGGAAGTGGGTTGAAACCTCTGGCTTCGGCTCACTGGCAAGGGGGTTTCGGAAAGCGCGAGAACTTTCGGTTCGCAATAACCCAGTGTTTCACGACTGCTGGGTTCTTTTCCTCATAAAAGTAGTTAGAGCCTTGTACAGACGCTGCGAACCCACAGAAACAGCCACAAGGCGAAACCTGTGGAAAGCAGCAACGCAGCACCCCACGCAAGACGGAACGGGAGCGCAGGCACGCCTGACAAAGACGACGGCCGGAAAACGGGAATTTCCTAAATCAGCGTAGCTCACAAAAAAACAAAACCAAGAAAATTCAGAAGACATGGATTGCAAGTTCACCTCTTTTCGACGCCCTCCCTCCCTGCGACCTGCACAACGCCAGAGAAAAGCGCGCCTCACGCTGCTCAGTTGGGAAGGGGCCCCCACAATCGCGGAGATTACCTTGCGTGTCTCTATATTAGTATATTAAGCAAAATGACATATCTTTGATTATCTAAACATGTTTTCCTGATTCCGGTGAAGTACGCCTATCTTAAATGCGGAGGTATTTTGTGTGTCACCGCTCAGGACAAGAGAAACGCAAAAGTGCAGCAGATGCTACAATTCCCGTATTTTGTTGGGTTGATCAATTCAACTGTATGATCTGAAACCTAGTAATCAGCTACGACCAATTTGTTTTCCCGTAGCGCTCAATTGAGTACTGGCATTGTTCATGCTAGGTGCCGTTTCAAAGCAGTTGTGATGGGTAACTTGAATGCGCTCTGGTTTCCTCAAGTGTCACCGCAGAAAATGACTTCAAATGCTTGACTGCTGCACTATCTTCTTGTTTTGTTTTCTACTAAGAGGATAAAAACCGTCACTATCGCCAAGGTTCCGTATATCCGCAGCAGGGGTTCTGGTCTGGTAGAAGCTAGGGATGGTTTCCACAGAATTGGCAAAACGGAGGGAAACCTGACAGTTCTCCGGTGTCTTAATGAAGTGTGTATTAAAGCTCTCCGGCGATCAGGGCATCTCACGATGCATCACACCAGACAGATGAATCATTTTCTTGGAAGATAGGCCCATCGCAGCTGGTTGCAACATTGGCCAATTCTGAAGAAATACGGCTAGCAGTTTCCGATTAAACAATGTATGGGGAATTTGCTGGCTTTTCGCCACGTTGCCGAGCGCAAATACTGTAGGTTCGGGCTGGTGTCCCCAGACGAAGCGGTATGAGGTGACTCTGGTTTCACGCTGCGTTGCTCGGCACGAATTACAACTGGACAGCATTAAAAAACACAACTGGCACATTTAAAAAGTGATTTTTGAAACTTGTTCGTGCCAGTATGCAAGGGGCGAAAGTAATACGGGAAAAACTTTCAACGTTCAGCAAGAACGTTGAAAGTTTCTCCCGTATTACTTTCGCCTTTCAACGTTCAGCAAGAACGTTGAAAGTTTCTCCCATATTATTTTGGTCCCTGCATATTGGCTCGTCGGCTTTCCCCCTATTTACCCAATTTAATAGCATTATTTTGTTAGCCACATTTTGCGAGAAGAATGCAGTTTTGGGCCCATATGGAGGGCTTTTTGTGACTCTACACTGTCCTCAGTGTCCCTGCGACTGGGAAGAATTCAGGGTAAAATCCAAACATACTGCCCTAAATAGGCTTCTATCTCTAAATGTGGCATAGCCCATAAGACCAGCGGCGACCAGTGAATGCACCATAGCCCGTGAGGCTTGTAATACAGCTTTTGCCTTTTAATTTTCGAAGTCCCTATATTATCACAGGCTAAAAGGGCAGGACGCCACTCTTCAAAACAAAGGCAGCTATGCAGAAGAGCATAGGCTTCAAGAAACACTATTCCTGGTTTTGTCGCCACTACTGGTTACCCGCTAGAAATCTGCGAAGAAAGGGTGGCGATGTCGGATGCCACGAAGTGACAAGAAGACGTATGTTCTCTGCCGCGCAGCTGCAAGAGGTGCGGAGATGATGGGCACTACTATAAGGATTGCGCTGCTCAAACTGAATGAAGGCAAAAGGGCCAAAATTTTTAAAAAAGAGAACGGGCACTAAAAGGCCCCACAAGGAGGGAGAGCAAAGGCAGTTCTCATACGGCAAAGCCTGGGAATTGCAGGAGACAAACCTAGTAGGCGCCAGCGACAAGGTGGAGGGGTGTTGTGTGTTATCAAAAGAACGCTACATGCCATCGAAGTCCCCTTCAGCTGGAAGCAGAGGCTCCTGAAGCAACAATAAAAGGATGCCGGAAGTGTAGAGAAAATAAGAGCCCAGGCTGTATGTTGAAAGAAGGAAGAAATGTTCGCTATTAGGAAGAGCTATCTGGTGGAACTCTTGTCAGCACGCAGGCTGCGGGGAAGAATAAGGAAACAAACCGCATGAGGCTTCTGATAGCGATGAAACCGGACCGCAGTAATGGCGAGATCAAAGTTTTAGGGAGCTGGCAGATGAGGGCGAGGGTTTACTGTGCAGTGTGGGAACAGGAGCGCTTGTTTTTGAAATAGTTAGACATCAGCTCTTCTGCAGAAGGCCCACTGCATAGTTTCGTTAGACCAATCAGAATTGAGTGATTGGAACTGCGCGTACGGCATTCACAACAAGGGGTGCCGTTTCGTCGTTGCTAATGGGGAGCAGCAAAATGTCGACTTTGCGGTGATGAGGCTGCACTTGCTAGACTTCTTCATACATTCAGTCCGGAAGGAAACGAACCTACGTTCATGCTCAATGGCGCAATCTACCGCTCAAAAGGACACGAAACGCAGAGGAGCAAGAGAAGCAGCCATAGAGGACGCGGGGGCGGACTCCAGCTGAGCAAGCGTACGAGATGCTGGCCCGAAAGGCGTCCCTAACGACTGCAGCAGAGGGGGATACACTTCTTCAGCGCACTATCCAACGTTGCAAGGCATGCCGCGAAGCAAAGCCCGGAATGCCTATAAAGGAGTCATTGAGCATAGCTCAGGCTATTGCGATTCACCTAACGATTGCGCAACAGGGAGTTAACAACTGACTAGCCCTACAAGGTATAGAACATTTCCCCACCATTTACATATTAAAGGAGCACCAAGAAAGGCTAATCTGTCATTTAGCATAGCAGTTTAGTAGGGCCTCTGATGCCCGTTCCAGCGTCCCAGTTCCGGCATTCCCAGAAGGTGACGCTGGCCAGGCAAAGTCACTGTAGTACCACGCCGTCCCCGACTGCACACAGCTCGAACAGTGCATACGGTGAGACGCAGCGCAGAAGGTACCCCAGGCATTTGAGGTGCTGAAAAGCATCCGGTACTGCTACTAAACATCTGACTTGCAGGGCAGCGACCAACAGGCCCGCATGCCCATCAAACTCTACTGCTGCCACGCAGACTCACTAGTGGGGCAACCGATCAGCTGGCAGTCCGCAAGCGAGCAGGAGGGAAGTTAGCAGATTCCGCATGGAAACTCCCTTCTTGTTCCTGATTATCGTTCCTTCTTGGCCTTGAAGTCATGATAGCTGGTCTGCCTTTCATTTTCACTGGTATTCAATGACTGGTTTTTCTGGATTATCTGGCCAAACAGGCTCACTTCATGTCCATGAACAAGACGTCCACAGCAGGTGGCACTCTTGATGTTGCTGCTTGCTGTGTTATTCGCTACCAGAGTTTCTCTGAGGTGCTCATTTCCGTCAGAAGCCCCCATTTTCAATCGGAATTAATGAAACAGCTCTGCAATCACCTCAACATTGAGCGTGTTATGTTCTTTGCTTCCTCAGCCATGGACAAGGCGAACGCACTAACTGTACCGCGGAACAGATGCGCATTAACCATCAGTGTGATGAACGGCACTCTTCGCCCTCGAATTGGCATACAATACGAGCAGTCATTGCTTAAACCAAATCTTTTGAAGTCGTGATACGCCAGAAGGCTCTTCGTGCCACCGACATAAGCAGTTCGAGCTCTCCCGCATCGAATCTTAACCAAAGCGCTCGAGAAAATCTGTGACCGGGCGCTGAGTCACTTTCCACACAAAGTGGTAGCAAAAGACATACGCTGACTGCAGAGTTCGCGCCACCTAGAGCTCAAGGGCACTAGAAATATGAGAAAACCAGCCCTCTGTAGAAAAGAATACGCAGAAATCTACTTAATGTTCAGACTGAACAGTAGCTAAAGGGAAGCAGGACGAGAATTCAAGGCCCAACAAAGTACAAGCCTTAATTAAAAGATGAAACGAGAATTTTTATTTCAAAGAAATAATATATAGCAGTGACTTCTTCATTTGTTGCTAATTTCGGCTTGGCTCACTCGTGTCTCTCTTTTTCTGGCTACATAGGTTCATACGTAATTCTACTTAATAAAGACAAAGGTAAAAAAAGAAAATAGTTAGAGAAGCATCATTGTATGCCAGTCCCCCCAAGGGTATATTTGTTCAGCTTTGACCTTCTTTTCTTCCTCAGTGCATTGCCACGCAACGCAGCTGGAGTGCCTCTTGCGATCTCCAAGCCCTGGATTGACCTGAAGGGCTCCATAGTAGGTCTGATCGCTGGAACAGTATGACCTCTCGTATGGTTATTAGCTTTTATTCAGTATTTAAGTCTATATACTTTGAATCTGATTCCCTTGAAGTGGATCTAAATGCCATTTCTGGGCTACGCCGTAATGCTGCGCACTCTAGTGTCCACGCCTCCCTAGTTTCCCTCCCCAGTGATTTGTTTTGCAATCAAAGACCCAATTTGGTTATTTTCAATCTCCTGCTCGCATTTTGGGAATGCGGAACTCATCTATCCTTGAACTGAGCGTGTATCAGTCCACGAGCACAGATCTCTACCATCCTAATCATGGCTGTAGCGCCAGCAGTACAATATTATTCTCCAAGCCTTTTCACGGTTACTCTATTTCGTAAAATCATTACGAAACTGAATTATCGTGAAAACTACTCAGTGTCCTCCACTTACACTATGGTGCTGGCTTTCATGCACTTGGTTATGTATTAATAGAAATGTGTCTAGGGCAGTTTAGAGAATATAGCTTTAATGCTTAAACACATGGGCTTGCACTAGGCGAAGTAGGAAACACACGAAGGCAAGTCGACAAGTCAAAAAGAAGAGATCCATCGTGTCAGCAAGCAGTTGCCCTCAATAGACCATCTCCACCACACCTTGGGTTATACTAAAATGAGCTTGAAGTAGAAGCCCAATATACAAGTATAAGAATTTTGCAGAATAGCTTATAGAGATCCAGTGAAAATAGTCATCTTCCAGCGGCAGAACTTCAGCAGAAGGGAATTTCACTGCCACGAGATACAATAAACAGTCAGTCCAGCAGACGGCACACAAACGTGCCCAAAAATCACACTATTAAGCCCAGGCAGCACTCAAAAGATAATAAAATTCAAGATCGCACAAGCTGAAGGACCGGACTTTGAATAGTGTGTAGAAGCGTCGTGTTCGCAACTTGCGAGCGTCGGCGCACGGAATCTTTGCTACCTCACAGTAGAGCACATCCCAGAATGAATCAGACACAAAATTGTCTTCTTAAGGATTATGTCTCTCACGAAGATAACCGTTTCAGTCTTTGATACTGTACTCGGGAGCCTTCTTGGAACTCAACTCCTGAAGACGCTGCGGGGCCCTCCTGCATGCTTTTCGCTCAACATTCCCTCTTAAGAGACTATAGACAAACGAAATATATATTTTGCCGTACATATTTTGAGCTTTCGCTTCTTTGGGACCTCCTTGTGCTGGGCCCTTTGCCGTGCTTCGAGGATGAGTTGGAGGCAGCAGCCGACTGGCTAGTTCAGTGGACCGATGCCTACTCATAGGCCCGTTGCCAGGTAGCATGCAAATCATCGGCTCGTTATTTTTGGTTTAATATTGCTGGCACAAGAGGAACGCAAAATCTGAGGAACTTTTCAGGGGAGAAGATGTTGGAGGCACCTGGTACACGACTTACGCCGATAGACGCAGGTTCGCGCAACATCAAATCCGTACTTTATTTAGGCAGCTCTCGGAGAACATGGGATTAATTTCACTCCTATGTCTCACACAACGTGCATATTCCTGTTTCCAATCATCGGCACTGCTTTGTAGGCGGCATGCTGCGCGTTGTCCGCTAAAGTTCGTGCTGGAAATCATACAGGCGGTGCATGCTTCAGAAGGCCTTTCCACTACATTTTTGAAGTGTTTAATTTAATCGCCATGTCCCTCTACAATCATGTGTTCAGCCAAACATAAACTGAGATTTGCTGGATAATCTTCTTCTCCCTGCCTTCGCGCCTCATGGCCATCCGAATTCTCGCCTTTCCCGGTCCATTTCATTGAAGGCGCAGGTAGTTTAGATTCAAGTGGCTCACTTTGTGCCGAATTTCGGCGCGGGTTTCACGAGGAGGAAGATCATCATACAACTCAGGTTTTTGGTCTTCCAGTGGCTAAATGTAATATTGCCGCTTGCTCGCGCTGCAGAATGCAAGCTCTTGAGAAACGCCATGATGTGCTGGCTTCAGCAGAGCGGAAGCTCTCTGCAAAATCTAGAGCTGCAGTGGTCGGCTGGCTTGGTCGACTCATGCCGTCAATCTCTTCTTATTTACGCTCCACAAAGATTTCCGATGCTCGTAGGACTCAGGGAGACTCAAGGTGTGCGACACAGAACAAACGCAGGGGCGTGCAACTGGAGCCAGAGGCGCGCAGCGGACCAAGGAAAGCCCAAGCCAATTTGGCTGGCCAAGACTTCAGTTCGGATGCAGAGGCTCTCGACAGTCACGATCATGTTACTGATGTTGAGCCGGACGCCCTGCCGACGCCTCTGTCGTCGTACTCCATAACAAGCACCCCTGACCTGGCAGCAGCAGCAGCTGGCCTCTCTGCGCTGCCTACTTCTCCGCCTCGCGAAGTAGCTGCGCAGTATTGCATGGAAGACAGTTTCCTGCTGTCCGCAGTAAACGGTGAGCATATATAACAGAAGCGCGAGGATGGTTGACCAATGAGGCCCTCAGGAGCACCGTTTCACTGCCCTAGCAACTTCTCTTTGCATGTTAAAAGGCTTCAGCAAGCTGTACAAACGTTTCGAGTAAATGCAATAGATCACTTCCTATTTTGAAGAGGCACTGATCTGTAGACTTCTTCGTGACTTTGTAGAACTTGCTCGGGTTAATTAAGTACGTTTAGACATGTACATAGCTGCAGGGGCGCTGAGCCCCCGCATGTGTTTTGTCTTGAGTAGATCTAACTTCAATGGCGATGGCAGAAAATTCGGCGGAAGAGAAGGAAGGCAGGAGGGCTGTTTATTCCGAGTGCTTGCCGGAGGTGCAAATGGAGATGCCAGAGCCTCGAGTTTCTGATGACCCCAGTGGGCAGACTACTGACACTCCTTGGCTGTATGGGTGCTGCTGGTGCGGCATGAAAAGACAGCTGCCCTTGTGGCCTAAATCAGGTGAATGTGGAAGAAATGCGGAAGGAGTGGCGCACTGTGAAAAAATAAGCTCTCGGGAAACCCACCTACTTCCAGACGGGCCTAGCCCTCCTAGAATTGACATTCGAGGAAACAAAAATGCGTCCTTCAATGTAAATACATCCAAAGACAGGAAAAAAGATGAATCCGATACGGACAAAAGCGGCAATAAGCAATTAGCCGTCTCTACTGCTGGACCCGTACAAGAAGTGAGAATGCTTCAGCAGCAGCAGCCAGAACGTACCACGGAAAGTCAGCCACGACGCAGAGAAAACTGCTGTGGTTTTGGCGCGTCAACTCAAAAAGTGAGAAAGCAGCAGCAGCAGCAGCAGCAGCAAGACTGTACCACGGAAAGTGAGCCACGGCGCAAAGAACACTGTTCTGTTTCTGACGCGTTAACACCTCCCTCTGGCCTTTGCGGATGGGTACTCAGTCCATGCGCGTGGCTTCACGCGTCTTCACAGCTTGAAGAAAAGTTAAACGAATCAGGACCAGAGGGAGATGATTTTGCATGTCGTGAATCAAAGAAGGACTCACTGTGGCACGACATCAACTTCAAAACCGTAAGCGGAGTTCGGTGTCGCACCCTGAGGAGGGTACGAGATGAAGAACGCCACGTTTGGATGGAGTACCAGGAGCTGACTCTCCTCGACAATTCCAGGCGATTTCAATGGGTACGTGACAACCCCAGTTTTGCTTAGCTTTGTTACCTGTATGTGCGCTGGATGGAGGACACATGAACTCACGAGCCGCCCGTGCTCCCCATAGTAAGTTACTACGAAGTGCTAGCTGTACACTGCTGGGAGCCACTCGGCAGATCGCTGTATTTGTGGGTTTGTGCCAGGTGGAAGTTGTCGACAATGGGGAAGTCCTCGCAGTGTGACAGGAAGACTACGGCATGTGCAGCGGCTCAGGCTGGTGCGTGCCGGGGGAATAGAGCAGAGCTGCTGGGATGCAGCTCTTCTTTCGTATGTGTAAATACTGATAAACCCGTGTCAGACGAAGGGGGAAGACCCATCAGCTGGCCGCTTTCTTGGGCAGCAGCATTTTCAATCAAATGCCCGTCGTTGAAGTCCGAAACTTGCTAAGCATACTTAAGCATTAGACTGCACTTGAATGTCGCGCAAATGGCGCCTAGCTACTACGCCGCTGAAGTTGTCTGAGACGGCAAAAGACACCCACTGCAGCTTTGTGGGCCACAAAAAGACAGACGGTCTCGGGGCACCACATTCAATATTGCGCAGGAGCCGTGCACGACAGATTTACGTTACCCAGACATTAGGCATTATTTCTGTACACATAAGGCTTCACCAGATTGCCCGTGATGATGCAGCGACGGAGGAACGGGCACCAAACAAGGGCCGTTGTGCTGCTGCTGAAGATTATTTCGCAGCGACTTCGCCGAAAACCTGTGGGCAGCCTTGCGTGTGTCTACCGCTCCAGTCAGACGCTGCTGCAACTGCCACGGCAGAGGCCATTCACTACAAAGAAAAACGGCTTTTGACAGCGACACATTCAGCTCCTCCTGGCGTAGGCGGCAAAAGCGGGATGAGACGAATGCCGGCGTTTTTCCTGTTTTCGGTGTTGAGCACCCTCGTCGCCGACATCCCTCACGCCTTGTCAGGAAAATTGCAGTTGGCTTCTTCCAGCAAAGTATTCAGTCGCGCGATAACTGGCCTGGATGGAACACGCATCACGGTGCCACAACGGCGACATAGCCACTGACACTGCGTGATGATGCCAGACAGGAATCTGGATTTACAAGTAGAGGCGTACAACTGAAGTATGCCTCGACACTTATCGGAAAAAGTGTGTATCTACTTACAAGACTACCTCTTGGATGCTTCCGAGACAGTTTTCAGCCTCGTCCATTTCAAAGCCCAGACGCCTGCCCACAGGCAGAAGAAATTGCACTGGCAAATCGAAAACTACGGAATAGCCTAACTTTAAATCCCGTCTTTCTGCAAAGTGCTCGCTGGGATTTCCTGGAAGGCCTACAGCCAAGCAAAAAGCTCCTGCCTCCCAAGCAGTGCCGTAGGCGTCAAGCTGTGCATACTTGAGCTACAATTACCTGACAAACTCCTCCTTCGAAGGTGCAAGGCTAAATGCAAGAGAAACAATGTTAGAAACCAGGAAACCTGCATTCAAGAATCGCACATAAATTATTCGCCTTCCTCGTCCTGACGCACTTGTGATGGTTCGAACAGCTTCTCCCCGAGTTCGTCACAATGTTTCAGTGCACTGTTTACAACTACGTAGTTTCACAACCATGTAATTTAAGGTATGTAGAATTTAGAATGGGTTTCTCCGGCTTACTGTGATAAGGCTTGAGAACACGATCGTACGCATCCAGTGCACATTCTTTGACGGTTGCATCCTTCATGGTTCCGAACGTGTTGCAGATGAGAGAGAAGACGAAGTCAAGCGCTCGCTTCATCCAGAGCATTCCCCTCACGCCGCTGTTTTGATCTTTTCTCATTTTGGGTATTCCCAGTTCCTTGAGTTCCCATGCAATCAGCTCATCAGCAGTAACCGCACTGCCGCCCCGAGATTTGCGCAGGGCCTTTGCTGCTTCCCTCATCCGGCCAGAGGAATTCGCGATGTCTTGCTGCGCCGCACAAGAACAGGCAAGCGGGACCCCCCCAAATTTACTTCTCCCAAATCCCAAGTCCTTCCATGTCCCTGGCCTGCGCTGCCGGCCTCCCTCTATTGGCAACCCCAAAATATGGCCGCGGGTTCTTGAACTCCCCGAACTAACTAGATATGCGGAATGCTGCGAAAGCTGCAGGCCGGGCAGTCTCAATTGAGCAATAAGGCGATGCATGTTCTAAGAAAGAGACTTTCATCTCGTCCAAAGTGGCTGTACCTTCAGATGCCGAGATATAAATCCACTGCCGAAGACCAGCTCGTAGACTGCAGATATCTGCAGCGCCGCATCGGCAAGTTTCTCTGCAGAAAGGACTCAAAATTGAAGCTGGAGCACTGGTGTAGCCGCCAAGTAAATCTTCCCTCCTACACGCTTTAGCTGAAATCCAATAGATGCAGCGGCATTGTGGCGACTTTTTTGTTGAATGGGTTTGTATGCTGTCACACCGAGCAGACAATGCATCGGGCTTTGTGGCAAATGACTACCGAGGCAGAGCCAATATAAGCAGCAACCCGTTCGCCTTCACGCAATTACAGTTAAAAATTGTTGGCTTTCATCTAACCTACAAACCCACTCCCTGTCACGCGCAACTAGCTCACCGCAGTCCAGTCGTCCCTCTGCATCTGGGACTGCTCGGAACCTTTCCAAGATGGCATTGTATAGGGCAGTGCCCTTCAGAGGCTCTCCTTGTACGTCTGACATTTCATTTAGAGCTAAACTTCACAGAATTTCAGACTCTCAATGGAGAGTTTCCCGGGCGGTCACACGCGGAATCTTCGAGAGCGCTGGAGTGTGATTGACATTCAATGGATGAAAACCTCTCACCAATAGGACTAAATGACACCTGATGTCCTTTATCTGCTTTTTCCTTAATACACATATCCAAGCGGAGAGTTCAAAAGACCCATTTATTTAGAGTCGGCGTGAGCTTTGACTCAGCCCATGGTTGTCTGGGCTGCGTCTGCGCTACTTCTGTGCCGCCGCGCGCTCTAATGCCTCCCGAACCAGTCGTGAGCGCATACTTAAAAATTCCAATAAGTTAATCCAACGAGATGAAAAGTTTTGGCGGCCATGTAGACCTGAGATTGGGGGGAAAATCCAGAGACATTGATGGGGCTGCAGTGATGTGTACAGCGCAAGAGCACTCGCACCACAAACGCTTTCGTACCACTTCAAGAAGACCCATATCTGGAACTTATTTTCGCGTTAAACAGTTTTTTTATAGCTAGAATTAACCGAATATACTCTGACACTACTGTAGCATAAACTGCGCTGCAGTGCCAAACTAGTGTACTTGCACGTGACGGCCGTGGTGAAGGCACTGCTGTAGTGATTTCAAACTTTTCAGTCTCTCACAGCATAGATGTCATGTAGGCAAACTAGGTATCTAAGCTCAGCATTGAATTCAGGCATAACTTATTATGTGTGTTTTTTTTGTAGTTATCCAGAGTCCGTATCGCCAGCATCTTAGAACAGCGCAGGGATAAAGGGGCATACGGGGTACAGAATTCAGAACCAGTGCCAGAATGCCGAAATGCTACGGCGATAATAGCACCGCAGCAGAAGGCTCCTAGTGAAACGTCACAAATGATCGATGCGTGAAGCAGCTGCAAGCCGAACGGCATCCCTTCAGAGAGGAGCCGGCTGCGACTTTGAGTAGCTCATCTAAATGTGAACCACAGAAGCCAGCTGCATTCTAAAGGATTCTTGGCTGTAACAAAGGCAACTAGAAGCACAGACAAACCCCCGTGCCGGAGGAATGGCGGAATATGCAGAAAAGCACGAGTTCCAACGAGTAACCACGCAAATAGCTCCTCTAGCGAAGGGGCTGCAGACACGGCTTCTGAACAGCACTTCCGAATAGCAGCGCCTTAATAAACTTGGCATGCACCACTAAGACTGTTATCTTATTCCCAGTTACGCCTTCGTCGCTCCGGAAAGGGAATGGGCCTACTTTTTTGAAGGCTTTGAACGCCTTCACCGGAGAAACAGTGAAGAGATGAAAAGCTCTGCTGAATAACTGCGTATAGCTTAAGGTCGGAAGTTCCTGCATAAATAGCACTTGAACTATTTGCCCTTCTAGAAGCTGTGCATGTCTACTTGCTCACCCGGAACTGCACAGAGTGCTCTCCGCTGCAAAGGCCGTCCTAATTGCTCAACCATCATTTGAACATTTGAACACTGACCTGAAAACTAAGTTTAGGAAGAAAGCAACGCGCATTCGGTGCGAAGTGAACGGGCTCAACGCTCACTCGCTAGAAGAGAAGTTGCGGGAACAGAAGCTCCCGTTCAAGTTTGAAACACTCGGGGAAATGCCCCGCCGATCCATCTGGGGGAAAGCCGTTTGGTGCTTTTGGGCGAATTCCAGCGAGAGCAGCGCAGCGCTTGCTTGCGGAGACTGCGGGAATATCGAGAAGTCACAATTAAAAATCAAAGATGCGCGTTGGCTGCTACAGCCGACGCAAAACATTAGAGAAGAATGAATCAAACAAAAGCCGGGGCAGCCGCCTTAGACTGCCCCAGCTGCCGGCCTTGCCGCTGAGCCCAGGGCGCCACGCAACGCCGCATCAGCCGTGGAGTGAGGCCTCAAGCCGAAGACTTCCAAACTTGGAAGGAACTTGGTTGAGTTCGATTAGAAAACAGCTGAATCGAAGTTCAGGGACCCTCAGACTCCAGCGAACTCGGACTTCGTGTCCGTGTTGGACTTGCACGGACCCCCTTGCTCAGGTGCTGGCTGCTCGCCGCAGCTCATTTTGCTTCGTCTGCACGAAACGACTAGCTGGGAAGCCGCACATGTGCACGGTCTTCCCTTGTGGCAGCCGCAACTTAGGGTTTCGTTGCACTCGCATCCTCCGCTGGCTTTCGTTGGCTCAAAAGGCAAGTCGAGGAAGCGGCCAATCGTCAGGAAGCCTAAGGCCATTCCTCCAAGCATTGAAACAAAGATGCCAACATTGAAAGTCATTGCTACCAGCATCAACATATAGTCCCAGGCGTAGTTCAAGAACGCCACGCACCCACGTATGGCATTGTGAAAGACGGGGAAGCAGCCGAACAGCAGCGTCGGCTTTCTTCTACTTTCCATCATCGCTAGACGGACATCAGAGATGCGACGCAGAGCCTTCAGCGCTATCGAGATGAATCCAAAGATAATGCAGCAAACGCAGGTCACTGCGTATTGAGGAGTTGTTCGGGCGTGCCACCAGGAGAAAAGGAGCAACACCTCAGGTGAAGCCTCAAAAAACATCGGCAGGGGAAGGCCATCCTTATTTAGCATCTCTGAAATTCCACGAATACAGAAAATCGAGACCAGAGGTGGGGAAAAAGACCTAACGTGGTCTTGACCACGAAGGACAAACTAGCACGTAAATGGAGGCTTTCCAAGGCCTCAGTCAATAGACAGCACGCTCACGCTGAGTAATATGCGTTCGCTTCTCAAATAATTGCCGAGAAGGTAAAGTTGTCGCGGTCAAAACACAAACGGTTGGGTTGCCTGCGCCTTCTCCACCGCCTCACGCAGGCCGCGAGGTACATGGAGATCTATCAACAGGAAACACTTTGCCAGTTAAGAAATGCAGCGGATATTTGTCCCTTATTGACGCCTTCGTCGTTGCCTTTATTCGACAGCGAAGTTTCAAGGTGTTTTACCGAATGATCCGCATGCATCGACCTGACGGGGCTTTGAAACAGCTTGTGAAGCCTCAATTGCCTCAACGATGTGAAAAGTCTACCTGTCACTCAACATATACTGGAGAAGACTTGTCAATAAGCCCTGTATCCCCGTCACACTTGCCCGATGAGACAATAGATTCCAGCGTAGCGGCCGGCACTTCACTCGCATGCACTAGCTAGAGCTAAACTCAAAATATTTTCCTGCGTGTCTAGCTCAACAGATATCAAATTTTTAAGGAGTCATGTACGCAGCAGGCCGCGCTGAATTCCTCAGTGAGATGAGTGTAGGAAGAACCACACGCTGCTCGGGTGCTCGCTGTCTGCTCTCTGCGGCGGTCCTCGCAGAGTAGTCCCGATTCCCGGAAATCCAACGAATTGAACTGCTTCCCTCAGGAACAAATAAATAATAGGTAAAGTCCCAACCGCAGTGCATCTAAGGGAGCCATTGTTCAGTCACGATCGCCGCAAACCCAGCCGCCAAGCAGCATCCCGCCACTCTCAAGGCAACGAGATTCCCCCCACGCACAGCTCGCCTGCAATCTGCGATAAACAGAGGGAAGATCTACTCCCCACGGCTATTCCGCCATAGTTTACGTCGGCAGCACCTAAATTTTGGACTGGCTCGATGCAACCTCACTAGACTACCAGACGACGCGGCGACTCCGTCGTATCCGATGGCGAAACCGCACATCCCTCGTTTCTCTCACGACGTGTTCCTCCGACTCAGCTAAATCACAAGCCTACATCTACGTCGTAGTAAATTGGACGCCGTGCTCTTAAGTTCTGGACCCGGGCCAACAAGACGTGGCGGTTCCAGCACTGCACGCTAGACTGCACACGTTCACAATAGCCTGGCTACTGCAGCAACAAAAAACTGAGGACTCCAAGCACTGCACGGAAGCCGCAACTGTGCAGAAAATTGAAGCCGAAATTGTCCCCCACCTCCCTACCCCTGCGCGTTGGGAAATGAGCAGCAAAGCACCAAACACCACTGCCGTGCATTGAGTAGCGCTTTGGCTACGAATGTCCGCGCTGGACCAGTCCGGCTAGAAAACACTGACGACGAAGCAAGCAGCCAGGGAAAGGCAAGCGACCTCCAAGAGGCCCCGTGGGTGGCGCGGGGCGGGGCCCCCGCGGGGCCCCCGCGGGGCCCCTCGGGGCCCCCGCGAAGGAACTGTGCGTTTCGACAGGCCCTTCGGGCCTGGTCGCCTGCCCAGCCAACTACGTCACTGGGATGCACAAGAGCGAGGCGGTTCACTGGCGAGCCCGTCAGTTGCTGGGCACTGCTTCGCTGCAGCAGGAGACAGGCGTTCCGCCAGCAGCAGCAGCGCTGCAGCGACAAGCTTTTGCTTGCGTCTTCGCGACGGGACGCAGGCGACTGCCCTTCCACGGCTTTGTCGGAAGGCCAACTCCCCCCCTCATCAAATAGCTCACAGACCCATCGACAGCGGCGACGTGACGTTGGCCCTTCCGCCGTCGGCAGGTCCGCTCTTGCCTTTCCTCCGCAGCGACAACAAACGACTCGCGTGCTGCACCGCTTCCCCCCCCCCCCCCGGCCCCCCCC